AATAATTGGGATTTATTATTGGATTGACCAAAACTTTTACAATATAATGAAGACCATAAATTTATGATAAATGAAATATCCTGATTGATGCAAAATCATAATGTATATTACAATATATTATAATACAGGTAATAGGAGCGTACTTCTTTTAAAAACTTGCAATTGTAGAATGCTTTAACAAAACTTTGCAAATATTTTATATAAAATTCAGTATGCTATTGAGTCAATATCTTCCAATTCTAAATTAGTAAAAGTATAAATTAAATATTTACCAGAAGTTATAAACTATATTAATAATTACCTCACATATTTTTTATAAATACCAGAATTTGAAAAATAAAGAGTTGCACTTGCAGAAACTATTATATTGAAACAAGTGGAGTTTAGACTATCAACAAAATATAGGTGTCCTATTAGAAAAAATGAAGAGACATTAAAAAAGAATTTAAATTTTATTTTAATAACTATTTTCATCTATGATTTTATTTAAAATAGTTTTTATTTAGATTAAAGTATTAGTTTACTTATAAGACTTATTAACATTAGATATTTCTAGCTATTTTCTGGTATCAGTAAATAGTAGTTGATAACAATTTTAAGGTTATATAGTAAATTTGTAAATAATATATTATTTAAATCAAATACTTTATTTATTTTTTTTTTTCCTTCTCATTTCCTTTTCCTTTTAAATTTGGTGAATTTATATAAATCCAAAATAAGATTAATTATATTATTGCTAAATCAATTATAACATTGTTAACAATATTTTTTGTCTTTTTATAAGTCCAACTAAACCATCAGTTGTTATTAATTAGTAAACACATTTGATCTTGAGCTTTTTTTCTCATTTTACAGCATTTTGATAAAATGAGATTTTCATTTTTTAAGTTTTTAGGCTGTACTAAATCAGGATCCCACTTACTTATAAGATAGGTCACCTTCAGGCCTAAGGTAAAAATCATATATAAAATTCTTTACAGATCCTACTATAAAAGGAAATTTTATGTTACATTATTATGATTTTTTTCCTTTTTAGCTAATTAACCAATAGAATTTAAGAAAAAAGTAAGGTAAAAACTATTAGTAAAGGGCTAATTTTCTACAGTGACCTTTATTATAAGTAAGCGGGATTCTACTGAATCCAATTCAAATGAAATATCACCAAACACTACCATTTGATCTTTCTGTAAGTCTGATAAATTATTCTTCTTTGATTGTTGTTTATTCTGTTTTAATTGCTTAATTTGTTGATAAAAGGATTTGAAATAATAGTCCATATTTTCAGATTCATTTAATTTGTCTTTTTTTCCAATATTTCTAGCCTTTTTTCATGATTTGTAGCATTACATCTAGGTAACCAAATTAGTTTTTTAAAGTGAATGATAAAGGAATCCAGAAGTGAGGCTAAAATAAAATGTTTTTTGTTTCTGAAAATCCAAATATTGTTTTGATATTTTGGAAAAATTAGTGTTAATCTTAACTTTCAAGGCCAGTGAACAAAAATCAATTTGTTATTGTTATGCTGTGTTCCTAGTATCTGGTTTAATTTCTTATTTATGATCTTAGGTGTATCCTCTGTTATGTTACTCCATTTTTGAATTATAGGAATCACATTATTTTGCATTCTGCTTTTAATTATATGCCATAAGTCCTTATTAGCCTCACATTTTATGAAATGATGTCTGTTTTCTTCTTTATTAGCATTGCATCTTGGACAGACAAATTCTTTATATAGATTTAGTTTTTGCTGTAGTAGAATAGTACCTATAGGAAGAAGTTTAGCAAATAGTTTAACAATAAATATTAAATGCCAATATTTTTTAACTGAAATACAATTAAACCTTTTATATTTATAAATTAAGTTTTAAGTTACATTCCAGTTAATTGGAATTTCATGTCTATTGGATTTTAATATTGACCATTCTGCTGTCACTCTAGTGTTCATTAAAGTTTTGATAAATTTCCTTAAATTGTATTCAATGAAAATCTGTTTGAAAATTGGAAAAAATCTAACTTTTTTATTACTATAGTTAAACCTGTTATTAAAGTAATAGCTGTTGTTACTTATGTTTTTAACTAATTTGTCTACTATTTCATTCATAATATCTCCACTGTGTTTCTTAATTTTCACTAATACTAGATCCATCTTTTTTTATTGTAAAAGAATATCTATTTTAAATAAAATTAAAGAATTAGACTGCTTCAGTAATTTTCTATCTGATTTATTATATTTATTATTAATTATATAGATGGTATTTTGACTGTCTGTATATATCTTGATTTTTGCATTCATAGGATCTGTAAGTAATGCCAGAAAAATAACTACTAGTTCTGAACATATAGATGAAGGCCATAATGACAAATTTGCTTGGGCTGACAAGGCAGATTCATCATTGACACAGAATGCCACACCTATTTTTGTGTATACTAAATTAGGATCTTGTTTATCTATTGATGTAAGGATGCTTGACCTGAGCGAACCATCTGTGTAATATTCTACTATTATTTCCTCTGCTAATATATTTTTAATATCCATGAGTTTTGATTTTAAGTTTAATATTATTATCTATCCATCTGTGAATCCATATGTTCTGAACCAGTGATAGGCTAATTATGGGACTTGGAGCTAATGCTAGTGTCATATGATAGTGACTATAACCTATAGATAAATTGTGACTATATAGGATAGATTTTAATAATAAAGTGTTTTAAATATTCAACTGGTATAACTATATAGTAGAATGAGACCATAACGGAAGTGACTATAAAAGGAGTTGACTGTATATATATACAAAAAAATATATGATAATAACAAAGCAAATAAAAAAATAAAGTTATAAGAATAAAAAATAAAACTTATAAAAAAGTTAAAGAATTAAATAATGATGAAACCTATGAAGTTAAAAAGTAAATTTGTGACATTAAAAAGTAAAACATATTAAGTCAAAGAGCAGCATAGAGTAAAGAAAAGATAGTTAGTAAAGAATAAAAATTAGAAAATAAAACAAGAACTTAAAGATTAAAGAGTAAAAAAAGATACCTGCTATATACATGCTGCCCAAATTATTTTGGGATGCCATAATTCATTCAGTTTATATATAATTTACTATGTAAAGTGCCAAAATAATTTGGGATGCCATAATTGAATTTGGGATTTTACTTATAATTACGGCAGTCCAAAATAATTTGGGTGGCATGTATAACCTGCTAGAAAAAACCCCTATAATTAAGTTTAAAAGTGAATTTATAAAATAGTTAATGACCAAATAAAAGTAAATTAAAAGCAAAATACGTCACATAATGTTGAAGAGAAAGGAGTTAAAGAATAATATAAAGAAAAGAAAAATATAGCTAGTAAGAAACAAAATTAAAAACATAACCAACAAAAAAAGAGAACATACTTTTTTAACGTATTAAGATATAATATTCTATTAGAAATTGTAAAACCTAGAAAAGTCTAAAGACCTAAAAAAAATGTACTAAAGAAAAAAAAAAAGAAAGCAGATAAACAAAAAAAGAAAATAGAATGGGAAAAGAAAGGAAAATAAAACAAAACAGAGAGAAAATAATAAAAACAAGGAAAAAGAAAAAAATGAAAAAAATAATATAAACAGATAGTCAGATAGTATAACTATAAATATTAGTCGGCCCAATCAAATTTATTACATGATAAGGGTGAATAATTTATATAATTATATAAAATTTACTAGTAGGTTAAATCACCTGAGTTAAAATTAGTCTTATACTTTTTATATTTCAAATAAAACTTAACACATACTTTATATGGCCCTAAAATTTGCAAAATATAAGCATTTTTGCCTTCTAAGCAAGTTTACTTAGAATATTAAAAAGGGTTTTAAATGCCATTTTTGCAAAATTCATCATTTTGAAAAAATATATATAAAAAGCCAAAGATTACCCTAAGTAAACTTGTAGAACAAGTTTTATTTAAAAAAAGATATTTTTAGTGATATTTTAGGAAATGATCGGCAAAATTGTCACGTGATCGAAGAATTTTCTGAAAAACGCAATCACACGTGATTGGGTGTCGCTCAAAAGTATGGTACCCCTTTTGCGTGTTAGAATTCGGTTGAGCTGTTCATTTCAGGATTCCGAGGCGTCACAGAGGATAAAGAGGATAAGGTCCAGCAAAAGTTGACAGAAGTCTTCGCTCAGAGTATCAAACAGCTCGAAAGTTCATATCTGTTAATAAAATCATATGATTTATAATGTTGTAACTTAATTGGTTGTTAAATCTAACAAGGATTATATTAAAACTGAATATTACGTGATATGTGTAAGCCTCGCCTTTTTATCAAAAAAAATATTTACACCTTATGAAGCGAAATGAGAAACGCTTTTGCAACTTTGAACAATCCATATGACAAACCTAACCAGTTTATATTAACCAGGTAGGCTGGTAGGACGTTCGAGATAATTAACTTATTTGAATTTTGAATGCGTTAGAAGAAAATTCGATAATGCAATACTATATTGATGTCTGTGTTTAATTCGCATATGTTTATTGATTGTAATGAAAATAGGGAAAACAATCTAAGAAACAAAGTAAATGCAAATCCATCTATCGTTACTATACTATCAGTTTTCGTTAATATAACATTAACTCATGATCCGGTTTCATTTGTTGTCTTGCTAAATTTCGTCCTAATCAATGATATTTATTCTGTAAGTTCAAAAGTCATTTTTACATAATATCAATTTCTTGGCTCTCAGAACTTACATCTACGTACTTAATTTTCTCGTCCGGAACTTTCGTGTCCAATATTTGAGTTCAATATTATGCTTTGGAAGAAATAATGTGCTTGAAAATCTTGTCTAAAAAAATCGTCATAATTTAAACGATACCAACTGCGATCTTGATAATATATGTCTCAAGATCGATACTTTTGCAAGACAACTAATCATCAAATAGGTATGATCGACAAATATTTACTTGGAATCGTGATAAATCAAAAAAAAAATATATATATCTTTCCAATGGCTAGCGCTATAGTATCGTCAAAGATAAAAATGCTCGTACCAGCTGGTAATGCAAGACCAACACCACCAATAGGGCCAATTTTAGGACAAAGAGGATTAAAAGCAATAGATTTTTGTAAACAATTTAATGAATTTACAAAAAAATATGAAGTAGATACACCAATTCCAACGATACTCACAATGCAACCCGATCGTAAATTTACATTTTCTTGTAATATGCCGCCAACAACTTGGCTATTGAAAAGAGCTGCTAAAATTGATAAAGGTGCAGCAAAGCCAAAACATGAAATTGCTGGTAAAGTTAGTTTAAAACATATTTATGAAATTGCTAAAATTAAACAAAATCAAGATAATATGAAGGATTTTGATTTAAGATCCATTTGTAAAAGTATTGTTGCTACTTGTGGTAGTATTGGAATTGAAGTTGTACCATAATTATCTTAAAGAAGAAAACTTAAACTAAGAGGAGACTACAAAAGGGGTGTTAGGTTTTATTTAGAGCCTTGGATGAAGAAACTTTCGAGAGGAAGCGTATTCTCGAAGGCTATGTAAAGCTAAATGAAAGAACAAAAACAGCAAAACAAAATACGGGAAATTTATTAATCGTAATTGTAAAATAATTACATTGCCGAGATAAAAATATGATTTTTTATTAGAAATTCTTATCAGTGTTTAGAATAATTATTAAAATAAATTATCTATAAATCAGTTGGCATAATATTAAATACAATAAATAAAATAAAATAAATAGTTATCTTTTAGTAACTTGTCTATTTGAAATTTTGCTTCGTCGATCCTCATGATATTTTTTATGTAGATGATTTCGTATTAATGAAATACATCTAGAAGTTAAACCACCAAAAAAAGTTATAAATTGTTTTTATCATTCAAGTTCTCTTGAATTTCCAGTGATCTTTTTATAGCTTCAGCAATTTGATCATCTTCAGTCTGATGTTCTTCTTTAGATACCATTAAAGCATATGCTAACATTTCATCATTTGTTAATCCAGGAATTGGTGTATACTTTTGCATTTTTGCAAGATGCTCTTCACGTTCTCGTTCTTCTATTTCAAACATTTGTGTTGACTCTCTTACATCGTTTTGTATTTCTAGACGTTCTAAAAGAAAGAAGTTTTTAAGAAAACAAAATTAACAATTCAATAGCAAATAATTTAATCGACACTTACTCATATATTTAGGTGTTGATGAAGTGTTCTTTTTCTTTGACTGTTTAACTTTATTTCCTGTAATAAATATACATAATATATTGATTTAACATTTTGCGTAATATATGATGATATGAAATATTAGATCTTACCTGTAATAGCACTACCGGGTGTAAAATCCCAAGTTTTTATTTGTCCTCCTATATTTAACACAGTTCGGTAGTCTTTTGAATAAATACAATTAACGGCTGAAGTATTTTCCTGTGTTTGGGTGGCCCGATTAGCTGTTCTTCGTGATCTCTGTGAGCTGAAAAAAAAACTAGAATAAGCAATGATTAAAAATAGGTCAAAAAAATTAATTTTATAATAATACCTATGACACAATATACAAATTACTTTCGAAGTCAATGGATCAAAAACGGTTACAGCTCCATCCAAACTAGATAAGGCAAACAATACACGGATTATTAAAAATTAAAAATAATTTATGATATACAACAATTATTTCATTAGTCTAACCTTCCAACTATCATCTTAAAGGTGTCAATATGGATAGCAGTAACAGATGATAGATGTCCTTCAATTGTTCTAAAAAAAGTAAAAATGATTAAAATTAACTACAAAAAAGATAACATCATTTATACATACCTAAAGGGCTTTTGGATTTTGTCTATACCACAGCCATTAGCATCCCATAAGCAAACAACACCTAAAGTATCTCCACTTGCTAAAATATTCAGTGGTTTGATTCCATTTTCATTTGAGGTTTCACTATTTTCTTGTATGTCAATGATAGTACGTGTAACATTACCCGAATGGCCATTTGTGAACACACAAATACATTCCATCGTTTCCAAATCGAATTTTTTCAATTCTGAAGATTTTTCATACGCGATGATCAAAGCATTTGAAGATTCAACGTAATGCAATGAAGTAACTCCACTTGTGCCAGTAATTTTAGTAGGTGATATATCTTCATAATTATCGGGTGATGATGATATGAGTGTGGAATCAATTGACCAAATATAAACAGTGCCATCTGTTGTTCCTGCTATTATGTATTTTTTCACACTCCAAGCCAAAGTGGTGATTATTGTATCATTACCGAGTGTTTCATCTAAACAATATTAAAATAGAATAGTTAAAAGAAAATTTCCAAAAGCGAGAGAATACAAACATCTATTTACCTGTACGAAGACTTTTAATGCATCTTCCGGAATTAACATCCCAAAGAATAACTAAACCGTCTTCTCCACCACTCACAATAGTATTCGTAAATTGGTTTGACCAAGCAAGAACTGAAACAGGTCCTGCATGGAAATCAAGAAATTGTTTGAAAAATCGGTTTGAACCTTGTTTATTCAAGATAGTAAGTCCAATTGCGCCTGATTTATAACCCCAAAGAATCCTATGCCTTTTTTCAAAATTTGAATGAAAAAAAGCATACACCATATTGGCGCAAAATAAATATGACTATGATTATCTTAAGTCCTCATTACCAGGATTAATTAATTCTGTCCTACAGATTAACTTATATGTAATTCAAAATGAAAAGTAATTTATTACCTGTCTACTAACATAGCCGAAATACTATGACTAACATTCTCCCGCGTCGAAAATATAAAATCCTTGCTAATCCTTCCGGTACTAGGATCACATCTCGAGACCATGCCTTTGTCTAAAGAACCAGCCAACATCCAAGAATTAACAAAATCAACGTAAAGGTTATGAATTATACCAACTCTTGGATCAAAACTTAGAGTTAATCCTCGTCCTCTTTCCCATATTCTATACAACATAAAAAAAATAGAATCTTAGAAAGCTCATAAAATCTTATTAAAAAGAAATTGGTCACATTATTAATAATATTAATACCTAAGTAATTTTGTACGAGTCATATATTCATTTTTCCAACTATCACTAGCTAATCGCCTTTGTGTAAGATAATAGTTAATCCATTTGTCTTGAGAATTTAATAACAAGTAAATTCACTCACCTAAACGGGATGGATCCGAAAAACTGAATTAATGCACTCTTCCAACATGAATCATCAGTAATTATCCATCGCCAATGTTTACATATTTGAGCCGCAGCATTCTAATTCCGGATAAAAAGAAAATTAATTTATATTAAAATAAATCAAAACGAACATTGGAGGAGATTTTTACCAATTCGGTTGGTTCAAGTTGAGAAAAAATGTGAGTAAGTATTTCTGTAGGAATCTCATTTATATAACAACGACCACTATAATAAATACAAATAAATTATCCCAATAATTTAAATTTAATAAAGACAAGTTGATCAAAAAATATACTTTATAGGAATTTCAAAGGCATTATCAATTGCTATGCCACCTTTAGTACGCTTTCCTTTTGTGCTTTTCTTTTTGAAAGGTAAATTTTTATCATTTCTTCTTGAGTTATCACGAGACATTTTTCGTGAATTTTTATTAATAATTTTAATATCCTTAAAAAGAGCTCTTACACAATGCTTAAATACCTTTTTCAGTGCTACGCTCTATGACGTTTAAATGGTTTGATCGATCGACGGATTAATCAGCGTACATATTATGTCAGTCTGACGATCTTTTTTAGATAAGGTTTTATTTTTCGAGAAAAAATGAAAATAACTGACAAGATAAATAATAATCTTGAAACTTCTCAACCTTTTTATTCTTTTGAATACTTCCCTCCTAAAACAGACGAAGTGAGTATTGAAAGAACTTTTATATCACTATTAAGTATTTTATAATAATCAAGTTTTCTTATATAGGGTCTGAATAACCTTTATGACAGACTTAAGCGTATGTCCCACTTGGACCCTCTCTTTGCCTCGTTCACGTGGGGCGCAGGAGGGAGTACCATAGACAGGACAACAGAAATGTGTGCGACAGCTCAGAGCCTTTATGGGTTAGAAAGTTGTATGCACTTAACGTGCACAAACGTTGTGAGAGGAACAATAGAGAAGGCTATGAAAGTTAGTTAGTTTTATTTATAGAATTTATTCCATGGATTCGGTATTATTTAACGAATTAAATTAATTTTACATTATTACAATTGCCTAATTGATAATAGGAAGCAAAAAGTGCAGGCATTCAGAATATTTTAGCATTGCGTGGTGGTAAGCAAAGTATTGAAAATATATCATGAAAATATTATAATTCATTTTATTCACGCGTCTTTAATTAGATCCACCGCGAGGCCAGGAATACTGGACATCATGTGATAGTGATTTTACGCATGCGATTGATTTAGTAAGATTTATTAGGAAAGAGTATGGGGATTATTTTTGTATTGGAGTCGCAGGTATTAATTCTACAACTTTCTTAAGTTTTTACATCATTTTATTCATATTATAAACATTTTTTTTAGGTTATCCTGAAGGAAATCCGGATTCTGAAAATAAAGAGCAAGATTTAAAGTTTTTAAAGGAAAAAGTGGATGCGGGTGCTGATTTTATTATTACACAATTATTTTATGATGTGAACACATTTGTGGAATGGAGGGATGAATGCCGAAAAAACGGTAGATATCATATCATAATTTAAAGCATAAAATTATTTTAACTGACCGATTGCTTTTATTAAATGATAGGTATAAATGTGCCTATTATTCCAGGTATTATGCCAATTCAGGGATATAATAGTTTTCGGAGAATAACAAACCTTTGCAAAATACATATACCCGCGGAGATATTAAATGTTTTAGAACCAATCAAAGTACGATTATTGTTCAATATTATTCATTGTTGCAAAATTATTCAAAATATTTACATTTATACCCTCTCAAATTTATTTTATTTGCACTATAGCATGACGACCAAGCGGTTAAAGATTATGGCGTTACACTAGCTGTTTCTATGATATCTAAATTACGTAATGAACATAATACACGAGGTTTTCATTTATGTACTATGAATTTGGAAAAATCGGTACGATTGATCTTGGAGATATTAGGATTTGTGCAGACGGAAGAAGAAAGAAATTTACGACGTCTAAGTAGACGACGTTCGAGTGCTGGTTTTGGGCCAAATGATATTATAAGACAGGTATGATAATCTGTGTAATATTTTAAGTAAATTCATATTTGCTTTTAATCTTTGGATTCCTTAATTAATAGGAACCTGATGGTTCACTTCCAACTGCGAAACCAGTGATATGGAAGGAACGAAGTGTAGATTATTTAGGTAGACCGGAAGATTGGGATAATTTTCCAAATGGACGGTGGGGAGACGCAAGATCTCCTGGTATGTATGACACAGTTGACACAGTGAATAATAAATATTGATTCACTTCATAGTAATTTTAAATTAAAACTTTTTTTACTTTTTTTTAAAAGCCTTTGGTGAATTGGATGGATACGGCGTGTCCCTAAGAATTCCTGTATGTAAATAATAACGTGTTTCATATTCTTGTACTTTTTTTTAATTTAGACTCATCTTTTTTATTTTTAGCCTGAACAAGCATTGGGATACTGGCAAAGACCAATGACACTAGATGATTTGAAACAAGTTTTTAAGTCTTATATACTTGGCGAAATTCCTGCATTACCGTGGTACGAAGAACCACTTTATGCGGAAACTGAAGCAATTCGATCAAAGCTTGTTCATCTTAATGAACTTGGATTTTTAACAGTTAGTTCACAACCGGCTGTTAATGGAGCAAGAAGCGATGATCCTATCTATGGTTGGGGTCCAAGAGGAGGTTATGTATATCAAAAAGCATTTGTTGAATTTTTTGTAAGTCCCGAAAATTTCGAGGAATTGGTTGAAAAAATAAAAGGAAATCCTTGGGTTACTTATTGCGCTTCAAATAGAAATGTAAGTAAAATAACACAGTATTTTTTAAAATATTTTAATATTAATTATTTTGAATATTTTTAGGGAGATTTTAGAAGTAATACAAAAGATGATTCACCATCTGCTGTTACTTGGGGAGTTTTTCCCGGTAAAGAAATTGTACAACCGACAATAATCGCAAAAGTTTCATTTAATACTTGGAAGGTATGTAATAATTTTCTTTTTTTAGAGGAACAAACTAATTGAATTAATAATACTTTTTCTTTTTATCTGTATTTTACTCATATCATCATATTACAAATAATTTAGGATGAAGCATATGCCCTATGGACAGAATGGGAACATTTATATCCGAAAGATTCACCTTCACAAAGATTATTAAAGGACATTGGAGATAATTGGTGGTTAGTTAATCTTGTATATCATAATTATGTAAATTCCGAAGAGATTTGGGAAATATTTTTTAAATCATAAATAATAAATTATAAAATAATTTATAATTTATTATAAATCTAAAATTATTTGCTTAGCCGTATTAAATACTAAATAATTATATATATGTAACATATTTATGTAAATACTAAAATGTATTATTATTATTGAACATTGAAATAATAATTGTATTAATACAGCTTTTTTAAAAAATCCAATTTTAAATTCACGTGATTAATTAAAGAACGTTTTTTATTTATATGATTTTAATATACCATAAATTTTATTAAACTTTTTAAGACTTATTTGGTAAATATCACAATATGTTAAGTTGATAATCTCCTTAGATAATCAAACTTTATTTTATTGCTGATGTAGATAATCTTACAAGTTTTTTTGAATTTAATTAAAGTTTAAACCTAATTTTTTTCAACTTCTCTTGTACAATATATCTTGATTATTAAATTTGTTTTTTTTTGTTATAAAAAACAAAAAAAAAAGAATTTATTATTAAGTTTGAAATAAATTTTACTTGTTTAACAATTCAATTCAATATATCATATGTTTATATTTAGCAAAGAATCTTAAATTTTATTTTCTTTTAAAATTTTCAAAAATTTTCAAGTCAAATAGTTCAAAAAAAAAAAAAATAAAAGTTTTTGTTATATACATACATACATTCCTCCACCTTTTTTTCAAAAAAAAAAAAAAAAGTGTCCGATTTAAATCCTTTCATTATATCAAAAAGATAATAAATTGTTCAATTGTATAGAAATATATTATTAATAAGACCTCTGAAAAAATACAATAAGATATATTTCTGATTTCATCTTTCTTAACTTTTCTTTCCCAATCAATTTTTCTACAATCTCTCAAGATCTTTGTTCATCTTCAACAATTCCATCTGTAAGAAAACATTTATATATGTATTTATATTAATAACAATTTGCACAACATACTACAATTTCAAATTCATCAACTTACCTTCAAAGTTAGGATGAGGATGAGTCATATTATGTTTTTTCCAATGGTAAGTAGATTTAAATTCTTTACCACAATCTTCATATTTACATTTAAATTTGATGGCAGTACCATCACTCATTTTTTTATGAGTTTTAAACATATGTCTAGATAAGCTGTCTGGATGAAAAAATTTTTTATCACAACCAATTTCATTACAATTAAAAGTTTTATCTTTTGAATGTTTTCTATAGTGAGCGACCAAATGTTTAAATTTATCAAAAGACTTAGTACAACCAATTTCAGTGCATTTAAAAGCTTTATCTACAGTAGGCAAATTGATAATTTGTTTTTCGTGAGATTCTTTATGCTTTTCTAAACTTGATAATAATGAAAATGATCGGACACATCCTGTTATGTCACATTGATATATAGGAGTTGCCCTTTCTTTCTTTTTATTACTGCTAGAAGATGATGATGACGTATCATTTCCAGAAGAGTTATCCTGATTCGTCTGTGCGTGATATCGTCTGATATGATTGTTTAAACTATTCTGTGACTTGAATAATGTCCAACATTTTGGGAATTTACAAGCCCACATTATTTGACCTTCATGTACTACAACTTCTTTAAGATGTTGATCAGTATCTTCTGCTTGTTGAAGAGCTGATAATGTTGTAGAAGGGTATGATCTTGTCATGGGTAAATTAATTAAAGTAGTAGGGAGTGTAGTCGAAGTTAATGGTGATTGTAGATAACTTGTAGCCGGAACAACATTATTAGTGAAAGTATTAGTAATGGTAGGTGTAGAGTCAAATGATTGAGAAGCTTGCGAAGTAGTCATAGTCGTATTTGAACTTGTATTATTATTTGTACTCATAATTTGTTTTTCCGTATTTATTATATTCTGACAATGATTCGATAATTCCCATACACGTTTACCCCTTTTTTTTTTAAAAAAAGAATTTAAGATACTCGAAATATCATTTCGGTAAATTTCGATAAAAAACAAAAAACTTTTTATTTTTTTCCTAAAAAAAAAAGAAAAAGAAAAAGAAAACTTACCTTTAAGAAATTTACTTAAAAAAATTTCATCATTCAAAAGAAGGGAGTTTTTTAAATCAAGAGTGAAATGTTAAAAAAAAATAAAAAAAGTAGTATCGAAAGAAAAAAATTTGAGAGAGAAAGAGAGAGAGGGAAATAAACGATTCAAACGATAAAAAGCGTCATTGCGGCTGATTACATAATTTCGGCTAAAAAACGAGGTATAATAACCGATATCACATGATATAACGTCATAAAATTATTTTCGCGTACATACAGTATATTTGTGCTTACTGTACTGTCTGTACATGTATTAATAATAATAATAAAATTATTTATTTTACCTCGGCCGGTAACAGGCCTTAAAAATGTTTTTTTTTTTTTATTAGGACATAATTTTTTAAATATCGTTAAATTCATCAATATTTTTTATCCAATCACAAACATTAGTATGAAATTTTCCAATACTAGCATATTCTCTTAATAAATCAATTTTATCTTGACCCAACCATTCATTAGCATTATGAAAATATAATTCTAAACCAACAGCAGAAGAAGATAAATCATTTAAATCATAAGGTAAAATAGGAATATCATCAAGAAAATTTTTAAATTCTTTTAAATTACAAATAAATTTACAATAAAAACCCAATAAAGATAATTTTGTAGTTAATTTTTTTGCAATTTTAGGTAACCAAATATTTAAATCTAAATTATTTACCAAAGAATCAATTTCTAAAATTTCCAAATATTTAAAATTTTCCAAAAAATTAATTAAATAATTTACAGTATGAGGAGATACAGAAATAAAAATATCAATTAAATTTGGACAAGAAGATAAAATAATTTCAAATAATAATTGAGCATGTTCAGGATCTTGTTCAATTTCCCATTTTAAGCATAAATATTTAATACTACCATTTGTTTTTAATATAATATTTGATAAATGATATAAATTTATTTTAGTATCTACACATAAACTAAATTCCACAAGTTGAGTATATGCAGGACCATTAGAAAAAGGTTGTAAAGTATTTAATGACCAAAAAGATTTTGTTGTATTAGGAATATGAGAATCTGTTATCCTTAAATTTAAAAGATTCTTGCATTCAGAAAAAATATTTAAAGGTATTGTTCCACCTTGTTTAATCCAAAGATATGTTAAATCTTCATAATTGGATTCTAAAAGATTTTTTAAAGCATTCGTTAAATTTGGCATTTGTTGATCGTTTAAACGAATTTTTAAGAAATGAATTTTTGGTAAAGTATTTAAAAAATTAGATAAATTTTCATCATCATCTTTACATTTAATCATTAATTTATCAATAATATAAAAAAGATTTTTAAATTTATTAAAAAATGAATGAAAATTATTTGTAGTTAATTTTAATAATTCAAGATGTGATCTTTCTGGTAAAATTTCGTTTAAACAATCAAGGTAAGAAAATGATCCAATTCCTTCCGGTATTGTTAATTTATATCGTTTTACTGAACTTTTTTTGGCAATCATTTTAATTAATTCTTGATAAATAATTAATTGTGTATTAGAAACATGTTGATATTTTTTTAAAAAATTTTTCATAACTTGTTGCTGTTGATTTTGTTGCTGCTGTTGTTGTTGCCATTGTTGTTGTTGTTGTTGTTGTTGCTGCTGCTGTTGTTGTTGCCGTTGTTGTTGTTGTCGCTGCTCTTGTTCTTGTTCAATTATAACTTTACGAATCCAATTTGCTACTGCCGTAAATAATGTTGTAAATTCTATTCCCTTTAAATATATTATATAATTACATAAAAGTGTATTGTTACTTTCTTTTAATATGTTAACTTTTTCTAATCCATTTTGTCTAATAATAGATTTTGATTGTTGTGAGAGACATGAAACATATATTTCAATTATATTGATCGCTCTAAGATTTCTATCCCGATAAGTTTTTCCAAATGTTTTTTCTAACGGGTTTTCCCATAATATGGGTAATATATTTGTACACCAATATCTATTAACCAATAAACAATTAAATAAATCTGTGTAATTTCCAACTTCTTTAAATATATTTTGAAGAATTTCCGGTGGGAACTGTATCATTTTATTACTTTAAATAAAAGGAAAAGAGAAGAAGAAGAAGAAGAAAGAAGAAGAAAAAAAAAAAATTTTTTTAAAAAAAAGGAAGAAAGCCAACTTAAATTAGTCGAGAAGCTTATTTTGGTGAAACTAAAAAGAAGAATGCGATTATTTAACTTATTGAACCTATTACACGTTACATATCAGGTTTTTTTTTTTCTATTTAAACCAATAAAAAAATTTAAAGTTTTTACCTTGTTCTCATTACTTTGTTCTAGGGTTTCAGGGGTTTGGTTTCGTTAGCAGGAGCCAATTATTTGTATAATTATATAAATACGGTTTAGAACATTATAAATATAGTTTTATTGTGGCTCGGTATATTTAGAGAATTTGTCCGTTGGTGTAACATTATATCCCAATTTGTTGTATCAAAGATAATCAAAAAAGCAATTCAATAAATACGATTTTGATCTGTTTGTTGTTTCGTTAGCGTATTTCATTGTATTAATGAATTAGATAATGTATATTATTATTATTATTATTAAAAAATGGTCATTAAAACAATACTTCCTTAGATAATATGGAATACTTCAATATTACTATGTTAAATAAATTATTTGGATTTGCAATTTTATTTTTATTTGTGATTATTAAAATTTTTCAAGGGTTTAAAGTGTAAATCCATAATTCTGTAGTTTGAATTGGGTTAGTCGTTTGCATTGGGTTAGCTGTTTGGTCTTGCGTGATGGGCCATCTGTCATTCTGTCAATGATGTGGAATACTTCACTATTAATACGTTGAATTAATTATTTGGATTCTCATTGAAAAATTGAAATCTTTCGTAATTTTAAAAGTGACAAAAATCGGTTTTTTTAGTTGCGTTGTCTACATGACATCTAAATAATTATTGTGGATTAGTAATCTCATTCTTTTTACCTTATGGAAATATAGGTTGATTCGTCTACATAGTATGCTTTTGGTTTGATTTGCGGTTTTCGAGTGAAAAGAGCCCTATAGTGGGGAGTCTTACAGTGATGAAAAATCAACACTGGTCAATGTCTCTTCTTGGAATACTTTTTAGAAACATCCATGAATATTACATTATCATAGGTGACTTCCATAAATCCTCAGATTTATAATAACTTTTTACATAGTTTTATCATATCAGATATGTGAGGTCAAATATACAGGTCACGATACTATTGATATGTACTTTCTCTTTTTTCTTTGTTGAAAATTCTTAGCTTTTATAAAAACTTACAAAAAATTCTTTCGCTTTTATTTAGTCTTTGATAATTCGATGCTGTAAAGCATAGATTGTAAATACAAAGGTTCCGGCCATCGTTGTCTGCAACCTGTATAATGAATATGAAAGCAAAAAATTCACACTACTAGAGAATATTATGATTTAATTATTTTGTAATTTAAAATCCATGATGCTAGGAAAACAACTGGGCGCTATAAGGCTATATAAAAGTATTTGTCCTCTTTATTTTGTAATTTAAAATCCATGATGCTAGGAAAACAACTGGGCGCTATAAGGCTATATAAAAGCATTTTTCCTCTTTTATGATTTAATTATTTTGTAATTTCTTAAAATCTATAATGCTAATTAGGATTAGGTGAAGAATCGCTAATACTCATTCTAACTTCTCCGACTCATGAAATAGAAACGTGATATTTCGTTGTCTCTATTGGAAGGTTTCGTACAAGTTGTAAATATGTAGAGTAATATTAGTTGGATCATTGGAAAGTGGACCGCACATGTTTTTCTGATCACTTTAAGTAGTTATCAGTTGTTGAATCGGCCAGCATGATCTAAAGGTTCTTTATAAAGCTATCTAACGGATATGCTATAGAAAATCGAGAGAAATATCCGAAGTGATAAGAGAAATAAGTTCCAGTATTGGACCTGACCGCCTGAGAACTGAGTAATACTATTATGAACTACTGAGATCTGAGTAATATTATTATGAACCTTACATACCTTGTTCTTATTATAACGAAACTTATAGGTAAATGCACGCATTATGTACTCTTTAAGTGCACACCTGATTCGGTCTCAAGTTTATATGACTTTTTCACACATGTAGCTCAAAGGTAGAGCAGCCGCCTTTTAAGCGGTTTTGTTGGGAATGATCTATAGTCCCAAGGAATGTTACATTTATAGTCAAAAATATGAAACTTGACCACACACATGTGACCTTCACATTATATACTAATATACAATATAAATGGATCAAGAACAATATAATTATAGTGTATTCCTATTCTTTATAATTTTATAAAGTTTTACATTAATAAGTCGATCCTGAGACTTTGATATGATCGCGTATAACTGACGTAGCCCAACATTCCCCGAACATTCTCATCCATTGATCTTGATATCTCCTGCCACCATGTCCAGAGAGGGTCTTAAAGTGAACTCTGACGGTTCTAAGAGCCGCCGCTTGACTGGTTTCCCGACTGATTGCAAGTTTGCTTTTATACGATGAATCTTTTGTTGCACGATAGACGCTTTGTGTGCGAGATGATTTAAATTGGTTAGACCGGCGTTTCTGCATTGAATAATTTGTTGGTTTCATTTTCTCTCCGTATGAACATTACCTTTCCTAAAAAATTTTTTATTATTTCTAATAAATAAAATTAATTCCATATGGATTAGTTCAGAAATATGTATTACTCCATTATATTCAATTTTTTGGCCGAGTGGCATGAATGTAACTATGAAAATAATTGTGACAATAAATTATGTATTAAATTTTTATAGTCTAAACTTTAATTGATAGAATTTTAGCTGTCATTTCAAAAGGATTAAATAAGATTGATACGATTAATAATTACATAAATATGTTCCCTTATAAAGTAGTCCTATTCGATCGTACTACTTTTTGAAAAATTCAGTAAGCAAGAACTTTTTAAAAAAATTAACTAAAATTAAATCTTCTTGAATTAATATGAATATATTATGATACGATTGAATAATTATGTTTCTCTTATAAAATAGTAGTTACCTTTCTCTTCTTTTCGATCGTACTACTTGGATGATGACCTTTTTTGGCCTCGTCAACCTTTTTACTCATTCGATTACTATCAGTTAAGTTACAATATAATTGGTCAAAAAGGATATGATTGTTAAAATCCTTGTAATCCTTGTGTATCCAAAAGTTTACATTATTCATTATGAAATTTATTTATGGTTAGAAAAAAAATAAGATTTAACCCAATAAAATCCGTTAAAATCCAATAAAATCCAATCGAATCCAATAAAATCCGTTAAACCCAATAAATCCTAATAAAATCCAATAAAATCCAATAAAATCCAATAAAATCCAATAAAATCCAATAAAATCCGTTAAAATCCGTCAAATCCGTTAAAATCCGCACGCAACATAAATTCGCAACATTAAGATCAAAAAATTGTAATTTTTATTAAGTTCGCTTTAACTTCAATAAAAAAAAAAAAAAAATTTCTTAATTATTCTGTACTTTTAATAATGGATATTTAAGAACGATTATTTGATATTCAATATATATAGTTTTCTCATACAATCTTAAGAGCTTAAATGATTTGTGAATTACAATTTATTTTTAAGAACGATTATTTGACGTAATTTTATAATTATGCCCATACAATCTTAATAAAATTTTTAATGATTGTAACCAATTATTTGATTACAATTTATTCATAAAGAATAATTATTTTCCCATATACAATCTTAAGAGCTAAATTTTCTTAAGAACAATAATTTTCCTATATAAAATCTTAAGAACTAAATTTTCGTATTATTAACATTTCTTCTATTATTACTCATATATTTATGAGTACTTTTATGTATACCAAATTCTCTTCCTGTCTTAAATATTTGTCCACAACAGGAATAAGTACGAACGGTACCAGGATTTCTTTTTCTTTTCGTTTGTCTTGAAGTCCTCCTTTTCGGTTTCTTCTTAATATAATTATCATGAACTTTTTCATCATGAAGTTGTACTTTATTCGTATGGAATGAAACTCTATTGCTTAACTTGTAAATAAACTTATGATCATTTTTAATATGTTTCTCCCTAGAATTTATATCAGAAAATTCCTTATCACATTGAGTACATTTTAATAATTTAACATTACTAATATCAAAAAAATCAACGTGATTAAAAGAATCCCTCTCATCATTTGAAGAATAATCATTATTATCTTGTATTTTCGTAAAATCCTTAGAAGCTGAATGATAAAATTCTAAAATTTTTTGAACTCTTTCCACAGTCAAAGTTGAAGATTTCGACTTAAATTTATAATCGGACAATCTTTCGTTATTATTATTAATATTAAAATGATGATGAACGGATTCTTCCTTAGGTATGGACATATTAAGTAAGGTTACATTATGTATGGAAACATTACTGACATTAGGTATATTAGATACATTAGGTAAATCTCCATCCAAAGGTTTATCCTCTAAAGGAATCGAAAGATTCCTAAGTTTGGTAAACTTATTTTGATCATCAACAGGTTTAGTCGAAACATCTTTGCTCGGTATGTTTTGTACGTTTTGTACGTTTTGTACGTTTTGTACGTTCAATCTTCTATTCTCAAATTTATTCAACATCAAATTATTATTTACATTCTTCAAAGAATTATTAAATTCTAATGAAGATTTTTTGGGAATAGAACGTACATAAGAGAATTCATCATCCTTTTTGGTGATAATGGAATCATTTTGTCGTTGAATTTCACATGATGATTTTGTAAGATCAATAAAAGGACAACAAGAACGATTTTGGGATACTAACTTTTCTTTTTTGTTGATCCTATTAAACAAGAGATCATAATGAAATAATGAATAAAATTGGTTGTTCCCATGAAATCTCTCAGTCGTATCTTTTTTAAGAATAGAATTCTCATGTATATGATTGATTCCTAAATATGAAAATCCTCGATTAATTTCTCTCATTTCTTTTTGATTAGAAGAATCAAAAGTTTGACGATAAGAATAAATTTGATTCAATTCAAATAATGAAGGAAATCCATATTGAAAACAAGAGTTATCAAGTTTAACGGGAGAACCATTTTCAGGAGATACCATCCTTTTAATAGAATCATTCGAATTATTTGATCGTAAAGAAGGTTTCTCTTGATTTTTCCATATTGAATCATTCAAAGTTAAACCAAAGATATCTTGCTTTTTCTAAAAAAGGAAGATTATATAATAACAAATAAATAAAAATAATATATTAACAAATAATTCCATTGAACAAATAATGACACTTTTTTTTTTTAAAAAAAAAAAATAATAATAATAATATTTATATATAAGAAAAAAGAGTGAAAGAGTGGGTAATTTACTCATTTGACTTGTAACCACTAAAACAGGTTATCAAAAATAGGAATATTGTAACACCATTTGTAGTTCGTGAGAAATTTTTTTATAATCATATGACCTTCCAAAGTAGTTTTTCCGCATCATAAAATTCATAGATATTTCCTCTTTATTTTTTTCTTTGTAAACGTTAATAATAATTGTGTAAACCTTTCAGGTTTATTTCCAGTTAAATATTGTACTACTTTTTTTTTTTTTTTTTTTTAAAAAAAAAGGATATAAAAAATATATATAATAATTTTTTATTTTGTTTTGAATCGGAAATATATATAAAAAAACGCGAATTTTAAAAAAATCCTTTCACGTAAATTAAATAAAAATGGGTAGATGTAAATCTTCCAAAAGAATTACCACTCATCGAAAATCTAAAAATTCCATTCAAGGCATTGAAAAGTCCAATAAGACTTCTAATACTAACGATAAAGATGTTAAGGGAGTTTCTGACATCATAGATCACAATTTAGATGGTAACTTATACATATTCATATATACATATACATATACATATACATATACATATACATACATACATACATACATACTCATGTGTTTGACCTTATAATTGATCATTTTTATAGTAATCTTTGTTGGAGTAGTCCCATCTTGTAAGAATGCCGCGAGGAAGGAGCATTATTATTGTAGTTCAAGTAATCAGTTTTATAAATTATTGCATGAAAGTGGTAAGATATTGCGAACTTTCAAAATGCTTTTAATTTCAAACTTTGAAAAATTTCATTTCTTCCGTTTTTCTTTTTTTTAAGGATTTACTGAAAGAAAACTTAAGCCTGAAGAAGATGGATCATTGTTAAATTATAAGATTGGATTGATGAATATTCGTACCAAATTCACTCAAAAGAATCTTGTAAATTATCTTTTTAATTATCTTATCTTTCGATCTCTGATATCTGATATACCTGATAACTGATAATTTTGATAATTTGATATTCATTATTTTTAATAGATTGATCCTAAAGAAGAGATTAGAGAAGAAATCGAAACTTTTATTGAAAAAATAAGAAAATACAAACCAAAATTCATTTGTTTTAATGGAAAAGATGGATTTGCCACTTTTATGTCAATTAAAAATGATGTGGCAATTAATAAAAAATATGAATTTGGATTTAAAAATGATGATAAAATTGATTGGATTGATGAAAATGGTTTTACAAAGATTTATTTATTACCATCAACTGGAGGTTTAAATAGTTCTTTTCGTTATGATGAGAAGAAAGAATTTGCAAAAGAATTAAAATCATTGATTAAATCTGATAACGATGACGTTGATGACGCTGATGACGTTAAAATTATTGATAATGATGAATAATGACTAAAAATATATATATCTTTTATTTGTATTATCATATAATAATTAATTTTTATAAGTATTAATGGTATAAAAGAATAAATCATATGAAAGTTGTCAGTTAAGTGACGAAATAAAAAATACACGTGATGAAACTTTAAAATAGTAAAATTTATTGTGTAAAAATGATGATTATCTTTTTTTCTTTTTTTTCTTTTTTTTTTTTGACAATGGTGAATTGATCTATCATAAAGCTTCGAGAGAAAAAAAATTAAAGTAGTTTAAGACTAAAAAAAATTCTCATTTAACTTTCTATATACAGATCAAATTAAAATAAATCTTATTTTTACGTCAAAGCTCAATGAAAGTTTCTTTTCAAGTAAACAAAATATCGTGCTTAAAAACGTAACCGTTACACGATAAATTCTTCACGTTTTCTATTACCCTTCCTTTTTTTTTTTAAAAAAAAATTTTTTTTTTTTTTTTTTTACACATCTTCCGTGTTTTATATCTTTTTCCTCATATAAAAAGTGGCGATTTATACTCTCCCCCCAAAAAATTATAAAAAAAAAAAACGAATAAATATGTCGGCGAAACTTTCTTTACTTAATCTTCACCTTCGTTTACTTCCAAGTAAAGTTGAGTCTTTTATAGACAAGACGAAAAAAGAATTTAAAGAGGTTGTAAATAGAGATGATTGTTCGGAAGAAGACGTACCACTTGATTTTGATTTAATATTTAGTAATCCAAGAGTTGATTTGTATTCATTTGATATGGAAACTACTCAAAATGAAGTTATGAATGATCCTGAATCTATGGATAATTATGATGATTCCAAGAAACAAAAAAAGGTGACATTATAATCATTTTTTTTTTTATTCTTTTCATATTAAAAATTTATTAAAATTTTTATTATCATTATTAGAAGACAATGTATAATCGTGTCAAGAAACGTATTATTGATCAACTATCCAAGGATAAAATGGATAAAATCAAATCAAAGGAACCCTCAACTTCCAGTAACCTCCCTTCTAATCGTGTAACGTTAGTCAAAGGAATTCGCGTTCACGTTTATTGTGATGATGAAAATGTTAAATTGTAAATATGTTATTTAAAATGATTGATTCTTACATGATTGTAAATATTTTGTTGTAAATGTTTGAATCATTCATATACGCGTTTATATTTGATATTTGTTGAAATATTTGAATATTTGTGTAATATATGTACATAAAAAAAATTATTTTTGCTTAAAACAAAACCTTTTTTCCTTTTTTTTTTTTTTTACAAAATGTGATTATTGTGATATAAATAATTTTATCGATTCTTTTAAATCATGATCATTTTATGATTATTATTTTTAACTGGGCGAAAGAAAAAAATCATAATAATAATCGATAAAGTTTTTGAACCGTGATAATTTACTAGGTGATAAAGGTGATGAAACGAAATTTTTATATAATTATGTAAACATGATATAAAGTTATTATAATCAATAAATCAATAATGATTATGGGATCATTTGTTTTTCATTTTTTAATTATTGAAAATATCATATGATCTTAATAATTCTCTTATTTTATTAATATATTAATATAAGATCTCTTTTTTTTTTTTATTTCTTCATTTTCATATTTTTTAATATCTACAATTTTCAACAAAGTATTGTAAATCTTCGATATATAATATACATAATATACATAATATACTAAATTACTAATAAATATATCTTATATATTCCTTTTAGGAAATATCCCTCGATCAATCGATTTAACTTAGGCATGTGCTCAAAGTTACACAAGTTAACCTATAAAAAGTAATTCTAATTTCATTCAATTTTCATTTTGTTTACTTTATACTTTCTTTTTCTTTTACTATTAAAGAAAAAAGAAAAAGAAAAAAATATGCCATCCCTTTTCTTAACAGGAAAACCCAGAGTTGGTAAATCTACTATAATTAGAAATTTGATAAAATATTTACAAACTACTTATTCGGAAACAATTTCAACTCATGGTTTTTATACATCTGAAGTATCAAAAGAACCAAATAATTTTAGGATAGGATTTGACATAATCACAATCGATGGACAAAAAGGTGTACTTTCACGTAAAAAAGAGTATTGGATAGGAAATCCTCCTGATAATAATACACCAAAAGTTGGAAATTATATAATTAATTTAAAAGAATTTGAAAGGTTAGCTATACCTTCAATTACTACTACTATTCATAATAAGGAGAAAAAGATTGAAAAAAATAAATTAGATGTGATCATAATTGATGAAGTTGGTAAAATGGAATGTTTTTCAAATGATTTTAATGAAATTGTTAGAAATTTAGTATTAAAAGATAATGATAGTAAAGGAAATGAAAATATTTTTGTTATTGGTACTGTTGCGATGAATCATGATGGTTTAGCTAAAGAGATTAGAAATAAAGCTGGATTTGGAAATTTTTGTGAATCAAAAGATATAAATAAAAATCTTATAATTTGGGAGGTTACTTATGATAATAGGGATTATATAGTTGATAATATTGTTTATGAATTAGAAAAAATGATTAAATGACGGGAATTTTTAATGGGTAACTTTAATTAATAGGGTTCAATTTATCTAAATTTAGTACATTTAGTTGTCAATTTAGTCAATTAAGTAAATTTAGTCAATTTAGTCGATTTAGTCGATTTAGTCGAAATTTGTTACTGCGCCTCATTTATGGAAAATCGCGTTTATTAGTAAAGTGTTTAATTGTCTTTTATAGCATTTATTATAATAATATTATTATTATTATTAAAAAAAAAGTAAAAAAAAAAATTGTACTTTCATCTATATTTATTCTCAACCCGAATTATTTATCCTTGACAATAAGCTTTTAAATATACTGAAACATCCTTTTCCTCCAAAATTCCCAAAGCTTCAGAAATAACATCTTCCCTACCATTAAATTGTCTAATAATATCTAAACAATGAATCATATCTCTTCTAAGATTAAGTTCTCTTGTATCTTCAGTCCAATACCCACTTCCCCAAGGATCACATAACCAAATATCATCTTCAAAATCATATTTATTATGTCTATGTAAATAAGGTGCCATCCATCTCATAACTAATTCTCTTGTAGGTGTAAGTATTTCTGCTAAACATTCAAATGTTTGAAGATTATAAGAAACACTTGTTAATAAAGTAACAAAAGCATCCATACCACATGCTGAAGTTGGTGCTTCATCCCATACTTTTAATGATAATTCTTCATTAAAAGGTGATGCTGTAGTTGCTGTTCTACGTTTATATGATAACCATAATTCTTGTCCTGGTAATATATTTGATTTTAATATGATTAAAAAATTTCTTTCTTGATGTTCGTTTGGAGCTTGGTAAACTTGTACAAAACGTTCAACGAACCGTCTTAAATCAGCTCCTTTTGGATTCATTTAAAAAAGAAAATCACGGTTTGAAAATTATTTATTAAGATTATTATAGTTAATTATCCAAAGAGTTTAAAAAAAAAAATTATATATATTTGGTCCTTTTTTTTTTTACGGAAAAAATCTCAAATTATAAAGTATGAAAAAAAAGATTTACGAACTTTTTTTAGTAAAAAAATAAGATCAACAACGTAATACTAATGTAATGAAAGGTGGTACTACCCGTTTTTTTTTTATTGCCGAATCATGCGAATCATGCGATTATAATGACGATGATAGTGTTACCCAATTTATTAGTTTTTAACCATATTTAGGTTGGCTTATTTACTATTTGAAGGAAATAACTTTTATTCGTCAAAAAAATTTATCAAAAAGTAGTATAATATTAAATATTTCTCCGGAATACAGTTTTTTTTTTAAAATTAAAATTTTTACTGACATGCCGATGCATCATTGTATCAATTGTACGACCACCGCGCCGTAATTCGGTAATAATAGTAATAATTTGAAACTTTAATTTCATGTAATAATTATATGACCCGCCACATGAACCTGATCTGAGGCACGATTACATCGGATTACCCTCCGTATTTTATTATATAAATATATTAAATAAAATTAATAAAATTACAAATATAATATTAAATCTATATATAAATTATTATTAAGTTATACATAATAGAAGTTTTTGTAAATAATAAAATTCTTTTTTTAATTAAGTTTTTTTCTTAATTTTAGTAAAGCCGTTCGATAAACTTTAATATATTCTTCAATAGGTCCACCAGGTCTATTCCATCCTAATTTTAATGCATCTTTAATTATTTTTCTAATAAAAATTTCTTTTTCTATAGGATTATTATTTAATCTTATCATATCATCTACAGAATTATTTAATGCTATTTTCATTTCGTTAATTGAAAGTTCGGAATTATTTTCATCTTTTAAATTATATAAATAAGAATTATAATTATTCATATTTGTCTTATTAACTAAATATTCTTTTAATTTTTCGGATCCAATACTAACTATTGGACTTCCAAATAATAATCCTTCAGCTGCTGCCATTAACCCAAAACTTTCCGTTTTACTTGGTACAAATAATATATCTGCTGCTGTTCTATATAAATTTCCCCAACTCAATTTAAAATCTACATCGTCTATAATTACAAGATTATTGGGATAATAGTTTACAAGATGTTTTAATGAACTTATAGGAAAACCACTATCTTCCATAATTATAAATTTAATATTTTTTGATACTAAAAGATCTATCGCCGCTTGGAAAAATTCTAATCCTTTAGTGTACTGAAAATTTCCAATAAATAAAACTATTGTACGATTTAAATCTTCCTTTAATAGTAATCCTTCTCTGACTAAATGAAGTTTTGCGTTAAATTTTGATGTGGTAATAAGTGATTGTGTAGAATTTTCTATTGATTCGGCATATAAAAGAGCTGGATCAAAATTGTGAATGTTTTTTGGAAAATTCGAATTGGTTTCTACTAACAGTATATCATTAAATGGATTATATAAATTAAAATCAAGTCCATTTGAGATACCAATCCACTCTCCTTTAATAGCTCTTTTAAGAATACTTGGTATTATAAGTTCTTTTGCATAGAAATCCATCGAGTCTTCAACCATTTCTTGAGCGATAATTTTGGAAGTAAAAGTTACCATTTGTGCTTGATCGATTCCAATTGCTGATGTATACAATTGACGCCCATTAAAATATTGTGATCTTACTTTAGGATAATTTTTTAATTCTATAAATTTCTGTACATTAACGATCGAATTTGAATATAAATGTTCTTTAAGATGATCATGTATAGTATAAACAATTGATGGTGGTGCCATTTTAAATTTTCCTCCTACATATAATGATTTCATAAATTCAATTACAAGAGCATTTGGTGATCCATGAAGGTGCACAACATCTACACCTCTAGCTTCCTTTAAATCAAAAAGTGGTGTATCGATATCCGTATTAAGATATGTAATCAGTTCAGCAGCTGCCTTACAAAAAAATATATCTTGCCAATCTTGTGATAATGGATATCGTGAAGAATAAATTCCCGTAGCATCATCAGCTATAAAAGATAAATCAAGAGGAAATACGCCTTTTGGTGATCCAATTAAGTAAACTTGAACCGAACGAGGTTCCGAAAGGTTCGTGATCTTACCATTTGGATCATCTGGATTACTCGTAATATTCCACAAAAATCTGTGAACAAAAAATTTTACAGGTTTCCATTTTTGATGACTATCACGAATTTGTACTTCTAGTTGAGCAAATTTTTGTAACCTATATAATCTCTTTATAAAAGAATAATAAGGTATTATCACATTCACATCAAGTGAACCATTATTCGCTTGTGATGATGCCAAACTTGTTACTACTTGACCCACATTACTCAATGTTGCTGGTCCAAATTCTTTACTAACGTGATAAATTGTTGTACCTTCTATCAATTCAGCTGGTATATTTTGATCTAATCCAATATATGGTATCGAATCATATTTCTGTTTTTCTATAAAAATTTAAATTTATTTAATATATATTTATATGTAATATATATTATATACATATAAATAAAAATATTTTTTTAAAATATTATATAATACTCTTACCTATTAAAAGTTGGTGATATTCCCCTCCAGGGAATATTGGACTTAAAATAGTATGAAATAAAGCAAGACAAAAAATTAATAAAATAAAAAATATAATAGGTTTATATCTTCTTTTTTCAAATAAAGATGATATTTTATTAACGGTACGCTTAAAAAAAGAGGACCTATTCGCAAATGAAGATTTTAAAGGATTATGTTCAGATGGTACACGAATACTTGGTGAAACTGATCGTGTTCTAGCTTTCAAAGGTTTCATATTATTATTATTATTATTTTTTTTAAATTTTATATTAATTTATTTTAATAGTATATTCTTTTTTAATAAAATAAATAAAATAAGACCAAATACAGAAATATTGAGAAAAAAACTATAAAAAATTATTTATTTTAAAAAAGAATGGGAGGTTTTTTTTTAAAGTGATGTTTAATATGGAAATCCAATTTATTTTATCGTCGTACCTATGAAAATCAGTGTAAATCGTGACTAACCAATAAGAGATATAAAACGAAATCTAGAATTATTATTCAAGTTTGGAATTTGGGTACTTTCTATTTTTCTAACGTACATAAGATTAACCCAATTAACTAAATGATGTAATAATTTATGCTCATTACCACATCTGGCGCTTCCTGATAAATCTGGTACAACCCCATTTTTCGAATCTATAAAAGCAAGCTGATGTGCTGCTAAAAATCAATACAACAATGTCTAGAGATTTAACGCTTGAATTACAATCTATTCGTGATGGTAAAGCTTCAATCGAACATCAAATTGATATACATGGTTGTTATTTATTATTTATTATTTATTGTAAATTTTTTTGTGTATTGTGTTATTTGTGTATTACCATATAATAATTAAATAAAATGATCGACATTTAATCTATAAAATCATAGTAAATGACCTTTTCGGAGTTAAACACAATTTACAACTCTCTCTCGAAGATGTGTTAGCCGGGTTACGTTATGTAATGGACTATCGCCTTAAGGGCGGTAGACTTCCAAATTTAGATTTCGACCTAATGAAACGATTATGTGAAGGTTTATTATTAAACATGGCTCATTCAGAAGGAGGTTTACTTAAACGCAAAATGACGCCGGAAGCCAACGAGGCTTTTATCCTTTTCGGTGAATTTCTTGAAGAAGGTAATTATTAAAAATATTTAATTTCAATTATTAATATTTAAATTGTTATACGCTCGATGATCAACAAAATGTCATAATTTTATAGTGGAAGAATTTCGAATAGCCGTTGGTGAAAGAAGTTTATCCGATCTATATAATGCACTCAGACTTCATCGTAGATGCCGCAAGGACGCGGATCCAGAAGTAAAACAAGCAGCCGTTGCCATTATTTATATGTTAACGGAATGGTTCTCTCAATTTTCAGACTGGCGTGAATTGGTTAAAGTTGATGAACAAAGTGACGTAGAAAAAGTTATGAAAGAATTTACGGATACAATTAAAAAACCTAAAATGCCACCACTCCAAGGGGTTGCTTTACCTCCACCTTGTAAGTAAATTAATTAAATCTTGTTTAAAAAATGAAACCTAATCTATTTTTTAAGTTATTGATTATTTGTATTACATGTATTTTAGCTTTGTATTTTGATCGTGATGTCACTCGAGTATTGAAAATGTTTCGTACTTCTCTTACGGATGGTCTACATTCAACTTCCATTGAGGGATTATTGGAACATTATAGTCCCAATATACTTCCAGAACCACCAAAAACTTCGATATTTAGGATGATATTTAATCAATTAAAAGATTTTATGGTTATAATTTTATTGATTGCAACAGTTGTAACCGCAGCAGAAAAAGACTTCAAAGGAATGGGTGTTTTATTATTCGTAATTGTACTTAACACCATAATAGGGTTTACACAAGAGTATAAGGCAAATAAGGCGTTGGCGGCATTGGAAAAGTTATCAGTACCAAAGGTGAGAATATTTGTTTAAAGTAAAATTTATCACGTGATCAAATATTTATTTTTTTAACGAAAGATTATATAATAAAGGCCCAAGTAATTCGTGATGGTGAGCAAATAATTGTTGATTCCTCTCAACTTGTCCCAGGTGATATTGTTGTCCTTGAGGAAGGTGATGCTATTCCAGCTGATTTAAGAATTGTTGAATGTTCCCGCCTTGAAGTTATCGAATCTATTTTAACTGGAGAAAGTCTTCCTGTATCAAAATCTACTAAGAAGATTTTGACAAGTGTATGTATTTATTTAAATAATATAAGTTGATTCAATTTCAATTCATATTTATCAATTTAAATTACTTAAATGGGTGATAAATTATAGACGAGAAATCTTCCCTTAGGTGATTGTAAAGGCAATGCATTTATGTCTACAGTTGTTGCAAAAGGACGAGGCAAGGGACTCGTTGTTCGTACAGGAAATGACACTGAAGTAAGAAATAATTAATATATAAAAAGGCTGAAATTTTTAATTATCTTTTTTAATATAGTTTATTATATATAGATTGGCAAAATAAGTGCTGCTATCACGTCAGCAAAAAAAACCACAACTCCAATTCAACGCAAGCTGGCTAGACTTGGGATATGGCTCGTTGCTCTTGCAGTCTTTTTGTGTGCCTTGATTATTGTAATTGGGGTTTTATATCATCATGAAGTAAAATATATGATTAATATTGGCATTACGTATGTGATATTTTTATCAAATTACCATTTTTGTTTCTATATTTTAAAAGTTAAACTTTTTTTTTTTATTTTTAAGTCTAGCTGTCTCCGTTATCCCCGAAGGTTTAGTAGCAGTAACAACGGTGACAATGGCTGTTGGTGTTCGTCGAATGGCTAAACGTAGTGCTATCGTTAGAACATTGCCATCAGTTGAAACTTTAGGTAGTGTTACCGTTATTTGTTCTGATAAAACAGGCACTCTTACCGAAGGAAAAATGGGCCCTAGCGAATTGTGGACAGCTGATGATTCATTGTACTCTTTCACCGAGCCAACCTCGTTAGATCCAAATATGGGTGGTGTTTTACTCTTCCCACATGAATATCGACAAAGCGTTCTTAGGAAAAGTCAAACATCCTCACAATCATTGGTTTTATCTGAAAAGTCCCCAATAAAACCTCAGGAAATACCGAAAAATTCTTTAAATTCTCCTGCTCATATGGTAGCGGCATTAATGGTTTCTTGTCTCTGTAATAATTCTTCTGTGACAAAAGACGATGAAAAAGATGGTGAATGGAAAGGCGTTGGGGATCCTACTGAAGTAAGAATTAAAAATTTAAATTATATGATTATGAAAAAACATGGTTAAAATTTCTTTTTTTGAAACTATTTATCTAGGTTGCTTTGGTTCTTGCAGCTCAAAAAGGTGGTTTTACTAAAAACTATTGGGAGAAGGAACATGGTTTTACCAAAGTTTATGAGAAACCTTTTGATAGTGAGAGAAAACTTATGAGTGTCGTATATAAAATTACAACCTCTGAACGTTTAAAACCAACACATCTTGTATTTGCGAAAGGAGCTCCAGAAGAATTACTTCGCAAATGTACACATCGTTTACCATATGTTAGATCTTTAAATCCCATTGAACCGTTTGACGTGATCCTTGAGCAAAAAGATGAGTGTCGACATGAAGAATTGAATGATGATTTTGTCGATCTTGTATCTGAACAAAGTTCAAGAATGGCATCAAAGGGATTAAGAGTTCTTGGATTAGCTCTTAAATCTGTAACTGTTGATGGTTTTCCGTTGACTGCTTCTGCGGAAGATACGATAGACGTAGATATAAATAATGAGTCTGAAGAAAATTCCCCCTCATCACCTAATGCTAATCCATTATTTGCAGAAGATAATTTGACATTTGTTGGGTTAATTGGTTTAATTGATCCACCTAAGAAGACAGTTGCAGAATCTATTTATAGGTGTAAGAAAGCCGGTATTAAAGTTGTCATGATAACTGGTGACCATGTTGCTACTGCAACAGCAATAGCAACTGATATTGGTATCATTGAACCCGATGTACCTAATTCGGTGCGTGATTTATTAAAATTTTTGCGTTTTTTCCTCATAAGATCATACTTATAAAATATATTTTTTTTTAGAATCGCGCAATTCGTGGCGCTGAGTTGGACCTTTTATCGGATGAAGCGATTACAGAATTAGATCCATTCCCAAGTGTTTTTGCTCGTGTCAGGTATTATTGCATAAATAATCTTTTTTTTTTATTTTTTGAAACAAGAATAATTTTCTAAAAAAAAAAATTTCTTTTCTTTATAGTCCTGACAATAAACTTAAAATTGTTAAAGCATTACAAAATATGGGAAATTCAGTAGCTATGACTGGTGACGGTGTAAATGGTAATAATCAAATAAGATAAAAATGATATTTATAATACACTTTTTTAAAATTCAAATTAATTTGATAGATGCCCCCGCGATAAAGGCTGCAGATGTGGGTGTTGCAATGGGAATTAGTGGTACAGAAATCACGAAACAAGCAGCAGATATTGTTTTAGCCAATGATGATTTTTCAACAATTGTCGCTGCTGTTGAAGAGGGTCGACAAGTTTTTGACAATATTCTCAAGTTTATTGTATATCTTCTAAGTTGTAATGGAGCTGAAATTGTCCTGATGCTCGTTTGTACTGCGATAGACATTCCATTACCGTTCTCAACAATAATGATTTTGTGGGCTAATATAATTGGTATTATACTTTATTTATAATTCACTATGATAAATGGTTTAACCTTCATGTTTATTAATAACGATCTATATATCTATTTCTTATTACGCTAAACAGCTGATGTTCCACCCGCCATTTCACTTGGTGTTGAACCAGCAGAAAAGGATATTATGCAACGTAAACCAAGAAATCCCAAGGCACCTGTGCTTGGTAAATATGCAACGGCAATACTGCTTGTGCAAGCGTTTACTATGGCACTATTACCATTTGGAATTTATATGCTTTCAATAAATAACAATCTCGGGTCGAACATGAAAAAGAAAGATGCAATGTCATTAGCATTTTCTACATTAACAACAATGCAACTTCTTCAAGGCTTCTTATCTAGAACATTATATGAAAGTATATTTAAAACAGGTATATTTGGTAATAAAGTACGTAAATAATTTTTGAAATTTCTATATTTTCTTTAATGTAAATATATATCACTATAAATTTACTAATTGATTATTTTACAGTGGATGGTTGGTTCCGTAATTGGATCGTTCGTTGCGATGCTTATAGGTGTATATGTTCCAGGTAAAATAGCGATTCTAAAAATAGCGATTCTAAAATGTTGATATTATGATATCATTTAACTAATTAAATGTCATTTTATAGGAATTAATACATGGTTAGAACTTGCCCCTGTTCCAGCTATTGGTTGGGTTAAAATTTTAATATGTTGCGTCATTCAAATTGCTATTACTGAAATTGGTAAAGCATTTGGAAGAAAGATTAGAGATTCAAGAAGATAAATCTTAAAATATTTTATTCTTTAATAATTATAATTACTTGCTAGAATAATTACTTTTATAATTTTTTTTTTTTTTTTTTATCAGAAGGATAATTGTATATATTTTATTGTTGTTACTTTTTAAAAATAAGTAATCAAATAATGACATTTGTAAAATTTTATATTTTTGTTGCAATTTTTCATATCGACATAAAAAAATAAATAAAGAAATAAAGAAAATAAAAAAGAAATCGACAGAAATAATAGATGGTTCTTTAACAATTAATTACCATAATAAAAGTCCCGCTAAATGTGGCTGGACCACACCTATAATTCGGAATACACGTGGAAATTTTTTAAATTTTTATATCTAACTATAACTTTTTTAACCAATCATTTTCTCAATCTACTCTAATAAAGTCCTAGTCTTTTTAAAAAATTTATCGAGATTTTTTTATTGACTAGATCAACCACATGAAATCTGATCGATCTGATCGGGTTAGATTCGATTAAAAAAAATTAATTTTTAATCACCGATTCACTGTTAGTTAAAGTGATACTGAAGATTTTTATTACTGATTCTTCACGTTACTAGAATAATTCTTGATTGATCTATTGCAACGAGAAAATTATAATTGTGGCATTTCCAAATTGTAAAAAAAAAAAATTTTGAAAGCGAAGTTATTTAATAAATAATATTATAACTCATTCAAATAAGAAACCATTCATTTGTAACGTACCTGGACGCGGAATCGATGCTCTTTTAGTAAATTATTTAAGAAAAACACAATAAAATGAAACTTTTAGGCATTTGAAATTGGACCGCCATAAGAGATCATGTTGAGACAACAGCCAATTGATAATCATAAAGTCCAATAGATGATGAGAAAAATGGTTGCAATAAAACAATAAAACAAAGAAAAGAGGTTTGATGGATCATTTAGCAATCAATAAAAGTGAAAAGTTTATCGTGGATGTAGAATAAGTTCGTAGTATTAGATTGCTTAAAAACATTAAAGACGATGAAACAATGACATTGAAAATCAATAGCTGGCGTTGTTAATAAATCGAAGAGACGATTCTGCAGAAAATATTAATATTTAACCAATGAACTACTTAAAGATCATAAGAATGTAATAAAAGTCTTTATTTGTAAAGCGTGTCTTGTTAGACATTTTTACATATTCGGATGAATTTGGAATTACAACCGTTTTTAGATCATTCAAAGAACAATCTAATTCTTAGGTAATTCTTAGGATAAAGGTAAAATACATTTACTATAACAAGATTTATTCTGATTTGTTCTTTAAAAAAAATTACTAATGTTAATTCTTGCTAAACATCGAAACGAAATGATTTCGTGAATATTTATTAACATCTATTTTTTTTACAAACGTGTGGTATTTGCGTGACATTATTTACAATATAGATCACAAAAGAAAAATGTCTTCTATGAAATAAAAATAAAAATAAAAATTCTAAAGAAAAAATACAAAGAAAATTTAGGAGTATAAAACTCTTTTCTATCAAGTCTCGAATAATGCGTTCATTTGTTCCCTATCTTCTTCAGATAATTTAGGTTTACTTGGATTACTGGATAATCTTCTCTTTTTTTCATTTTCAACAGCTGCTTGATGAGCTTTAGCAGCCTTATCAACTATATTTTCTACTTCTTTAATGATTTTTTTGAAAGTTTTGTACCATGATGGATCGTCATCTTCCACATTATTCTTCCCTTGTTGTATATTTATTATATAATTGTTTTGAATAACATTAACTATGGTAACTTTGTCTAATTTATTATAATCGGGTGGCAACATATTTTTTAATGTACTTATATCATATTCATTATAAGGAGAGGGTAATAATTCTTTTAATGCAATTAAATTCTCATCATCCTTTTCACTATAAGGGGGTGGTGGTGGCATTTCTTCACCATTGATTTCATAATCATCTAGACACAATTCATCAACCAACTCTCCTGCAACATTATAACAATTATATAGATAATTTTTTGTTGAAATATTGAATAAAGTCTTCGTATCATTCGCATCATTCGCATCATTCGCATCATTCAAATCAGTTGCAATTTTAACTGCATTATCTGAAATAACTACATCATCCAAATAATTCTGATGTTTAAGTATTTCATCAATATCAAAAATTACTTCATAATTATCTAAATATAATGAATCGTCAAATTCTTCTATAAGTTTATAATAGTAATATTGATTTTCTGAAATTTTGGACAAATCCTTCACATCGTTCACATCTTTCACAACTGTACCATTTGAAATAAATACATTATCATCTAAATGTTTCTGGTGATTAAGTATTTCATCGACGTCAAAAATCACTTCGTAATTATCCAGATACAATGCATCATCAAATTCTTCTATAAGATTATGATTACAGTACTGAAGTAAATCCTTTATATCCTTCGCATCATTATTCACATCTTTTGTATCTTTTACAACTGCATTATTTGAAATAAATACATTATCATCTAAATGTTTCTGATGAATAAGTATTTCATCGACGTCAAAAATCACTTCGTAATTATCCAGGTATAATGCATCATCAAATTCTTCTATAAAATTATGATTACAATATTGAAGTAAATCTTTTACTTCTTTCGCATCGTTCACATCATTCATATTATCGTCATTTACATCTATTATATCTTTTACAACCGCATTATTTGAGATAATTACATCATTATCTAAATATTTCTGGTGATTAAGTGTTTCATCAACGTCAATATTCGCTTCAAAATTATCAAAAATATCTATATACAAATTCTGACGCTTAAATATATTCTCCTTAACAACTTCAATCTTCTCACTCTCAGCGTCATTATTCTCTTCAACTTCATTGTTATTTGTACCGTCAGTATCTTCCACCTCGATAGTTGGTACTTCCTCGATGGATGATTCCCCAATGGATGATACTTCCTCGAAGTTTGGCTCCTCCTCGATATTTCTCTCTAAAATTTCTTTTAGCTCCATTAAAATCGATCTAACTTCACTTCCGTCTCTAATTCCTTCTAAAATTTCTTTTAATTTCGATAAAATAGGTTCAATCTCGTCTTTTCTTTCGCTTTCTTCCTTTAACATTTCTTTTAATTTCATTAAAATCTGTTCATCAATAGCTTTACCCCGTAACGATACAATATATTCAATTTGAAGTTTTCTTTCATTTTCTTTTCTTTCGATTTCCTTTCTTTCGATTTCCTTTCTCTCGATTTCTTTTCTTTTTTCTTCAAATATTTCTATTAGCTCTGAAAAAATATCCTCAACACTTTTATTCCTTTTATTATTTGATAGCTTACTATATCGTTCATTAATATCATTAATATGCTCATCAATTTTACGTCGCTCTTCAAATAATTTGTTTACTCCTTCAACAATTTGCTTAATTTGCTTACGTTGTTGTTGATGTTCTTTTTGGGGATTCGTTAAAGTAGTTATTAATTTTTTAGAAAAACTCAATCTACGAGTTTTCTCCCCAGGAGAATTAGGAGGAGTAAGGTGAGTAGAGTCAATAGAGTGAGTAGAATGAGTAGAGTGAATAGTGTAAGTAGAGCGAGTAGAGTAAGTAGAGCATGAAGATAAAGGTCGTGAAGAAATATTCGTAGAGCTAGTCGTAGGGTCAGAAGAAATAGACCAGCTGTTGAATTTCGATTCGATCTACAAATAAAAATTTATTTCTCGTTATAAAAAAAGATTATATATATTTAGATTTTTTTTTTAATTTTACCTCTTCTTTGAATTCTTGTTTTGTGGTTTTTTCTTTTATAACATATAAAACTTCTACGGCCTTGAAAGTTAATTGTTTTTTTACGTGAGTTTCGATTATTTCATTACAAAAAGGAATTATTTTTTTAATATATTTTTTTATTTGAGGGAAAAATTCTTCAAGAATTCGTTGGATTAAATGTAAATATCCGATTAAAAGAGTATCGATATTGTCAGGTAAAGAATATCCTAATAGTTCCCTAAAAAAAAAGAAGGAAAAAAAAAAAGGTATAATGGTTACCAATAATTATTAACTTTTTTTTTTTAAAAAAAAAAAAGAATTCATACATACCCTCCAGATTTAAGCACTTTATATTCAATATTTCGGTAACTTGTATTCTTCTCTTTTACTCTTTCAAATTCTTTGATTGATAATTTAAATAATTTCTTGGAAAAATTTTTAATATGTTCTAAATTTGGTTGTTGACGTAATGTAAAGTACTTTTCGTGCATTTCTCTCCAATCATTATACCATTTCCCAGCGGAATATTCAAACTAAACGTTTTTTAAAAGTGGCGCAGCGTTAAAAATTTGTGGCGAAGTAAAATAAAATATTAAAAAAAAGATTTTTTTTTTTGTTACTTACGTCCAAAACATCAGTTAAGGAAGAAAGAGCGGAAAAATATTCACTATTCACAACATTAACAACAGTTTCTAAAACTTTACTACTTGTTGATACAAAGATATCAAGATTTGATTGATCATCTTTGATTTTCCGCAAACAATTTCGAATTTCACGAAGTCTGAATATGACATTAGCATTAATGAATTTCGTATTTCTATACGTATTTCTATAAGTTGACCAAAATTTCGCGAGAGATTTATAAAAAGAAGTACGAATTTCTGTATTAATCATTTCAACAGATTGAGACAGTACGTATAATACTGATGACATAACGTTTCTACATATAAATGTGATTGTGTTAAAAGGAAATGAATCGGTATTTGAACGACTTTACGTACTATAAAATTGTACTTACAGAAAAAGTTCCAATTGTGCTATAGTAGATTCATCATAACATTCCCATTTATGATCCGAAAGATGTTTTGCCGCTTTAATAGCGAAATCTATCACTAAATAGAAAAAAAAACCAAAATTTAGAATAATTTTAAATGATAAAAACACACGATATAAAGAAACCATACCTTTCACATCTTCAATCCTCTCATTAGGACGACTTATTGAATCTTCCATTAACCGATTTATTTTATGTAAAACATAATTATAAATTCTAAAATAGTATGTTTTCAAAAAATAAAAATTTAGTATATACGCTACCATTTTCTTAATCTTTTATTTGTATACTTACAAACTATTTTTATCTGCCAACAATTTAAGAATTTCATTATATTCTTTAAATCGTGTTTCTGATATTATTGTGTTTGAAGACATTTTTTTTTTTTTCGAAAAGAATCTGCTACTGAATAGTATAAATAACTTTTTGACGTTGTTACACGAATGACACTATTGTTGTTTAATCATGCAGTTGACGTCGGGGTAAATTGACTTGACTATAATTATTTTTAATTACCAAATGGCTATTAGTATTTTTAATAAACTTAGTAGCGTGGAAACTTATTTTGTTTTAGCATTGATAGGAGGAAAGTTCTCACAGCAATAAAGAATTAGGAAAGAATAGTAAGCAATTATATGCACATTATCATAAACAATCTTGATTGAACCTTGATTAAATAAGTAAACTTGAAAGAAATAAATATATGTATATAATTTAAATATCGGAATTTCGGCAATCCCCTACTTCTTATTGCATCTAAATTATTCTTTATTCTTATTATTATATCATTTTAAAAAATATATATAGTTATTCCTAAAAAAAAAAATATGCCCTGTAAATAAATACATTATAAGCGAATAAACGAATTCATTTTTTATTTTTTATACCTAGTTTCAAATTAAACTAAAAAAGGGGGTTCGAACCAAAATCAATTAATCAAACGCATATTTTTTAGATGAATTCTCCAAGAAAGATCCCATCAATAACATAAAGTAAATCCATTATCCGAATAAGTTTGACTTACGCATATCTAATAATGTACAAGTATGTTTACATTGTGTACTACGTAATATTTTATGCAACTCGCGGCAGCATACATATGAAAGTATAAGTATTAAAATATTAGATGCACAGACTTTTGATCAGAAAAAATTATTTGGTAAAAAAGTCTCAAAATAGCGGGATTTTTTTCTTAAAAAATAAAATTAAGTGGAGAAAAGATTCGATTTTAGACCCAAAAACAGGTAAAAAATTATACCACGAGCATCAATATTAAGTATAACAAAAAAAAATTCCCGAAACTTTGATTTTCAAAGTAATTATTAATTATAAAAACTTTTAAAGAACCCCTTTTCAGAACTGATGGGAAAAAAAAACTTTGCCTCCCTAAAATATAAACACTTTTCTTTATTTATTTCCCCATGCATAAAAATCATACGAAAATAATTTATCTATGAGTTGATTATTTCGTTCTAATGAACATAAATGGTAAGGAAGCCTTTTTTTTGTGTTTCATAATATCATGGGACTCGTGTTACATCAATTATAAAAAAATACGATTTCATAAGAATTACGTAGAACGTAGATAAGATTGGAATCAAACATCTTACTAATCGAAAATTGAATCGAATCAATTTAAATTGATTATCTGAACCAAGAAAAATTAATTTTCTTTTTTTGAATGTTAATTTTAGAAACTTTAAATGCACTATTTTTGAAGCAAAAAACTGATCGACGTCCGACATACTAACGCGCAGATATCTTTCATAATAAGTGTGCCATCAAAAATTCAGAATATGATTCCATTAAATTGGTTGATTTTTGACTGGATCGAATCGCGACTTTTAAAAAAAAAATGATAATTGAATTTTGTCGCAATTACACAAAATGTTTTTATAAATCCCCACAAAACTTGCCATATTCTATGTAGAATCCAGATGAATGATTTGGTACTGCCAATTATAAATCATCACTAAATAATGTCAAAGTATAAATTATTAGATTAGGATAAGATTCTTTTTACTCTATTTATATTTTTTAATGTTGAATCTTCTAAAATTTCACCTTCAAAGAGTACTGTATTTTCGATTTCATAATATAATATACTGTATATATATAATATTACTTCAAATGAAATAAACGCACAAAAAAAATTTTACTTATTATTATTCGCAAATTTTTGTTTATATAAGTGTAGATTCAAAACATGCAAGATTTTAAAATTGAATTGAAGAGTTTTTCCTACTTTGTCATATGCAGTATTGTAAAAGTTTGAACTAAAATTAGCTTATAATGGTTACTACTAATTACAGTATAATATTTCTTTATTAATATCATTATTTCTTTTTTATTTAACTATTACTAATGTCTCTCTTACTTTATTTTTTTTATCTTAATTATTTTATAGTGAATTGGCATATTTTTTCTCGTTTGTGCTTCAAAGATCAGTCTTCATGTCATTCCGACTTCCCGAGTTTACGAAAAGTCTCCAATGCGATAAACGTGAAATATAATACGCACGCGAGAATGTCCGGTATGTCTAGGAAACGTTCGGGAAATATCTAAAATGTTCGGAAAATGTACCGAAACGTGAAAGATTCCTTTCATAGGGATTTCATTATTAAAAAATAAAATCAATAAATTTTTTATATTACATCAAGAGATTAGTCAAATAAATTATATTGAGCAGTATACGACGATTTTTTTTTATTTTCTATGGTTAAATTATTTATATCTTAAATCTACTTAAAAAATGATCTCTAGATTTAAAGTACTAAACAACTTTTTCAATTCAACAATTATCTCTTTTCTCTTCACACTTCACTAATTATTATTAACAGCAGCTTGATGAGATTTAATGATTTCATTAAAAGTTTTGAAAATGATTTTTCGTCATATCAGTTGCGCATTATCTAATTGTATATTATAATTATTTTGAATAATTAATTATGGTGAGATGTATCTAATTTGTATGCTATATTTACTAGTATAAGGAGAGGGCAATGATTCTTTTAGTGCAATTGATATATTAGAATTCAAGTTTTCTAAAATCGAAATAAATTTTAATTGAACTACTTTACATAATAATAACTCATCATACGAAGGTCTTTCAATATTTATTTGTTCTCGCGTTTGTAACGAGTGATATAACAAGCTCCTTTGATTCACTCTTGAATATATTTTACTTATCCTAACTCGTAGAATCAATTACCTAGTCACATGACATTGTCAATAGGAAAATTTCATCGCACGTGTATATAAATATTTTTTTCTTCACGCCACAATACCTACAATACCTCCATTTCTTCCATCATTGCGATTGAAAATGCGCCACTCACCCATTTTAGAATGGCAGCTTACTGATACTTTTAATAATTTTACAAAAACAAGGGGTTATTGGTTATCTTTAGGAAGAATAAAATAGCTAACAAGATAGGGAGACGAGATTGATAGAAGAAATGAGCTTCAATGCAATATTGAAGCAAGAAATAGTATTTAGGAATAAAATAAATAAATTGGGGTCTTTGCAATAGAAAGGTACGAAACTCAAAAAATATCAAAAATTAAATTAATATTAAATTTGCATTTATTTCAGTAAAAAAACATAATTAGCATATAAAGTAAAATTAAAATTTTTTTTGAGTTTCGTACCTTTCTATTGCAAAGACCCCTTAATTTAAAAATTAAAAGTGGTATATTGATTATTAATCAAATTTAAATTTACAAAGAAATTAATTAATAAAATTTTTTATACTGTATAAATTTAACATTTTAACTTTTTCATTAGTTACATTAAGCTTTAGCATAATACATTCAACCTTAAAGAATCATATTTCTAAGTATTTTTACTATATCTACTTTTTACGATATTTGTTCCTTTTCAACTTCAGGTATTACATTAGCAGATGTACTACGGTGCAGAACCTCTATAATAGGAACTTAAAAAAATTTAAATAAAATTTGATTCTATGATTGAATTTTAATTTTATAAAAAGAATTAAACTCTATTTGTTAAAAGGAATTTATTTAAAAAATAAAAAAAAAGTCTCAATTTTTTAGATTATGTAAGCATCACGTGATACATATATTAGCCAATCAGAAATTAGGATTTTATTAATTATATGATATAAAAATTTATATAATATATTTGTTTATTGTATTTCATTATAAACTGATGATTGATGAATCAGGTACATGATAATGAGATTTATATTTTATTATATGCATTTTTTGGTAAAATTACTTAATTTTTGAATTCTTTTGTTTATAAATTTATCATCTGAACTGTCTTTTAAATATCATTATTTATAACATTAAATTAACCTATACTTAAATAATTTTGTTTATTAATTTTTTTTTTTGCAATATTAGAACTTTTTTTTCTTCTTAGCATATTGAAAAAAAAATCTGAAGTAAAATAATAATTAATATTACATTAAATGTGGCTAAAAAAGATCTGTAAAGCAAAAATTAGACTAGTCTCAATTTTAACTAAATTTTGTCAGTATATTTAAATTACAGATTTTTAAACAGCTAAAATTTAGCCAAAATTTAATTTAGAAAAAAAATAACCGATAATTTTTAAAGCTAATGATCATATCTATAAAAATTATCGGTTAAATTTTTTNCTAGTCTCAATTTTAACTAAATTTTGTCAGTATATTTAAATTACAGATTTTTAAACAGCTAAAACTTAGCCAAAATTTAATTTAGAAAAAAAATAACCGATAATTTTTAAAGCTAATAATCATATCTATAAAAATTATCGTTTAAATTTTTTACTTTAATATAAAAAATTTTTTTTTTAGAAATTTATAATCAATCAATTGTTACTATACATAAGTAGTTGAGTATAGAGGTTCTGCACTATAGAGATTATCTATTTCATCAACAAACTCTTCTGCAACATTATAATAATTATATAGATAATTTTTTGTTGGAATATTGAGTAAAATCTTCGTATCATTCGTATCATTCGCATCATTCAAATCGGTTGCAATTTTAACTGCATTATCTGAAATAACTACATCATTCAAATAATTCTGATGTTTATCACCATCAGAAATTACTTCACAATTATCTATATTATCATCCTCAACATCATATTTATCTTTATACAATGTATCATCAAATTCTTCCGTAAGATTATAATTACTATGTTGAAGTAAGTCCTTTGAATCACTCACATCACTCACATTATTTACATCTGCGCATTTTGAAATAATTACATTATCATCCAAATTTTTCTGATGTTCTGTAAGATTATGAAGATTATGATCACTATAGTGAGATAAATCCTTAACGTCATTCATATCATTCACTTCATTTACATCGTTTACATCATTTACATCATTTGCAACTGCATTATATGAAATAATTATACCATCTGAATCATTCTGTCGTCTAAGCATTTCATCGTCAAAAATATTATCTAGACGATTCACATTTACTACCGCATCTGTATTATCTGGAATAGCTACACCCCGATTAACAACTTCTACTTGCTCAGCATCATCTGCGTCATTTGTATTGTCAGTGCTGAATATTTCCTTCTCTGTGGACGGTTCTCCTCGATGGCTGGCGCCTCGATAATTGATACTTTCTCGGTAGTTGATGCCTCTACCTCGATAATTGATACTTCCTCGGTGGTTGATGTCTCCTCGATGATTGATACCTCCTCAAAGATCGGTTCCTCCTCGACATTTCTTTCTAAGATTTCTTTTAATTTCGATAAAATCGATCTAATTTCACCCCTTTCTATTTCCTTCTAAAATTTCTTTTGATTCGATAAAATCAGTCCAATTTCATCTTTTCTTTCACTTTCTCCCCTAATACTTCTTTTAATTTCAATAAAGTCTGTTCATCAATAACTTTATCCTCTAACGATTTGGTATATTCAATTTTATCAATTTTATCCTTTCTCTCGTTTTCTTTTCTTTTTTTCTCTAAAATTTTTTTTATTTTCGATACAATCGAATACTCGTTAATAGCTCTGTCCTCTAATAATTTACTATATTCACTTTTAGTTTCATTAATATTCTTGTAAATTTTACGTCGTTCTTCAAATAACTTGTTACTCTTTCAATAATTTGTTTACGTTGTTTCTGAGGATCTTTTTGAGGATTAGTCTTTGGAACCGAAGTGGGAGGAGTATCAGGAGTAGTGTAAGTAGAGTAAACAGTGTAAGAAGATAAAGGTCGTGAAGGAGTAGTCATGGAAGTTGAAGTGACAGGAAAATTAGACCAGATTTCGAAATTCGATTAAAAAATTTAATTTTGGTTATAAGAAAAACATGCATATACTGTATATATGTTTATTTATAATAAAAAGGATTTAATTTACCTCATCTTTGATTTCTACTTTTTGAGTATTTTCTTTTATAACATATAGAACCTCTACAGCTTTAAAAGTTAATTGCTTTTTCACGTGAGTATTAATTATATCATCACAAAAAGGAGTTATTTTTTTAATATATCCTTTTTTCTGAAGGAAGAATTCTTCAAGAATACGTTGGATTAAATATAAGTATCCGATTAAAAGGGTATCGATATTGTCAGGTAAAGAATATCCTAATATTTTCCCAAAGAAAAAAAAAAGAAAAAGAAGTTTTTAAGTAAAATTTGAAAAAAAGAATGATGAAATTTATTCTTACCCTCCAGTTTTAAGAACTTTATATTCAAGGTTTCGATATTTTGTATTTTTTCTTTTTACTCTTTCAAATTCTTTAGTTGATAATTTAATCAATTTCCTAATAAATTTTTTAATACTATCTAATTGAAGATTATTTTCCAAAGATTGTTGATGTAATTTAAAATAAATTTCATGCATTTCTTTCCAATCATCATACCAAATCCCAGCGGAATATTCAAACTAAATTAAAATGGCGCAGCGATAAAAAATTTCAATATGTGGCAATGCAAAATTAGATATAACATTTTGAAAGAAAAAAATTTTTTTTTTTTTTTTGTTACTTACGTTCGTAACGGAAGAAAGAGCGGACAAATATTCGCTATTCACAACATTATAAATAGTTTCAATAGCTTTACTATTGATACAAAATTTTCAAGATTTGATCAATTATTCGCAAGCAAGTTCGAATTTCACGAAGTCTGAACATAATATTAGCATTAATATAATTTGATTTTCTGTAAACTTTCCAGAATTTTGAGACAGATTTATATAAAGAAATACGAGTATTTGAATGGATCATATTAACAGATTGAGAAATTATGCATAATGCTAAAGACAGGCGTTTCTAAATATATAAAGTGTTTAATGTGAATTGGTTAAGCATTTGAATAACTTTACGTACTATAATTTATAGTAGCATATTTGAAAAAAGTGTACTTACAGAAATAATTCTAATTGTACTATAGTTGAGCCATTGTAATGAGTCCATTTATAATCCGAAAGATGGTTTGCAGTTTTAAGAGCGAATTCTATCACTAAATGTATGAAAAAAAAAAGTTAAAATAAAGAACTAAAATGATAAAAATCGTATAATATAAACAAAATTACCATTCTTATCTTCAATTCTTTCATTAGGATGTACCAAGTCTTCTATTAAATGAATTATTTCACTCAAAGCATAGTTATAAACTCTAAATAGGTAATGTTTTCAGGAAAGAAATTAATTTAGCAAATAGCACATACTCTCCATTTCTTTTTTTTTTCATTTGCATACTTACAAACAATTTTCATCTGCTAATAATTTGAGAATATCATGATATTTTTTACTTCGCGTGTCTAATATGGCCATGTTTGAAGTCTTTTTTTTTTTTTTAAAATAAGCAAAAATATTATTGGTTTGTCAGACTCATATAGTAATCATGCATTGCATTATATAAAATAAGTAATCTTGAATAAGGTATCAGATAAGTTTTCTTTTGGACATTTCCTATTGTGTTGCATATATAGTAATGTTCGGGCGAACCTCGGTTGTTCCGAAACAGCCGAAACCTGCTAATTTTCCGTTCAATCCACCAACTGAGCAGATTTACTCGAAATCACAAGTGTGATCAAGTCTTATACAACTTAACTAGTTATGATGTTTCTACGAAAATCATTTACTGTTATAAGAATCAACGGTAGATTGCAAATTATTTTTAAAATTCAAGCATCCGTATATATTTAGAAGTAAGATTTATATAAGTTCCCATTTTAATAACTTGCTCCCAAATATTAATCTTTTATTTTTAAATTATCCTATTTAATCAAAGAAATAAATAATTTTTGAAATAGAATGTTTTTCAGGTTGGTTTGACATAATATCTACGTAAAATTTTTAAACGTTATAATTAGATGATATGTTCTTTAATTTAATTAGTTTCATTTTTAGTAAATAATTAACTCTTTCTTGATGAATTAAGGTTTCAACCGCAACCAATAATTTGATTATATCCAAAGTCCAAAGCGTCAATTTTATTCAAGATAAGAATGTCGCCATAAATATAACTATAATTACATTAATTAACTATGGGAAGTTTAATAATACTAAACAATTTACTTTATAACGATTTGAAAAATACCAGAAGAGATATTATGTAGTTTACTATTTAAAAGTGTACTGCTGCCGAGGGGAAAAAGGAATTACTTTTACACTTTTGAATCATATGATTTATAAGCCAAATAAAAGTTTAATATTTGTGTTTGGTTTCGCCGGGTTTCGGAAGTTTCGGCGGATATTAAGTCAAGGTTTCACCAAAACCATTAACATATAACATTCAAAATAAATAAAAGAATAGTTATTACATTATTTAAAAAAAAATATGTCCTATTAATATATTATATAAGCGAATTTATTTTCTAATTTTTATTCGAATAAATTCACAAAGATCTATTTAATTTTCGTTTCACATAACTTGTATTCGAAGCACATAGGACTACTAATAATTTACAAGTGTGTTTACATTGTGTACGACGTACGTAACATATTCAGGAACTAGAAGTATTAGATGCACAGTCTAAGTCACATATAGTGAATTTTTTCTTTAAGAATAAGATTAAGATTTCTACTGAGATCGACAAAACCGGTCAAAATATACCCCGAGTGCAGATCTCCCATTTTAACACAAAAAAAAAAAAAAATCATTTTCATTATGCATAAAAATCACATGAAAACTATTTATTGTTTCGTTCTAATGAACATAAACGGTAAAGAATCAATTTTATATGTTTCAGGACTTGTGTTACTAGGGGGTGCTAACAACTGTGGTGGTGGTGTATAGGAATCGCGGGCTGTTCTTTGAGTGAGCCTATATACCTAACATACGACCATGGGAGCTTCCAATCCACTTGCTACTACATGGACTTGGATGTCACGTTAATAAATACTTGAGTCCAATAACCTTAAGGGCGGTGAGCAGTTAAGGGCACTAGCGCTGATCGGCTACCTTGAGGATGTAAAAGCTAGCAACATTACCAACCTTAATAAATACATTTCCAACGAAAATAGGATTTGAACAAAATCTTACTAATTGAATGATTTGAATCGATTTAAATCAATTTTATTTGAATTTTTAAATTTTAAAATTATTAGAGTAAAATATGTGCGCTGTAAGTTACAAGGATCTGTATTGATTGACGTACTGGAATGTCCATCATTATTACGCGCAGATATTTTATTGCATATAGAATAGATTTAGAGCGACCAGAATCAAATATTTAGAATGGAAGATTAGAAGTATTTAAAACGATTAAATCGATTTCTTTAACTGATTTTTAAAGATTTGATTTTCAACTGAATCGATCCACAGCCTTTTTAAAAAAAAAATTCCGATAGAGTTTTTTTAGCAAAACGAGTCTTATTAGACACCAGTTACTTACGAATCTGGATATTAAAATGTGGGATTAATGAAAACTACAAACGCTTAGATCATTTAAAACACACGAAAGAGCAATTCACTTAAATCAAGTATACAATAATTCTCAGGATAAGGTAAAATACGTTCACTGTACGAAAGTTATTCTTTTGTTCCTTGAAAAATCGTTTAACATTAAACTTCGGAATGAAATAATTTTCATGAAGACAACCAATATCCAAAGAGAGAAAATTATACAGTATTTGCGCTTAATATTAGCGTGAATACATTAATTTTTATTAATAAATACAATAAATAAGATACAAAAAAAAAAAAATAATAAATTTTTTCTATATCTTGTGTCGCGAGTAAATTAGTAAATTTTTTTGAATACATAAACTTAAAGTCTAGATTTACATATGATTGTATTCCATAGGCATGCTTGCGTTTATAGCAGCAGCTTCCTTTTCTTTTTCAGATAATTCAGGTTTACTTGGATTACTAGATAATCTTCTTTTATTATCATTATCAACAGCAGCTTGATGAGCTTTAGCAGCCATATCAACTAGATTTTCTACTTCTTTAACGATTTTTTTGAAAGTTTTGAACCATGATGATTCGTCACCTTGAACATTGTTCTCTTGTACACCGTTCTCTTTTACATTGTTCTCTTGTACATATATAATATAATTTTTTTGGATAATATTAATTATGATATTATTATCTAATTTATTATAATTAGGTGGTAATATATTTTTTAACGTACTTATATCACATTCGTTATAAGGAGAGGGCAACGATTCTTTTAATGCAGTTAAATTCTCATCATCCTTTTCACTGTAAGGAGGAGGTGGTAGTATTTCTTCTCCAATCATTTCATAATCAATTAGACATAATTTATCATCAAACTCTTCTACGGAATTACAATAACTAAATAAATAATTTTCTGCTGAAATATTGAGTAAAATCTTCGTATCATTCGTATCATTCGTATCATTCGTATCATTCGTATCATTCGTATCATTCGCATCATTCGCATCATTCAAATCGGTCGTATTATCTGAAATAACTACATCATCCAAATAATTCTGATGTTTAAGTATTTCATCAACATCAAAAATCACTTCATAATTATCTAGATATAATGTATCATCAAATTCTTCTATTAAATAATGATTTCTGTATTGAGGTAAATCCGCCACATCATTCACATCATTCGCATCTTTTACAACATTCACATCGCTCACGACTACATCATATAAAATATTTACATTATCATCCAAATATTTCTGATGTCCAAGTATTTCATCAACATCAAATACTATCTCATAGTTATCTATATACAATGTATCATCAAATTCTTCTATAAAATAATAATTATTGTATTGAGGTAAATCCTTCACATCATTCATATAATTTACATATTTTACAACATTTACATCACTCTCGACTGCATCATATAAAATAATTATATTATCATCCAAATTTTTCTGATGTCCAAGTATTTCATCAACATCAAAAATTATTTCATAGTTATCTAGATACAATGTGTCATCAAATTCTTCCGTAAGACCATAAATACTATATTGAAGTAAGTCCTTCGCATCACTCACATCACTCACATTATTTACAACTGCGCATTTTGAAATAATTATATTATCATCCAAATATTTCTGATGTTCGAGTATTTTATCAACATTAACTATATTCACTTCATTTACATCGTTTACATCATTTACATTATTTACAACTACATTGTATGAAATAATTATATCATCTGAATAATTCTGACGTCTAAGCATTTCATCGTCAAAAATATTATCTAGATGATTCACATTATTCATATCATTTACTACCGCATCTGTATTATCTGGAATAACTATATCCCGATTAACAACCTTAATCTCTTCTATGACATTAGCATTTGTATTGTCAGTGCTGGATATTTTCTTCTCTGTGGGCGGTTTCTCCTCGATGTCTGGTACCTCGATAATTGATACTTCCTCGGCGGTTGATGTCTCCTCGATGGCTGGCGCCTCCTCAAATATTGGTTCCTCCTCGACATTTCTTTCTAAGATTTCTTTTAATTTCGATAAAATCGATTTAATTTCACCCCCTTTTCTATTTCCCTCTAAAATTTCTTTTAAATTCGATAAAATCAGTCCAATTTCATCTTTTCTTTTACTTTCTCCCCATAATACTTCTTTTAATTTCAATAAAGTCTGTTCATCAATATCATTACCCTCTAACGATTTGATATATTCAATTTTATCCTTTCTCTCGTTTTCTTTTCTTTTTTTCTCTAAAATTTCTTGTAATTTCGATACAATCGAATGCTCATTAATAGCTCTGTCCTCTAATAATTTACTATATTCAGTTTTAGTTTCATTAATATTCTTGTAAATTTTACGTCGTTCTTCAAATAACTTGTTTACGCTTTCAATAATTTGTTTACGTTGTTGCTGAGGATCTTTTTGAGGATTAGTCTTTTTTATTTTTGGAAAACCTAATTTACGATTTTTTGGAATCGAAGTGGGAGTATCAGGAGTAGTGTAAGTAGAGTAAACAGTGTAAGAAGATAAAGGTCGTGAAGGAGTAGTCATAGGAGTTGAAGTGACAGGAAAATTAGACCAGTTATCGAAATTCGATTCAATCTATTATAAAAAATTTAATTTTGGTTATAAGAAAAACATGCATATATATACGTTTATTTATAATAAGAAGGATTTATTTTTTTTTTTATTTACCTCATCTTTGATTTCTACTTTTTGAGTATTTTCTTTTACAACATATAGAACTTCTACAGCTTTAAAAGTTAATTGTTTTTTCACATGAGTATTAATTATATCATTACAAAGAGGAGTTATTTTTTTAATGTATCCTTTTATTTGAGGGAAAAATTCTTCAAGAATACGTTGGATTAAATGTAAGTATCCGATTAAAAGGGTATCGATATTGTCAGGTAAAGAATATCCTAATATTTCCCTAAAAAAAAAAAAAGGTTTTTAATGGTTTCAGTAAAATTTGAAAAAAAAAGAACGAAAATGAAATTTATTCTTACCCTCCAGTTTTAAGAACTTTATATTCAAGGTTTCGATATTTTGTATTTTTTCTTTTTACTCTTTCAAATTCTTTAGTTGACAATTTAATTAATTTCCTAATAAATTTTTTAATACTATCTAATTGAAGATTATTTTCCAAAGATTGTTGACGTAATGTAAAATAAATTTCATGCATTTCTTTCCAATCATCATACCAAATCCCAGCGGAATATTCGAACTAAATTAAAGTGGCGCAGCGATAAAAAATTTCAATATGTGGCAATGCAAAATTAGATATAACATTTTGAAAGAAAAAAAATTTTTTTTTTTTTATATGTTACTTACGTTCAAGACATGAGTAACGGAAGAAAGAGCGGACAAATATTCGCTATTCACAACATTATAAATAGTTTCAATAACTTTGCTACCTGTTGATACAAAATTTTCAAGATTTGATTGATCATCTTCAATTATTCGCAAGCAAGTTCGAATTTCACGAAGTCTGAACATAATATTAGCATTAATATAATTTGATTTTCTGTAAACTTTCCAGGATTTCGAGACAGATTTGTATAAAGAAACACGAGTATCTGAATGAATCATATCAACAGATTGAGAAAGTATGCATAATACTGAAGACATGGCGTTTCTAAATATATAAAGTGTTTAATGTGATTGGTTAAGCATTTGAGTAACATTACGTACTATAATTTATAGTAGCATGTTTGAAAAAGGTGTACTTACAGAAATAATTCTAATTGTACTATAGTTGAGTCATTATAATGAGTCCATTTGTAATCCGAAAGACTTTTTGCAGCTTTAAGAGCGAAGTCTATCACTAAATATATGAAAAAAAAGTTAAAATAAAGAAGAATTAAAATGATAAAAATCGTATAATATAAACAAAATTACCATGCCTTTCTTCAATTCTTTCATTAGGACGTACCAAGTCTTCCATTAAACGAATTGTTTCACTCAAAGCATAGTTATAAGCTCTAAATAGGTAATGTTTTCAGGAAAGAAAGAAATTTAGCAATTAGCATATACTCTACATTTCTTTTTTTATTCATTTGCATACTTACAAACAATTTTCATCTGCTAATAATTTGAGAATATCATGATATTTTTTACTCCGCGGGTCTAATATGGCTATGTTCGAAGTCATTTTTTTTTTGAAAAAAAAGACAACTACAGTAGCTATAATGTCTTGGTAAAAATGATACGATAAAATAAATAGCTTTTTGGGCTTGTTACACAAATGACGCTATTGTTAATGAATCGTGCTGGGTATATTGACCTTCTTATTCTACAATAGTTTTTAATTACCAATCATATATTAAAATTTTTTAAAAAAATAAAAAGCATGTAAACCATGTTTTATTTTTTAGGTTTGAAAGAAAAATCACATATTAATTGGGAGAAAAAAATAATAAAAAATTAAAATATATTAATAGTTCTTCCGACAATCGCAATCGTAATCATGCAAGTAGTATGCGAATCATATTTAATCATACATGATCTTAAACAATCTTAAAAATATTTCTGATTAAATGATAAAATAGGTAGTCTTGAATGACAAAAATATATTAATTCTATTTTTTTTTGGCAACTATACACATCGTATTGTATTATATTATTCTTATTAATATTATCGTTATATATATAGCATTAAAAAAAAAAGACCAATAAAAAAAAATATACATATTAAGTTACTAATATGACCTAATAATAAATACTAAAAAGTGATTTGAACAAAGTTCACCTATTATCCTAAGTAAAAACCTATTATCCTAAGTAAAATTATAACTTTATGATATATGAGAGATTTTCATTTTGCTTATCTAATAATAATGTACTATTCCGTTTACATTGTGTACGGAGTACATAACATATGCACTCACGGCGTTACGCATTAGATGCACAGACTTGATAAGAAATCCTTTGCAAAAAACATCTCAATAGTGGAATTTTCGTAAAGAATAAATTAAGCAGAGAAAAGATTTCCTACAGAGATCGATACTAGTCTAAAAAACGGTCAAAAAATACCACGAGTGTAGATATTGAATATCATAAGAAAAAATTCTCCGAACTGTGATGTAGCTGTGATGTCAAAGCTAACTATTTTTAACAAACTTAAAGAACCCTTTTTCAGATTGATAAAAAAAAACTTTGAAACCATTTTTCTTTATTTATATTTCCATGCATAAAAAATCACACTAAATTGTTTTTTTCTATGACTGTTTGATTGATATGTTCTAATAAGTATAAATGGCGAAGAATCAGTTCTTGTGTTTCTTGTGTTTCTTGTGTTTCAAAACGGATAGGCTCGTGTTACGTGCTACGTTCAATAGAATTTACGTCAAAATCCGACTAATCGAAACTCGAATTCCGAACTCTTAACATCAATTACATCAATTTTTTTTTTGATTTTTTTATAGTAAAAGACAATTGATGCGCTATTTTATTATTTATTTTTGAATTTGAAGCTAGAAAATAATTATAGTAACAGATATGCTAAAATAAAATTGCAAAAAAAATTGATCGACGCCCGACATGTCTACCGTCTAATATTAATTGCATGTAGAAATCGATTTAGAATAGCCGGAATCAAATATTCAGATTATTCGGAATTAGAAGATTAAAAACCAATTAGAAACGATTAAATCGATTATTAAATCGGATCTTAAAGGTTTGATTTTCGACTCGACCTTTAAAAAAACATGATAATTGAATTTTTGTCGCCATATTTAAGAATTCAGACGAAGGATTCTTCATAAATCATTATAACTTATTATTAAATATGTCAAAATATGAAATTATTAGATTAGGATAGGATTCTCTTTACAATTTTTAAATATTTAAAATGATTATTTTATATCTTCTATATCTTCTAAAATTTCACCTTCGTACTTTATAATATACTGTATATATGTATGTATAAAATTATTACAAATAAAAATCAAAGAAAGAAATACTTGTACTTATTATCATTCGCAAATTCGGAATGAAAAGAATTCAATACTGAATTGAAGAATTTTTCCAATTTTCCACTACTTTGTCACATAATGTAAATGTTGAATTAAAGTAGTTTTTAACGATTGTTACTAACTATAATTTCTTATTATTAATATGTAGAGCTACTAGAGTGCTACTAGGTTTGATTGCTGTAGGTATATAGCTACTTGCTGCTTTTTTTTAAAATATTATAAAAATTATAATTAGTATTTTATAACATATCGGCATATTTCTTAATTGATGATTGCTGTGGTTGATTATATATTAACGAATTTATTTCTTTCATATTCTTAAATCAACATACGTAACGGATACTTTCAGTAGTGCGAGTAGTGAAATATATAAATATGCTTCTCCTGAGTTTGCGAGTTTGCGAAAAGTCCATGATGTGATAAACGCATGCACACAAAGATTTTTACGTTCATGAGAACGGTGAGAACAGAACAGGCTTAAAGAAGTCGTTATAAGGAGCTAAATTAAAGAGATAAAGAGAGGCATAAGCAACTTAAAATCAATACCAACTTGAAAGCAGATGAAACATCTACTGAAGATCAGGATTATCAAAATTTCGCGGAATTTTACTTTATATTTACCGATACTCCAATAGTACATGTACTGATAATTTTTGGCTATTTTATTTATTAAAATTCAGCTAATAAAATCATCAAATATCGAGTAACTTTTAGCAGTTAAATTATAAATTTCTTACGAAAATTTCTTAGGTTAGAGTAACGTCCCTCGTACATTATAGAGTATCGTACATTGAAAAATAAATTATAAATTATTTATTTTATTTATTTTAATAAATACAGTATATTATATATGATCTGAGAATAAATTACATAAAAGAAATTAAAAGAAATTAAATAGTTATATTGAACACTACATGATGAATTTTTTTTTTTTTTTTGATGGTTATTAAACTACATAAAATTATCTTAAATTTACTTAGAAAAAAAAAATTTTTTCTTAGATTTTTTCTTAGATTTGAAGTGCAACTTCTTCCTTTTCAATTGTTTTTTCAATTATTTCTTCTTTTTCTTTTTCAACCATTTTTTCAATTATTTCTTCTTTTTCAACCATTTTTTCAATTATTTCTTCTTTTTCAACTATTTCTTCAATTATTTCTTCATCTTCCTTTATTTCATTAACGGATAAACTAGAATTATTATCATATAAACTAGATCTTAAAACAGCCTCCCTGTGAGCTTTAGCGGCTTTATCAACAATATTTTCAACTTCCTTAACTATTTTCCTAACGGTTTTTAAGAATACTGAACCTTCATAATCATCTGGTTGTTGCGGTTGTTGCACATTATTTACATTTTGGACATTTTGGATAATATTATATTGATTTATTTGATTTATTTGATTTATTTGATTTACTTGATTTACTTGATTTACTGTAACAATATTTTCTATGTTCGGATTATTGCTTTCCTTCACTACTGAATCTTCTGAATGAGTTAAAATTATTTCAGGAAGGATTACTTTCTCACTAACACTATGTACACTGTCCCCATCATCACATTTTCTACATTCTTCTTTCTCATTCTCTTCAACATTCATATTAATTTCGTCTTTCTTAAGTTGTTGTTCTTCTGAATGAGACTCGGACGAATTTATATTCTCAACAACAACATTATTTTCATCATTTTTCTCTTTCTTATTCTCCTCAACATCTATATTATTATCTTTCTTAGGTTCTTCCTCTTCTGAATGAGACTCGGATGAATTTATATTCTCAACAACAACATGGTTTTCATCATTTTCCTCTTTCTCGTTTTCCTCAACATCTATATTATTATCTTTCTTGAGTTCTTCTTCTTCTGAATGAGACTCGGAAGGATTTATACTCTGAATATCAACATTATTTTCATTGCTTTCCTTTTTCTCGTTCTCTTCAATTTCTAGATTATCGCTTTTCACTTCTTTTAAATGAGGATTCATTTCATTTTCATTAATTTCTCTAGTCAAAATTGTTTCAAAAGGTTTTACTTCGTCTTCTTCCTCTTTAGTATTGTCTACACTCTTATCGGGATTCATTTCAACTTCACTAATTTCTTTAGTCAAAACTGTTTCAGCAGAAGATTCTACATCGTCTTTAGGTTTGTTTATATTCTTATTAATGACTTCCTCGTTATTATCGTTTTCTTTATGTACATTAATTTCACGAGTATTTTTGTCACAACTCTCTTCAATTTTTTTACTTTCTTCTTTTATTTCAAAATTATTTACATCCTTATTAGTGATTTTCGCGTTATTATCACTTTCTATATATTTATATATAATAATTTCGCGAGTTTCTGGAGTATTATATATATTCTTGATCTCGTAATTATTATAAATAATTGGTTCAGGTTCAGAAACGAATGGAATTTGTGGTAATGAAGGTGATGATGCTTCTTTTCTTTTTTCCTCTAAAATTTCATTCAATTTTGCCAAAATTGAATCTGAAAAATTATCAGAATTTTTATCAATAGCTTTATCTTCATCTTTAGTATTCACTAGTAATTCGTTATAATGTTTCTTAGTATGCTCAATATCTTTTTTAATCTTAAGTCTTTCTGCAAACAATCTTTTTACGTCATCGATTATACGTTTACGTGTACATTGTTGTTTTAAACTTGATAAAGATCTCGTTACTTTTGTTGGAATTTCTCGAACGCTTATTCTACGACGTTTTTTTGATTTTTCCTCTTGGGATAAAGGAGTTTTTTCCTCTTTGGATAAAGAAATCTTTTCCTCTTGAGATAAAGGAGTTAAAGTACGAGTTGGAGTATTTGAGGCAGGATTATAAATAGATTGTGGTGGGGAAGAAAATGAAGTATATGCCGAAACAGGAGTATCAGGAGGCATGTTATATTGAAAAGGTTCTCCATTAGGCGAAGAAGTAATGATGTCATTAGGTTTATTTTGTGAAGAAGCATAATGAAAAGAAGGAGGAGCGGATAAAGATCGTACAGGAGGAGTTGGTGGAGGAACATGATAACTGGACCATGTTTCGAAACTTAATTCAATCTAATGTTGTTTAAATTTCGTATGTTAATAAAAAAAAAAAAAAGTTTTAATAATTTAATACATGTAATCAAATATTTACCTCGTTTTTGATTTCTACGTTTTCAGTACTTTCTTTTATAAAATATAAAATTTCTATAGCTTTAAATGTTAATTGTTTTTTCACATGAGTTTCAACTATTTCATTACAGAATGAAATTAAATCTTTAAGATATTTATTTAATTGAAGAGGGAATTTTTCGAAAAGTTTTTGAATTAATTGTAAGTATCCAAATAAAAGAGTTTCAATATTATCAGGTAAAGAATATCCTCCTATTAAGCTGTAAATAATTAAATAAATAATAATTAATTAATTAATTTTATAAAAAAAAAAAAGTATATAAACATATTATAACTAAAAAAAAAAAAAAAAAGTATTTACCCTCCAGATTTTAGCATTTTGTATTCAAATTTTCGATACTTAGTATTCTTTCTTTTCACTCTTACGAATTCTTTCTTTGATAATTTCATTAAATTTCTATAAAACTTTCTAATGGATCTTGATTCGGAAATATTTTGTGAACATAATAAAAAAAATTTTTCACGTCTATCTATCCAATCGTAATACCATTCCCCAGCAGGATATTCGAACTATTGATGTAGAGAATAAAATAAATAAGTAAATAAAAATAAATAAAATTTATTTATATAAATAAGTAAAAAAAGTTGTGTAAGTAATACTCACATCTAAAACTTTAATAAAGGAACCAAAAGCGGCCAAATATTCTTTTTGAGCAACGCTAACGACAACATCAAAAAAATTACCGCCTATCTTGAATGCTAAATCAGCATTAGATTTGTCATCTTTAATCTTTCGTAAACAATTTCTAATTTCACGAAGACTGAATATGATATTTGAGTTAATTATTTTCGTATTCCTATAAATTGCCCAAAATTTTGAAATTGATTTATAAAAAGTAGCACGAGTCTTTGAATCTATCATTTTAATAGATTTGGAAAGTATATGCAACACTGAAGACATGGCGTGACTACATAAATAAATTGAAAAATGATTAAACGATTAGTAAAAGTGAAATGAGTCAACATAATGAATTATTTTGTTAAATTAAACTTACAGAAAAAATTCTAGTTGCGCTATAGTTGAATTATCATAACAAATCCATTCATAATTTGAAAGATGTCCTGCTGCTTTAAAAGCAAAGTTCACCACTAAAAAGAAAAAAAAAAAATAGTTAGGTTAAGCGAAGTAAATCACGTGATATTAAAACGAAGGGGTAACGAGAAAACCATACCTATCTTATCTTCAATATCCTCTTTAGGACAACCAACCAAATTATCCATTAAACGAATAGTTTCTTCTAATGCATAATTATATGCTCTAAGAAGAGATAATATTTTAAGAGAAAATTTAGTGTGTGTGCGCATATATATTATATTTTTCAAAAAAAAAAAAAAAAAATCAAAATCAAAAAAAAACCTATAAACACACTTACAAACTATGGTCATCTGCCAATAACTTGAGAGTCTCATCATATTCTCTAATTTGTATATCCGATAATCTAGTTTCTAAAATAATTGAATTATCATCATTTAAATCTGAATGTTCACTATGAATGCTATGGATTGAACTCATGTTTATGTCTAAGGAAAGTTTTTTGAAATTTTTTTGATGAAAAAAAAAAAAATAAAATAAAAGATAAAACGTGCTTTTTAAAAAAAAATTTCGATTATGAATGTAACATTTATAAAACGGAGTTAATAAACCGAAATTTGAAAAAAAGAGTCGTTTTTTTAACAAGGAGATAGGATTTACAATTTTTAATTGTGTTTTAAATAATTTATTCACCCTGTATGGGTATTTAAATTGTCACAAATAATACTAAATGTTTACGCATAATCGAAAAAGAAAAAAAATAAAGAGATGGACATAATCATACAATACATGAATATTTATTTATTACACAAATTATTTTGTCCAATGTAATACATAATAATTGAGATATAAACAATAATAATATAATGATTAATAATATTATATGTAAATCTATAAAAGAAAAAGGAAAAGTTAACATGGTCGCACTGATATAAAATCTTATTTCACAAGATTTTCTTGAGAAAATTTTAATAAATTTTATAAAACTGTGTTTGATCAAAATTTCTTTGTTAAAGTTTTAAAAAATTCAATTTGGAAATTAATTCAATCCCATAAAGTCCATCAATATGTAAGAATAAATAAATAAATTAATTCCGCATAAGCCCTGAATGTTTTAGCTTTTTAATAAAGTATTTCCGGTTAATCTGCATCTCCGGTACATATACCCAAAAATAATATTATAATTGTTTCTAAAAACATATTTATGGAGAATATTATTGGTTAATTTCCATATTGTGTAATTTGTGCAACGTCACATTCGGTATATACTACTAAAAAATCTGGACATGGACTGTTTTTATGAAAGTTACACTTCATTTAGTTATTTTTGTTTCAGATTTATTTTTATTTATAGTACAGTACATTTAGTACATTTATATATTTTGTGTTTCATGGTTTATTAATTTTAATTTATAATTCACGTTCAGTCCTTGTTCTAAGAAATTATATTGCGAAAATAAACTCGAAAACGAAAAAAATATTTGGGATTCAAGAACTTATTCCACTGTTTGAAAAATTATTTTAAGTTCGGAATATTCTATTATTGTCTTTCCGCGCCAAGGCTCTACTGGCTCTACGTAATATGTGTTATGACGCATTCGATCAACAAATGTGCAGTATCATGGACATGGACATACCCGCGCCGATACACTACAATAAACTACTTGATATCGATATACTAGTTATTATGCAGCCAAAAAGGATCATGCATTCATGCTGTTTTTGACGTTTATTTAGATTAAGGTACTATTACATAATATTTTTACGCATTACATCATATATTGAATTTTATAGGTAAAATACTAAATAGCTTATTGGTTTATTTATATGAAGCATGATTAGGAATGTTAGAATATCAGGGACGTTAGAATATCACCAAACCGAGAAGCAGTTCGGTGAATAAGGTAATATCTATAATATATATTACCCAAAGTTCAACTTTGAGATATTATATATCGTAACTCATTTATTGTTTACAGTTTTGATCGAAAATTATGTGACCACATGATTTTTGTTTGATTTTCATAAGTCAATTTCATATACAACTAATCGCACGCGACTGATCGTTGATTTCATAATAAATTTCATAATAAAGTTGAGGCAATTTATTGGACAAATTTATGCTAATCAATACATTCGTGTAATTGTATGCAATTAGAATATAATATTTATTTGTTTGATTTAAAGAATAAAAGTACAAAGTGTTATACAAAATTACTTACACGATGCAATAATTATCTAAAGATAATCTAAGTGTTTCCTTCTCTAACATTATGTTTTTTTTTAATAGTCATCCGAATGTTCGTTCTCGTTCTAAACTATCTTTCTTCTTCGTTCCAAAATTGATTACGTCATTAATAATACGCTTTCGTTTTCGTATACGTTGTTGTTGCTGAAAAGATCTTGCTGCTCTTGTTAGAATTTTCCAAACATTTCATTTTATTCCATTGTTCTTGTTGTTTACTCTCGAAATGAAGAAATAATGTGGTAGTGAGGAAATCAGGAAAATGCCGAAATAAGGGAAAGTGAAATGTCATCAGATTGATGTGGATCAGAAGGTAAAGGGAGTACTAATATTAAATCAATTCAATATAATGTAGTATTGTATCATATGCATTTTTTTAGTTAAAATATAAACAGGCCTCATGAAATTATTTCTTTAAAATATTGTTCATGTTAGAAAAAATTCTCAAGAAGTCGTTGAATTAATTACAAGTACCCGAGCAAAAGAGTATCAACATGATCAGGTAACAAATATCAAATCAAGAAAATTTTATGAGTAAATTAATTTAAAGCAAAAGAATAAAGAATATTACCCTCCAAATTTGAATATTTTATATTCAAAATTTTGATATTTTTTTTTTTGCCCTTTCAAATTTTTTAGTCGATAATTTAAATGAATTTTTAATTTTCGCGCGTGTCTTCCTATCATAATCCATTCACTGGCAGAGTATTCATAAAAAAATTCGTCATTGAAGTGGCGCAGAATAAAAACTTTTGTGTCACTTACATTCAAAGTAGTTAAATATTCACATTGTACAATGGGAAAAATTATCGATTACTTTACATATTTGGTTAATAAACAATTCAACGACTAAGATTCAAAGATTCTTGTTACTATAAACTTCTGCATCAATCAATTTATATTTAGTAATTAATAATTACAAAAATGAATATACCCATAAGTATTGTTTAAAAACGGGAAAATGTTGATTTTGTTTTGTTGCACGATATTTATCTATATCGGAGATCATTAAAAATCATATAATAACCAAAAAAGTCCAAATTAAACAAAAAAAAAAAAAATTAGGTTCTGGCACTTTCTCGGCCGATAAATGCACTTAGATTCCTATGATTAGAATTATAATTATAGATTAGAATCAAGATGTAAATATAATGCGAATTCCAATTCCCGTTACGTAAAAGAAACACAGTAGTTGCACGTATTCAAAACAGATATTGATATAATGTGTGTTATTTATATCCATAAATATTCTCCTAACAAAAGTCCAATCAAATCCGCTGTTCATTCGATTATCAACTAGGTTAATTTAATTTTTTTAAATAAGAATTTTAAAATATCACAATAAATCAGTATGATTTAATTACACGAATTTGCCAAGGAAATCAGATTGGACACAATATGCATAGTTAGAAAAAAAAGGATAAAAAAAACCCTCTATTACGATGGATATAAATGGGTTGTTGCAATGTTACATCACATCAAAATGAACTACTTAAATTGATTATCTATTCATGTTCATTTTTCATTTTGACCCTATATTTGATATCATGTCCTGCCGATCATTAAATTTTAATCGATAGAATTTCCGAAGCGCCAAATCGACGATAGGTTCATTTGCATGCAACGCAATGTAAAGTATCTTTAGTAGTGCTCTTTCATCCATACCACATGGATACTATAAGTAGGCGTCAGATCTTCCGCCTTCGTTATGAGACAATTCGTTAATGCCGCCGATAACGAATTATTCGGTAAAGTGTATAATGCGGTAAAATATAGGAAAATCATGTTATTTGTAAAACTTCAGACAAATAAAACTGCGAAACATAAATCACCATCTTTTGATAAAATAGTTTATAATAGTAAATTTGCTTATTTGAGAAAAATCAATATCAAATTACCCATTATGTTAGAATTTATTTTGCAAAAAATCTTCGTTATATTTACTAAAAAAAAAAAAATTCTGGCAAGGTTGAGTTCGTCTGTCTGGGCAGTTTACTATGGTATATAGGGGAGCCAGTAGTTCTTTTAGTTTGTAATTTTTTGTATCAATGGTTTTTGTACTTACTTTAATAAATTGACTTACAATCTTAGATTGGTTAATTAGTGATATTCGGTATAACGAGAATTTTTTCATGATTTTTAGATCAAGAATTACAATCTTTTGGCCTATACATGAACTTTCTGAAGCATTTGATTTTTTAGTACCTTTTAAATGTAATTGATTCTGATCAAAAGTAAATTGACTTGCATACCCCTAATTATCAAAATTTCTGTCTACACCTTCTATTGAATTGATCTGTTCCTCCACAATAGAGATGCAAACATAACCTAATCAAAAATTCTATCTATTTCGCCTTTTATGAATAAGTTAAATTCTTTTTTTTTTTAAATTGAATCAGAAACTTAAAAATGGTTAGAAATGTTGTACAACTGATTAAGACACGACGTTACAAGTTGTTATAAGATTTTTGCTGTCGACGTGTATACTGTATATACGACACTTAAAAGTTCTATCATCAGTTAAAAATTGTATACGGGACGTTAGTCTCGTGGTATAAATCCGTCAGCCTTGATCTCATTCATTGTCATCAAGGCTCCCCCGTGATCAATGATTCTACGGTGATTGCATAATAATATCTTTGTGTATTAAGTGCTCGATTCGATAATTTCTTTTCTATGAAATTTTATCTTTTTACCTTTTTAACATAATTTTACATATTATTTATATCTTTAACAACTTTCTTTATCATTATTAAAAGATTTCAAAGCGATTTTTGATGTCATTAATAGAAGAAGTTGTTTTATCCGTGTTATTCATTTATTAATAATGCCAAATAATATCCTATTCAGAATATTGAGAATAACCATATTACGAATGGATATGAAAATGGTTGATCCACTTACTCAAGATATGTCGAAAAGTTTAATACTGAAGATGAACGTCTAACTAATTAGTTGAAGATCCGGCATCTGACGAGTCCGATGTATAGGTAATTAGGTATCAAAAGCCAGACGTGATTTCTTGTTATCTCTAGAAACTAGATGAGTGTCAAAATGGTTTGAGCAACTATGAGAATTATAAAGATTGGGGAACCAATCAATTTCTATGTGGTTAAATGTTTTGAAAATCATCTTTTCTAGCCTATTTAGACGAGCGATGATGTTGAATTGTTACACGAATCTGCACTATTGGCGCTTGAAATTTAGATCGTTTCAAAGTACGGTTACCACTAGATATAACGAACCTCTATTCCAGGAGGTTTAGTTCGGTATAGAGTGAATTTGTTATATGATAGTTTCCTGTTTCGGGTGAAAAATTACCGATAATTCCGGCCAGCACTACAAATTTGACCTTGATTATTATATAGTCACATGACCGTTTGTCATACAGTACATGAAAACCAAAATTCAGTAGCAATTGTCCATCCATAACAATTGCTCTGCTGGGTGTTCTTAGTTCGGTCTATCTGGAAAAGTAATAATTGATCACTTAATTACTTTCCTACCTTTAGTACCATTTCATCATTAGCAGGAGCGCACGATTATTCAAAGTATTATCCCGTGCATTTAATCATTTAAAAAGTTACTATGAAGAGAAAACATTAAGCGAAGATGGTAAATTTTCCTCTTCCTCAAGAATACCAAATAATATGAAGGTAAATATTTCGTTCACATATGATGACTGGCCTATAGATAATCACACCAAGTTCATGTGGGATCTAGATTGATCCATGATCAGTTCTACAACAGATGATCAATGTAAAATCGTTGTAAAACTAGCCCAAACATATAATGTGTTTGCATATAAATAGTGTGTTGCTTACCAAAACAAACAAGATAGTGATTGATGGATGACAATTTGTTGTGATGAAGGTTGTGTGTCATTACACAATGCGAAATTACGGATGAGGAGTACTTGATAGTCATGAATGATGTTGATGTTAAAAAGGCAATTCGATAAAAACCTTGTGTTTGGTGACCTTCGTACAAACATTACCGTTGAATTGATTGTTGCGGGAACATCAAATCAGCCGTTATCAACCTTCGATGATCGACAATTGAATGCCTGAACGGCCACTCGGGGCTGGTTACTGGATAAATTTCACGATTTATACTGGCTGTAATTATTTCGAGAGAAGAGGAGCTGGTTATTCTTCTAGCCGAGTAAATGATCTGTTGACTGAAGATTAGTTTTTATAAATTTTTATATATTAGAATAGAAGCCCGAAAAATTCTTGTAATATATTTTTAAATTTCTTAAATTAATTATTTTAGGACTGTCAACTGATATATGGGAACCGGCTCACGCCGATACTATTGTGAACCGATTTGATTGGATGAAATGGTACTGGTTCCATAATGGTTTTTGGTCAGTTCGGTCCAGAACTGCGAGTTAATATCAAAATTTTATCAGAACATATCAGAACCAAAGTATCGAACCGAACAAGAACGAACTGCTCAACCGCGAACATTTCCCATCCCTATATATAGCTGACAAATATAACCAAAGTTTCACTCACAATATGCTTTTTAATTTTTATACTTAACAATATGTATGCTTGAATACACACATATCTTGAAATTAAGAAAAATCGATTGACTTCACTAAATATTTCTATTTTTTTTCCAAAAAAACAATTCTCACCTAAAATTTTCGCAATTATTTCTTTCACTTACACAAATCATGTATATTATTTTGGTTAGTCAAGTTTCGATCAATTAAATTATCCCGAAGCAAAAAATTAATGTATATATATATATATATAATAATAATATAACTAGCTCCTTTGATTCACTCTTACTATTACGGAATATATTTTACTTATTCTAGCTCGTAGAATCAATCACCTAGTCACATTATTGTCAATAGGAAAATTTTCATCGCACGTGTATATAAATATTTTTTTCTTCACGCCACAATACCTACAATACCTCTCGTTTCCGCCATTTCTTTCATCACTGCGATTGAAAATGCACCACTCACCCATTATAGAATGGCAGTACTGATACTTTTAATAATTTTACAAAAACAAGAGGTTATTGGTTATCTTTAGGAAGTGTATAGCAAACAAGATAGGGAGACGAGATTGATAGAAGAAATCTTATTTATCGAGTATACAGGAGCTTCAATGCAATATTGAAGCAAAAAAATAGTATTTAGGAATAAATTTAAAAATTAAAAGTGGTATATTGTTTTTATTAATCAAATTTAAATTTACAAAGAAATTAATTAAAATTTTTAAATTACTATATACTGTATAAATTTAACTATTTTTTTCATTAGTTACATTAAGCTTTAGCATAATACATTCAACCTTAATTTTTTTTTTAAGTTATTTTAAAGAATCATAATTCTAAGTATTTTTACTATATCAACTTTTTACGATATTTGTTCCTTTTCAACTTCAGGTATTACATTAACAGATGTACTAGAATTATTAGCAGATTTCAAAACAGCTTCTTTATGAGTTTTGGCAGCTATATCAACAATATGTTCAATTTCTTTAATAACTTTTTTAATTGTTTTAAAGATTGTTGATTCTGATTCTAGCTGCTCTGGCTGTTCTGGCTGTACTATTTGATTAACAGTGTAGTAGTTTATTATATTAAGGTAAGTTTTTTCATCAATTTCCTGATTGAATTTTTCCACATTTCCTTTTTCAACTTCTTCATTTCCTTTTTCTTCTTTAATTATAATAGTAGGTATATTATTATTTTTACTTTCGCTATCTTCTGCATTTTCTTCTTCAACGTTATCACTCCCTTGTGCATTTTTTTCAGCTTTTTCACTTTCTTCAATTTCTTCAACTTTATTAATTTCTTCAACTTTTTCAACTTCTTTAACTTTTTCAATTTCTTCAACTTTTTCTACTTCAACTTTTTCAATTTCTTCAACTTCTTCTACTTCTTCAACTTTTTCAATTTCTTCAACTTTTTCTACTTCAACTTTTTCAATTTCTTCGACTTCTTCTACTTCTTCAACTTTTTCGATTTCTTCGACTTTTTCAATTTCTTCAACTTTATTAATTTCTTCAACTTTTTCAACTTCTTCAACTTTTTCAATTTCTTCAACTTTTTCTACTTCAACTTTTTCGATTTCTTCAACTTCTTCGACTTCTTCGACTTCTTCTACTTCTTCAACTTCTTCAATTTCTTCGACTTTTTCAATTTCTTCAACTTTTTCAATTTCTTCAACTTTTTCAATTTCTTCGACTTTTTCAATTTCTTCAACTCTTTCAATTTCTCCAACTTTTTCAATTTCTTTAACTTTTTCGTTTTCTTCTACATTTTCTTCAACTTTATCACTTTCTTTAACTTTTTCGCTTTCTTCTTTTTCAATTTCTTCAACTTTTTCACTTTCTTTAACTTTTTCGTTTTCTTTTACATTTTCTTCAACTTTATCATTTTCTTTAACTTTTTCGCTTTCTTCTACATTTTTTTCTTCAACATTTTCATTTTCATTTTCAAATTCCTCTGAAGATATAGAATTATTATCACTTTCCTTTCCATGTCTTTTAAGGATTTCTTTATCCTCTTTACTTTTCTTTTTCTTATCCTTTTTTTTAAGCGAAGGAAAATTTGAAAAGAGTGATATAAACCTCTTATTGGGTGAAGGTGGTGAAGGTTCATATGGTGGTGGTGCCTTCTCTTCTAAAATTGTTTTTAGTTTTGATAAAAGATCCTCATCAACGATTCTATTTTCTTTATTATCTAATAGCTTTTCAAATTCTGTTTTAATTTCATAAATATTATTTTCGGTCTTACGTCGATCTTTAAATAACTTAATTACATCATCAATTATGTTATCAACGTCAATGGTATTTGTAACACTAAATGATTGAACTCTTTGAAAATGTGCTGTAAATTTCCGAACACTCGATATTTTACTTTGTCGATCTTGATTTTCTTCTATAGATGAAGCAGAAGGGGATTGTGGTGGCGTAGAAAACGAAGTAAAGTCCGAAGCAGCAGAGTCAGGTGGGTTAAATTGAAACGAAGAAGGCGAGACAATGAGAATACTATCGGGTTTAAATTGCGGAGGTTGCGAAAGGTTATAAGTAATGAGACCTTTAAAATACTGAAAAGGTTTAATGAGTGTAAGAAATTAAAAATAATAAAAAAAAATATACATATATAATAACATTAATAATAATAATAATAATAATAAAAGGTTACCTCATTGTTAACATTTCCTTTTACGACATATATGATATACAAAATTTCTATAGCCTTAAATGTTAACTGTTTTTTTATGTTTGTTTGAATTATTTCATTACAGAATGAAACTATTTCTTTATCATATCCGCTTATATGAGGAAAAAATTCTTCAAGAAGCCGTTGAATTAAGTGTAGATATCCGAGTAAAAGAGTGTCAATATGATCAGGTAAAGAGCAATTAATCATTGCACTAAAATAGTAATAACAAAAAATTTTAGATGTTAAGTAAATTTAAAATGAAAAAAAAAAACAGAAAAAAAAAACAAAAATTTTTAATTATTTACCCTCCATATTTTAACATTTTATATTCAAGATTACGATATTTCGTATTTTTTCTTTCTACCCTTTTAAATTCTTCATCTGATAATTTAATTAGTTCTTTACAAAAACTGATAGCTCTTTTTCCAAAATTTTTTCTCGAAGATTTTTTGCGCAATTTAAAATATTTATTGCGAATACTTTTCCATTCATAATACCAATCCCCGGTTGCATACTCGAACTGAAAAAAAGTATGCATATATTATTATAACACGTTTTGAAGTGACACAATAATGTGCTAAGTAAATGAAAAAAAGGTGCGTGTTACTTACGTTCAAGAGTTGAATAAAGGTAAGAAAAGCAGACACATATTCTTCCTGGAGAACATTGATAATAGTTTCAAAACTTATTTGTACGTTAGACTTATACGTCTGATCATCTTTAATTAGTCGTAAGCAATTTCGAATTTCACGGAGGGAGAACACAATATTTGCATTAATACACTTCGAATTTCTATAAATTGCCCAGAATTTAGAAATGGACTTATAAAGGGAATCGCGAGTATCTGCTTCAAGCTTGTTAACAAATTTGGAGAGTATATGCAATACCGAAGACATGGCATGGCTGAAGAAAGAATTTTAGGAGTCGTTCGTTAATCACTACATGTATTGAAATTTAATAATAACGATAAACAATGTATATTTACAGGATAAGTTCGAGTCTCGCAGTAGAGTCTCCATAATATTGCCATTTGAGATTTGAAATATGTCCCGCCGCTTTTGGAACAAAAACTTCCATTCCTAAAAGGAAAAAAAGCTTTTTTAATCGTAAGGTTAAGATTACATCACGTGACATAAGGAAGAAAGAAATCATACCCATTTTAATATCCTCTTTAGAACAATCAGCCAAGTTTTCCATTAACGTAATTGTTTCTTTTAGAGCATAATTATGTGTGCTAAAATTGATGAAATTTAGTTCATCATCAAACATATTCCCTAAACAAACGCTTGCAGAAAATATAATTAGAAACTCACATGTTACTTTCATTATCCCCTAATATTTTAAGAATATCTTTATATGTTTTGGTCGGTATTTCACCGATTAAATCTAAATGTTCATCGTTAGTAGAGGTGGATATTGAAAGAGCGTGTTTTATAGGTGAGGATGACATTTTGAAGAAAAATAAGAAAAGAAAGGAGGATGGGAATTTTTTAATTTTGAGAAAAATGCCTAAGAAATAATATAAATATATTTGTATTGTTACACGATAACACGAACACTACACATCAAAATTTGTCATCGAACTTTAATTTTTAATAAAACTAAAGGCATTTCCCGTACGGCCGATCATACATGTGGGAATTATTTTAATAAAATATTTTTAGATTCTAACAAACTTACAAACTTGGAAATTTTGAATGCAAGGAATTTATTTAAGTTACTAAATTAACATTTTAATACTCCGCGTTTCTTTTAGATCCAATATTCTAGAATTATTACCTATTTAATTATAAAAAGAACATCTAGGAAAAAAAAAATAAGAATGGCTCGGTTCATTCGTCACGTCTATCACATAGTTGCACAGAAATCACAGAAATAGCAAACATTTATGTAGTGTGAATGTTTTTTTTTTCTATAAAAGATCTTTAGAATGATTGTCCAATCAAAATCCGATGATGATCCATAACAAAATTTTACGAGTATCATATTTTTCAAGAAAAAAAAAAAATCATTTATACTGCATTAAGTTAGAGATGCCGATTAACTATTCGCCTTGTTGGATTTTTTGAGAACCTATTGTAAATTATTAATAATACTATTATTCTATATTGACTTTGCCTAATCACAGATCATGAGAATTTTTAAGAAAATGTTTTTTCCGAGATTAAGATTTTAAGGAGAGATTTTTTTTTTTAAAGATATTTTGAAAACAATTACCGGATATATACAATGCGTTTCACACAATCTGCAATTCTATAAAATCCTATAAAAAAAACGAATCATTTTAATCATTGAGATAAATATAAAAGGTATATAATACATTATACGCACTACAATATTAATAATATTACATGCTTAATCCCAGAACAAACCAATATATATATGAAAAGATGAAACAAAATCAAAAACAAAAAAAATTCAATGACTTCAAAAAACATGCCCAGAAATTTTTATTAATACATTTCTTTTTTTTACCTATTTATCCAACAGAAAGTATAGAAAGTATGATGTTGAAATATTTATCTCATATGAGTAAAAATTAATTTCCTTTTTTATTATATGCATTTTGAATTATGCTAATTATAGCAATAACTGAAAGGATTTGATTTTATAGGTTCTGAGATAATGTATCTTGCATGTAACGAAATAAGTCACGTGGAGGTGGGAATTTGGGAATTTTTGATTATCAGTTTATCAGTTATCATGTCATATGGTGTTTCAATAGTTAGAAATAGAAAAGGAAGAATCTCAAAAGTTTTACTTCTTGGCTACAACAAAAATGTAAAGAAAAGGATTTATCTGCAAGAAGACATAAAATTAAGTCTTTAAATAAAGAATTAACCTTTTTATTATGATTTCTTTAATCTAACCTTGCCGCTTCGGCCCTCGACCTAACTTTCTTGAGGTTAGTTTGTTCGGAGACTTTTTGGCAAGGTTAAGTCTTTTTATAAGAAAGGATTAAAAACAAACTATTTAAGAATAGTATAAGCGACAAATATTTAAAAGTATGAAATAACAAGAGTAACAAGCGAGAAGAAAAGTTGTTATAAACGAGATGGTGGAGCTGTTCGTGAATTGGTTGTATAAGAGACTTTTGAAAGTTGCATTAGGTACTGGTTTTTTGATCTAGTATGTAACAGCGGAGATACGTCTTAAATTAGAAAGTACATTTGGTGTTGTTACGGAGGCATCTTTCGTTATAACATAGTGTCTGGACATTTCTATAAAATATATAATGATTCAATAATTAATGATCCGATTTAATGAATTATGTCATGAAGAATTGAATGGTACTATGGTAGTAATTTCAAATGGTCTAGAAGAGTTTCGAGTTGAAAATAAAAATATCGTTTACAAGCAACTTTACAAACAAGGTTACATAGAAAATGGTTTGGAAAAAGAAAACAGAGACATTTAACGAACAGATCACATTTATTGGATGGGTCTATCTAACCTTCCTGTCTTTATATTTATGAAGAATATTATAGAGTGTGATAATAGTTGTTTAAGAATTTTGGGGAAGCACGAGTCTTACTGAGTCTTAATGGGATTGATGCTGCATGTTTTTGGGGAACATATGAATTTCTTGGTGGAATATGAGCAGTTATTTTGTATACCTCCCCAGATTCTGAATCTGCTCATCTTTAACAACTAGTTTAAAGGTAAGATTTGGATCTAAGTTTAAAAGATATGGAAGGGAAAGAATACAATCATATCCACCCCAATTATGAAAGTAACACGTTCTCCCCTCATTTTTTTCAAAGCATTTTGTGAGACGGTAAACTTTTAAATATTTTTTTTCTTTTCTTTTAAAGGTCTTATAACTTTCATTGTAAAAATATATATATATATATTTGATTTTATTTTAAAAAAAGTAAAAATATACATGTCGAGATGAAACTAAAATATTATAATAAAAAAGAGAGAGAGAATGTGAGTTTAAATTTAAAATCTTCTTTTCTTTTCCTTCAAGAACTATGTCTATTAATCACATATTTGATTTAAACCAATCAGGTATTTGTTTCATACTAAAAGCTTTTATACCATGAATAGCTTCTTCAGAATTCATCATTTGTATAAATTGCTCTTTAATAAAATCTTTTTTCTTATCATCATTAATATCAGTACTATTAATAATTTGTATCAATTTTTTTATTTTACCCATGGCTTTTGGTGCGCTACTTAATAACATTTTAGTATATTCTTCAACTTTTTTATTTAAATCATTATCATCAGTTGCTGATGTACTAATAATTCCATCATTTAATGCTTGTTTAGTAAAAATTTTTTCACCCGTTAACATATATTGTTTCGTTTTAAATAATCCTAATTCAGGTACAATATATTGTGATATAATCGCTGGTAATAATCCAACTTTAACTTCATTAAAACAAAAATAAAAATTTTTTTCATTACATATCCTTATATCTGTTACAAACATTAATCCTATACCACCACCTAATACTGGTCCATTTATTTTTGATATAATAACTTTTTTTGATGATTTTATAGTATTATAAAATAATGTTCCTATTTCATAGGTTTTTAATGAACCATTTTCAATTGAATCAATTTTATTGTTATTATTGTTATTTTTGGAAAAGGAAGAAGTTAAAGGGGTGGAAGTTATGTTTGTTCGTTGTAAATCCATTCCTGTACAAAAATATTTCCCTTTCCCTGTTATAATTATTATACTAATAGAAGAATTATTTTCTAATTCTCGAAATATTGAAAGGAATTCATTTATCATTGAAAGTGTTAATGAATTGCCACGTTCTGGCTTATTTAAAGTTATCGTTGCTACATGCTTATTAATTTCTAAAAGAATTTCCTTACTCATTCTTTTTTTTTAAAAAAAAAAAAATAAAAAATAAAAAAAAAATTTTTTTTTTTTTTATTTTTTATTGGTATGTAATAAATTTGAATGTTTCGCAAGAATTAACGTTTTTTATTTGTAAAATATAAGATTGACAAGTGTGGCTTAGACAATTAAATTTTTATTTCAAAATTATTATTATATTTGGAAATGTGAGAACTTTTTTTTTTTGACTTTGCCGCAGTATCAACTATATTAACAAAATTAAAGTTATTTGGTAATATCTTTCAATTGTTCAATTATCTTTTTGCATTTACGTTGAGTATTTTCAACCTCTTGAAGTACAATCTTTACTTCTTCGTCAACTTTGATTCTTTTTGATTGCCGAAACGAAGATATTCCTTCAATACCGTTAAGCTCATCAAAACTTGACGGTGTAGGTGAATTTGGTGATGATGTTTTTGGTACCAATGAATGATCCTCCGAATCTTCCTCTGATATTTCAATTTGCGAATTTCCAGCTACCTCTTCATCTTTATCATTAAATTTCCTTTTTAATGTTGGTATTGAATTAGCAGATAATTTAATAGTTTTATTACTCGTAATAACTTCATCACCAAATATCTCCTTCATCTCATCATAATAATCGAAATCCATAGGTTCAACACCTGATTTAATGCAACCATATACCGAACTATAATCTGCAGCCAATCGAGCCCACCTTTTTATATAATTAATATAATATAATTTATTAAATATAATTTATTAAATATAATTTATTAAATATAATTTATTAAAAGTATATACAGTATAAACAATAAGAAAAAGTCAAGACTAAATTTACCTTAATTTGAAGGCTTTCAAAGTTCTTCCCGAAAATCTTGTGCAATGATCCGAAAACATATCACTCCAAATCCTAGATTTATCGGCATTACGTTGTGCCGCTAACAGCAACTTATGCTTTAATTTAACAGCGGAGATCAATGATCTGGTTTCCTTTCTAGTCCAATTCGAACGACATTTCTTCTTTTCTTTGCCTCCCTCAGTTTTAGGTGTCTCATCATAATTTTCTCTCTTTATAGTTTCTTCTGGGAGAAGACCTAATAAAATTGAGTCTTAAATACAAAATACAACTTTAAATGATTTTTTTTTTTTTTTTTTAAAAAAAAAAAAAGAGAGAAAGAAAATATATATTAATGTTACATACCAATATTTTCTTGAATAAAAGGATTATCAAACTTTATGTTAGCATGTTGAATCTCCGGTAAGTTGTTATTACCTTCAAGAACTCCATTTCCAAATTTTGAGGGTTGATCTTCAATAATATCGGATTTTCTTCGTTGTACATTGGTAAAAGCAGAATTACGACCCAAATGATGAGATGATGGTGCAGAATTAATAATAGAATGAAAATTCGGAGTAAGAGGTGGTAGATATCTACCATCATTATTATTGTTGTTATTATTATTATACGAAATAAATGAACGCGTAGGAAGCGGGCTTTCTAAACATTCCTGTCTATTATTATTATTATTATATGATGACATATTGTCGCTTGAAGACCATGTTGATACGTTATACGGGGGACCAGTTGAACCATTGATATCCCTATTAGACTGATAATTATTAGAATAATACGTCGGCCAATAAGTTGTCGTATAAGACGTACTATTTGGATCATAATTTATATTTGGTGCATAAAATTTAGGAATTGAAGTATTAAGTTCTTGTTTTATAGTAGAACCTTCAAAAGGTTGAGTAGGACTTCTCGCACTCAAAGGAGATTGATTAGGAAAATTAACTTGGGCGAAGCTTCCACGAAAAATAGCGTCCGTACTTTCATGATTATGAAAGGAAGTTAAAGGGTTTGGTAAATTAGATATTGATGGTAAAAGAATTTTTGGACGGTAAATATCATTATTAGCATTTTCTTTATTTTCCATTCCTACTTTATCGAAAAAAGCTAAAGTACTCTAGTCTAGTTTATATTAAAGAAAAGGGTAAATAAGTAAATGTTTTGACGCGATGAACCTTTTTATAGTTATCTAAGAATAACGTGACGTACGTGACGTAACAATAATTCCTAAAAAAAAAGACGTGTTTTTATATATGCAAACAAACTCAAGTGTCTGATGTCACACAGATTTTATTGATTCTCGTGTTCTCGTGACTCGTGCTCTCGTGTGCCCTCGTGCCCTAAGGAGTTTGAGAGTTTTGAGATACTTCATCAGCTACTAAATCTGTTCAATAATACAGTCAGACTTCTATTAAAATTTATTTTCCCACTATGAGAACATATAAATATAATATGCGGTTACTACGGTATTTTTGTAAGTGACTTTAATCTAATTTAAAAATTGTTGAGCTTTTATAAAATTTAAACAAACGAAACTTCAATGATAATAGTAATAGTTCGAATTTTAAAATTTTTATTGTAGATATAAAATTATAAAACTTTATAAAAAAATTTTTAAATTTTATTAAGTATTTTAATTTTAATTAAAAAAATTTTTTATACATAATTAACTTATATAAAAATTTTTAAATGCTCTTGTAAAAATCGTAACTAGTAGGTAAATTATGAGATGATTATCAAAGAGCCAATCAAAAATTTTGGTGGATAATTTGTAACATTGATTATTATATATTAAATGCAAAATACTCGGTGAAATGGGAGAGTGCATCAAATGATCCTATCATTTCTTTCTATCTTATATAATTTCCGAATTTACATAATTATAATCTAAATTTGGTAATACAAAGTAAATCAGAACAAATTCAACTGAAACGAAAAAAAAAATAAAAATAAAAATATATATATATAAATTGAAGAAATTATATTTTATAATTCAATCTAGAAGATTTAGCGGGTGTAACAAAGAAGTCAAAAAAGCCCATTTTCTAAACTTGATTGTCGTAATCATAGTATGAATTGCAACCACAATTTATTTTTTTTTCATATTTTCTTGTTACATCGCGTCATCTATGAACAATGATTTTTGTTTCTTCTTCCATTATTAGTGAAGTAGGGGGATTGGATCTAATGAATAATCACGCCACAAATTTAAATAAAAAAAATTGCATGATTTTTTTTCAACCATTCAGAAACGGTAATTTCACATTGTTAATGGTTTATGATAACTTACAATAGTTATTATAATTTAAAAACGGGAAAAAATATTACAAAAAAAGAGAATCGTATGATTTACATTAAAATTAAATAAAAGAATGAAAACAAATACGTGGTTCAATTGATTGTGTAAGATATGTAAGATAGACGATATATACATATATTTGCTGTATATAAACAATGCGGAAATAACTAAAAAAAAAATTCACTTTAAATTAGCCTTTTTTTCTTTATCTTTGAGAAAGGCTGTACCTCATGTGGAAAGAAAGTGAATTTTATTATCGAAACTAAATCTGTTTACACAACATTATAAATGCGATAAAGAGATCTTAACAAATCTGTTTACGATATTTCGTAAAGATTTTATTTTTTTTATATAAAATGACACGCAAAAAAATTCCAAAATATTTTTAAAAAATTTTTATTTTTTTATTTTTATTTTTTTTTTTTTTTAAGTAAAAAACGAAAAAATTGATAATTATTTTGTTTACCATTTTTACATTTTTACCCAATTTTACCCAAATAATAAATAATCAACATGTCACCTATTAACGCGCCACAAATTCCACCTAACAACCCTAGTAATATAGCAACATATACCCCTTCTAATACTAGTACTGGTAACTTGTTCGCACTTTTGAAAGATAACAATACATTTACGATTTCAATTGAAACGTTAATTAAAGCTACAGCTATAGATCAAACGCCAATAACAAACAAAAATTCAAAAATTGTGAAACAAACAAAACCAACACATAAAAGGTCCAAATCTTCAATTTCACGAATTCATTCTAATAATAATAATAATAATAATAATAATTCCATCAATAATAAATCTTTAAAATTAATCAAGTCCTCAACTTCAACTGAAATTAAAAAAAATTTTACACCTAATTCTCAACAAAATTTAAATTTATCAAATATGAGTGCTGTACCACAGCTTGCTAAACTTACACAAAAAAATGATAACTATAAATTTCTAAGTTATTATCCTCCAAGATTTTTAACTCTCTTTTTACTTGGATCTTTAACTTCTTTTGTGATAGATCATTTACTTACTCAAAATCATATAACAGAATATCCAAAAGATATTCCAAAATTAATTGATACTGCTGCTTGGATTCCACCAACATGTGGTGCTTCCGCTGTTTTAGTAGGTTCTTTATTCCCTTTTGCTGATTATTGGTTTATGCGAAAACCACAAGAATTTCAAAGAGAATGGAGTAATGTCATGAGGTATTATTGAAATTTAAATAATAAAAGATTTTTGTTTATTCTATGATATCAATATATTGATTCCATTTTTTTTTTATTTAGATGTATGGGAGGTTTTATTGGTGTCGCATATGCTGCTACGGTTGGTTTCAAATTTATTTTATTTTAATCAAAATTTAATGTATTAATTAAATATTTTCTTATAATGTAATATTATAATTATATAGAAATTATCATGGAATAGCAATTATCAAGTTTCTTGTACATTAGCATTGATATCGATCGTATTATGGTTCCTATTTGATCGAACTTCACATGGATTTATGATGTCCACGTTATTTTCTTCAATAGGAACGGGTGTCATGTATATGCTTGTATCAAACGGTATCTATAGGTAAGAGATTAATCAATTTAAAGAATTTAGAATTTTTCCTTTTTTTAGTTTTAGTTTTCAATATTTAATATAATTTAATTTTTAAATTAAGTTTCACGCACGCTGATTTTTTCGGTGTACGATCATGGATTCCGGTATTTATTTTTATAATCTTTAAAAGAACCATTTTTATAAAAAGTATTAATACGTTTTTTATATATCTTTCTAGTGTATTCTTTATTCATCATGTGTATGTTTTGGTACAATTGGTAGACAATTAATGATAGTACCGGAAGAATGGTTTGAACCTGAACAGAAAGAACAAGGAAAAAGTAGTGAAGTAAAGACGGCAAAACTGGATTAAATATTATAAACAAATGATGAATTTATAAAGATTTTTGATGATTTGATATTTCAACTTATTTTTCACGTTAATTTTTTTCAATGTTAGTTGAATAACAATTGATTATTGTAGGCATTAGTAATTTTTATATATGTATATAATGAATATATATATATATATATATATATATATTCTGAAAATAAATTTTTTTAATAGAACTATAAAAATTAATTATGAAATAATTGCATTTCAATTCATAATTCATATCTTTATTAAATTATTATTTTATTAAAAAAAACCAAATTATGGAAAATTAATATAACTATTAAATAAAATTATGAAAAAAAAAAAATTTTTTTAACAAAATAAATTGAATATGTCATTATATTAACATTATAAATATGCAAAACCAACTCGTTAATAACCCTTTCCCCCCAAATATACCGTTTTTTAATAATTTAAATCATTTTTACAATACAGTAAACTATTTATTTATTTTTAGTATACTTACATTCCTCCGGATTTACTATAATGTTATCATCATCACTAAGTTCGATAATTAAATAAGAATAAGATTTTCACACTTAAAGTTACTATATTTAGGAGCAAACATGATTACTTACTCTTCAATATCACTCCTTGTATCTTCGGCATTTTTACCAGTAACAACTCTCCATGCAACACGTAAAATAAGTGAGAACCAATAGACCATCAAAATCTGTAAGAGTACTAATCCAAACAAAATGATGTACTTGGACCACCAAGTTAACCAATATCCATTTAATGGATCCCATATGCACTTGTTATTTTCTGGTAAACATGACTCAGCATATGTAGTCCAGATAATTAATCCATAAAGATAATGTCTTGTATATATCCAAGTAATCATAAAGATTACAAACATCATATCGGTGATGATGCTCGGAAGCTCCAAGTATTTGAGGCATTTGGCGAACTATAATTGAAAGGAAATAGCATCAATAAAGTTAAAGTATAAATGATAAAGACTTTCAACTATTGTTCGGATATTTATTTGATTTGCTTTTTACTCATTCTCCTCTTAAGAAAAAAGGAAAACATCAGCTATTTACAAACATATCACTTCCCTTCCTTCCCCTTATACGGTTACTTACCGATAACCAAATATCAGTGAAATCCATTGTAACAAATACCGTATTCCCCATTCTTGTGAAGTTGAATAAATAACTGCCTCCGATCAACAAACACGTTATAATATGATGTGCTGCCATCTCGACGAAATCTTTACGAGGTTTTTCAATTTTAAGTAGGAGAACAGTAATTTGTTGAAGCCAAAATGCAAATTGAATAAGGTAATAATGTTTCAAAGAAGGACTCATTAAAAAATGCGGATAGTCAATCCACAAGTATTTGGTATTGAAATACCCGTAAGGACCTTGGCTCATTATATACTACAAAATAATGATAAATAGCATTAGCTTTTTCCATTATGATAACCTTTCTCTAAATCTTGATTTTCCAAGATCTCCTGATCTAATATAATTTCGCTTATTCTTTTCAACAGATTTAGGTTAACTGATCAAATTCAATGCATTATCTAACAATTCATGTAAAATATCGTGATTGCAACTTACTGAGCCAGCCGATGTTGATATGAGACAATAAATAAAAATATATCCTTGCTCCATGAATCTTGTCAAACTTTTTGTTTTTATTCCTGCGTATAATGCAAAAGATTTTAGCAAATACTGCATTGTAAACTCTCTAATAAATGTGAGTACTAATATCCAGAAGACTATGTATGCGATATCCCAGTATCCTTTCCCATATTGGATTTCATCTGAAGAACTTTTCTGTATAGGATATGATAAGAAAAGAAACTTGGAAAAAGGATTTTGTGGAGTAGGATTAACCAAATAAGATAAAATTATTGCACTTATGATTTTCAAAGGCAACTCTAAACGCGAAAAAAAATTCGTGTCAATTATATAAAACTTTTCAATTCAATTTATTTTATAAGCTAAAAAAACTCAATAGAAGTGAAATTATTAAAACTTACCAATCTGATGCTCGAAAATATAGTTTGCTACTCTTGTCCATATCCCTGCTTTTTTTTTCGCAAGTATTATATATTTCTCTTTCTCATTTTTCCACTCGGGAATTGGTTTCGACTTTCTCTTAATTGTTCCTTTTGACATTATTTAATATGTCGACAAAAAATTTACAGGGATATTGTTAAATAGAATTTCGTTTGTTTGTTGGTACTAGCGAAAGAATCTACTCGAGGTGACTCAAATATTACATCAAAAAAAAATTGCAAACAAGATCTACTAATAGATCTCAGCCCAGCTTCAGCCGGCACAAATTTTGGGGGACCCCCGTTGCCGAGTTAAAAATTCCTACCTACATTATTCCGAACATAAAAATCCATTTGATTTAAAAGGGTAAATATTCATTTACCCTTCTTCCCCATTTAATCAACAATGTAAAATCCGTGGCATATTCTCGTTTTTGTAAAATTTTGCACATGGAGATTAAGTAAAATTGTGATTTGCAGCAAACTGATGTCACAATTTCAATATTTCATATGAAAAAGTTTAGCAAGTTGTCGTACATGACAATGTAAGGGAAAATCAGTCCCCCAAAACTGAACCAGTACTACCAATGATAGTTACTTCACTGGTTACTTCGAGCTCAACTATCATGTGATATGGTTGTTGGTTGTACTCTTGGCATACATTCAGAGGATCAAAGGATGTGTTAGTGTTTATTTCTTTGTAGTAGGCTAAAAAAATATAAAATTAGATATATACATAAGAATATGAAAAGGGTTCTAGGAAGCATCGCGAAGAAAGAATATTTAGCGTAGCCATTTATAAAGTATATTTTTTTTTCGGATTTTTATTTTTTTTTATTTTATTTCGTTCTCGTGGAGATTCCTTAACCGTATAGTTATATTTTTTTTATTATTAATTCTTTTTTTTTTTTGTTGTTTCAGACCAATACAAGTCATGCCGAAAAATAACAATTACTGGAATGCTGGAATAACATGTAAACGAGTATATCAGTTTAACACATTTCAGTAATATTAGTCCGCCGACGTACAAGTCTGTTTCAAAAACAGTAAGAGATTCATTAATTCAGTGTGAAGCTATCTGAGTATTTTTGTATAATTTTTGCAGAAAATCTACAGGCAATAATCTGAAGATCGAGAGAAATAATTACGTGAAGCTGTTGATGACATATGAGATCATATTGGAATATTTAACCGATACAATGAGAATTAGAACAATTTAAAACCGGAAACAAAACGTGAAAGATTGCAAATGTTTTAATGATGGCTGCAGAATGACACTAAACATGAAAGAAATAAGATCAATGTAATCAATTCAGACAAAACGGTTTTAAGCCTACCTCAAATAGCTCTGTTCGACGTGTTCACACTTATTATTGTTACTTAGTATCAGAAAGTATTTGGAGCATTTTTTTTTTATTTCTTCAAACATAAAAGTACTATTTAGTTCCTGTTCCATGTAAATAGATAAATTCTCGAACGAAAGATCTATCTATCATAAGAAGAGTTATCAGAAAGTTTGAGAGACAAAAATACTTTTCAAATAATGACCAAACTTACTTAAATCCTTGCGATCATTATAGATGTGAAATGCAAGATTCTCCTGGGTATCAAAGTATTGTGTTTCAGAATGGGTAACAGACCATCATTTGCAGATAAATGACGCTAAAGAAGCAGCACTTTTAGATATGGTAGTATGGTGGATAAGATTGATCCCATCACAAGAAAACAATTTATGTAAATGCTCCTAAACATTTATAATATTGACACGTTATAATCTTGTGGTCATAGTAAACACGCATTTATGGTGACTAAGAGAAAAAGTATGAATCATTATAGTAAATAGTAATTGGATAACAAAATTAAATAAACTACTATTATCGAAATTATATTATTCAAAGCAGTGATCACAATTTAAGTATTGCTACATTATAGCTTGATTAAACAGGCAATAATATCAATATTAAACTATTAGCCGTGTTTTCAGTATAATGAGACCCTTGCATATTATCCCTAATAAAAAGAGAATTCTCTATCATTAAAGTTACTTAAATTATTTATATTTCTGTTAACAATTTTAATTTTGAAAAATCATTTTTTAGGGTGATACAATGTCGCACTAATATTGACTTTATAATGGAATAAAAACACAAGTAATGAAAAGCGTACTGGATGTTGTGGAATATGTGCTGCAAATTTGATTGCAAGTAGTTAATAGGAAAGTGTATATTAGGACCAAAATTTTGTGCTATATCAGATATAAAGCTATTTAAGATTCTTGTGCAAATCATGATTCATTATTTTCTCTCAAAAAACCCTGAACATAAAATTTCATTTTAAACATAAATTCCAGTGTGATATTTGTTGTGATTTTCAATTCCACGTAAATTAAGTCTTTTGCCTGTGCATTTATAAAAATTTCCTTTTCTTTTACGCATATAGACATCTAGACAGTATACTGTAGACAGTATAAAACATTAAAAATCAAAATTTTATTAATGCAAAAATTTTTTACAATATTTATAAAATAACTAATAAATACAGTGTGAAATTTTTTTTTTTTTTTTTTTTCCTAAAAAAAAAATTATACATAAATTAAATTTAAATAACTATTTTTTTTTTTTTAATCTTTTTGTTGTGAAGTTGATGGTGATGGCGGTTGTACAAATACTTCTCCTAATGACGGTGGCATATGTGAATGTTGATTGTTATTATGCTGTGAATCAGCTGATATAGTAGGTGATATTATTGTTGATTTTTCATGTTCTTTCGATATTGTATTTGAATTTGAAATATCAGGTATTGTGATATTATTTGATGGTGCATGTTGTAATGCTATTTGTTTAAGTTTTGTTGCTACTTCAGGTCCACTATGATCCACTAATTGATAAAAAAATCCTTCTGGATTATTTAACAGATTTAATGGTGTATCAAATTCTACTACCCTTCCTTCATTTAAACATAAAATTCTATCTGCTTCCATAATTGTATTCTATTGATGATAAAATTCGCAAATTAATAATGAATCTTATTTTGTTTATTTATATATAAAGAAAAATTATACTTACTAATCTATGAGCTATTGTTAATACTGTATGATCGGCAAAATTCTTCTTTATGGTTTCTTGAATAATTACATCAGTTTGTAAATCAACAGCACTTGTTGCTTCATCTAAAACTAATATATTAGTCTTTTTTAGTAAAGCTCTTGCAATACAAAATAATTGTCTTTGTCCAAGGGAAAAATTTCTTCCATTTTCTAATACTTGTGTATCTAATCTTGATGTTGACGATTTAACTTTATCATATAGATGCACCGCTTTAAGCGCATTCCATATTTCTTCATCTGTACATTTTCTAAATGGATCCAAATTTGAACGGATTGTTCCAGCAAATATTACAGGTTCTATTTAAATATTAAAGCAAAATGATAAACATTATGTAGTATGTTTTAATAAAAAAAATTATTTTAATAATTACTACTTGCCTTGTGGAATTATAGCGATATTATTACGAAGATCACGCAAACCAATTGTACTTATATCCAAATTATCAATAATTATATTACCCTCAGCCAATTCAACAATTCTTAATAAACTTACAAGTAAAGTTGTTTTACCTTTTAATATCAAAATTTGTTAATTTTAAATACAATTATAGGAATTGGAATATATGAAAAAAAATTACAAACCAGAGCCGGTCTTGCCAACAATACCAATTTTTTCACGAGGATGAATATGAAATGAAATACTTTTGAGAACAGCAACACCATATATGTTATAACGAAGGGTAACATTTTTGAATTCAATCTAAGCACAAGAAATTTGTTAATATTTTATAAAATTATTAAAAGTTTATATCATATAAGTATCATATAAGTCAAATGCTTACTTCTCCACTTTTACCCCAATCTGGTGGCGGACGATTGGTTTCAATAACATTTGGTCTCTATATAGAGAAAAAAAAATGAAAATAAATTCTATTATTTTGATTATTTAAGATAACAATTTACAATACAAACCTCAGAAGGTATATTTTGTCGATAATAAAGCAATTGTTGAACGCTATCCATAGTGGCAGCTACATCTCGACCAGATCGTACCATCCATTGGACAAAAATAAGTAATTGCAGTGCATTTGCAATAGCCAAACCCGCTTTACTTGCATACTCTGGGCCACCATCTTTACGTAAAATAATTACACAAAGAGCAGTTGCAAAAATAAAAACCGATGCCAATAGGTCAATATATAATGACTGCCATGATTTTACTAACATTTTTTTTTTTAAAAAAAAAGAAAAAAAATATATATAATATATATTATATATATTGTTAGAAAATTTTTAAATTAATTACAAAAAACCATTGTATTTTACCTTGCATCATTGCAAATAAAGCTTTATTATTTGTATTGATTTTTTCGATATTTTGATCATCAAATCTATTTTGTGCATTATACACTCGAATACTAGCAAGTCCTTCAAGAGTTGCTGATAAATGAGAGAAAATTGGTGCTTTGCTATCCGCTAAACAAATGTTACAGTAACAAATTACTAAATATAAGTAACATAATTAAGTCGTGAATTTAAAAATTTGTCTTACCATCCATATGTTTGAACCTTTCTTCGACATCTTTTGAAACATAAATCAGAAACCAAATACAAAATGACAATACAACTGCCGCTATTCCGGTCCATGGAAAAAGAATTATTATAAAAATGACAGTTCCGGTAATTAAAGGAAGCCATGAAAAAAACTACATAAAAACATTAAACAATATAAGATAATTTAAAATTAAGAATGAGATTTGATAGTTAAACCTGCCTGTAATGCGTTATCACTTAAAACATCATCAACTAGATACTGATGTTTTGCAAATACATTCAATATCTTTCCAAGAGGTGTTATATCGAAATATGACATTGGTGCACGCATTACTTTCTAAAATATATAAATTAAGATTTATTGCTTTCTGAAATGCAGTTAAATTTTTTTTTTTCCCCTCCAGGAAAAAAAAAATACTTACCATAAACGTTTGGTCATGTAAAGCTTGACTTTTATGCATCATGACCCATGCGTAAAATCCACCGCGTGCAAACACTCCTATAAGAACTATACCCTATTTATTTCAAATTAAAAATTAATATCAAATAAAAAATCTTGAAAGTATTAAATAATATGATAAACAATAACATTACAACTAAAGCGCCATATATTCCTAATCGTGAACCATATTGTTCAGGATTAATTGATATTACTAAATTTATAAGCCACCAATCTAAAATATAAAAAGTTGAGTATAAAAATTAATTTCATAATCCGCGAAATTCAAAGAACGAATCCATTTAATGTATCATTTCAAACTTACCGCTAAAAAATCTGACAGCAGCCATGAGAAAGAAGGAAATAATCATTAAAAGTGTCAAACTAAAGCCAGTTGATTTCCGGAAATAGTCTAAATAGACATGCAAACTAACTTTGGGTTCTTTCCTTCTATCAGAATCGATTATAGGTGTTATTCCTTCACGCTCATTTAAACTGTGAATTGTTAATTGATTTCTTTCAACGGCTTTCGCAGTAACATTAAGTTCGCGATTAACTTGCGTGCCCATCATTCTTGTTTTACCAGCTCCCCCGAGAATTGTTAAATTGTTTCTTTCAATCATTTTTGAAATTGTCTGTTCGTTAATATTTGCGTTTTGAATAGTATGTGAATTTAATTCTACAATTCGATTAATTGTGGCTTCGTGTGCTTCCGATTTTGATTGTGTACGGGTGAACGAAAGTGGATATTCCTTGAGGTTTGAATTATTTTTGGAATCTGCTACAACTAGAGATTCTAGGCCATCAGATTCATCAATTTCTTCAGCTACTTTTTCTAAACGAATTTCATTGATGAGTTCGTCAATTTGATCTGGATCTTCAATTTCCATGTATTCGCCAATTAAAGATGCAAGATTTACATCTTTTGTTATTAATTCATCATACGTTCCTTCTTCGAAACATTCACCATCTTTCATAACCATAATGCGATCACATTCGGAAAGATACTAAAAATTATAATTTAGTGACCATTAGATAATGAAAAAAGAAATTTATTTGCAAAAATCTAAGTTATATACCTGCAATTGGTTGGTTACAAATATGACAGCTTTATCCTAAATGATTTATTATATATATTATATATAATTATTAACATAGCGGAATTATGTGAAACTAAAAATAAATAAATAAATACCTTAAGATATTTACGGATGCATTCATGAAAAATATGTTTACCGACTACGGGGTCCATAACACTTCAATACAATAGAAAATATGTCAATATAAAAAATTTAAAAGAAATGTATACACTTAAAATAGATAACCAAACCTCAATGGATCATCCAACAAAATAATATCAGCATTACTATATACAGCTCTCGCAACACTAACTCTTTGTCTTTGACCCAAACTTAAATTAACCCCTCTGTCGCCAATTTCTGTCATGTCACCATAACTTAATAAACTAAAATCTCTGTTTAATGCACAAATATGCACAGCATCTTGATATCTCTTGTCATCATAATCATTACCAAAAAGAATATTATCCTTCAGCGTGGAATTTAACAGCCAAGCATCGTGAGGAACGTAAGAAATAGATCCTCTAATCTTACAAATCCCATTATCCTTACGAATTTGACCTAAAATTGCACTCAAGACTGATGATTTTCCAGCTCCAACATCGCCCACAATAGCAATTAATTCCCCTTGTCTCACTTTCATATTTAAAAATCTCAAAGTAGGATCTGAAACTCCTTCATAACTGAAATCTGCATCATTCATATATATTCTTATAGATGGATCATTCTCTATTGGTTCCTTCTCTTGTTTTAAAGGTTCCAATTCTGTTTGCAGTAGGAATTCATTTAATCTCTCAAAAGAATCCAATGCACCTATAAATAAATAAAAAAAGGGAATTTAATTCACAATTTAAAGTTCACTCGGACAAATTAATTTTCCTCGAATTACCCAAAGTTGTTCTCACAGCAATAGGAAGCATTATAAGAGGATATCTGGTAATAAAAAAAGGGTTATATAAATTACATTAATTAAATAAAAAATATACTTCATGTGAACCCACCTTACTGTATAAAATAGAGCCAACACAGTGAATACTTTTCTTGCTCTAATACCCTCATATTCATTATTATAATCTGGTGATAAAACTTTGACACATAAACATCCCAGCATAGCTAAAACAGGTGCTCCAAACACGACACAAAACGTCCAAACTTTCACTACGATTCCATTCAGCAATCGAGAAAATTCCTTCCGACGAACTCGACCAACACGTTCACGAAAATATGATTCCCATGCATAAAATTTGATCAATTTTATTGCAGTAAGAATTTCAGACATAAGATGGATACGTGAAGAAGTGATATTTGTAATAGTATTGGATATAGTGGAAGTAAGTCTACCAAGTTTATATTGTATAGGAAATAAAACAAGAAGAATAAATAGAGCTACAAAATTTGAATTTAAAGAAAATCTTTATCATTTTGAACATTTGTATAAAAAGTACTAAAAGAGATTCGGAAAATACATACCTGGTAAGCCAGCAGTGCCAAGCTCTACACAAGCCAAAATAAGAACAGCTGTATACAACCACGGGAACCATCAGTATCCATGTATCAAAATTATTGCAACTATAAAATATACAGACTTAACCAAATACCTATTATTTCTACAGCGGAACTCCATAGAAAATGAAAATTTACGCAAGCTTCCGCCACTCTTAATTCGTTAACAAAATAAATCAGAACAAAAATATACAAATATATATATATAATTAATAAATTAATATTATTCTTTACCTATTGCAATCATTTGCCACCAAATTAACTAAGATTTATTAAATAAGGGAGGAATGTTTAATAAAGATCATGTGAGAATTTCATAAAAATGACGTAATTATAATCTACATACTGATATCACCGGTTCCGCCACGGTCGGAACTCAAACGCAACGATTTCCGATAGATCAATACCATTAACGCAGCACGAACCTAAATACGCAGTAAAATTAGTGTAGGGGAACTCTTTAAGCTAAGACACCGCATTACTTTAATATACCTGCACTCCGACTCTTGTAGACTCGGCAATCAGTTGATTGATAAATATAGAACTAAATAATGCACAAAGGAATAAGCCTAAGGCATACAAATACGCCGCTAGAGTATTACCATTCCCAGAAGCGTAATCGATCAATCTATTGACAAGAAAATAAGCACCCAAGAAAGTAAAAAATGCTCCAAAAAGCTTGTATAAACCAAGGAATGCATAATAAGTGCCAAATGATTTGACAAGTGCTCGACGGATTGAGTTTTTACCGTTTCTACTTTTGACGACAAAATTAGATAATGTTAATTGAATGAACATATATGTGAGCTGAATGTAAAAATTGATTATGTAAAAGAAAATTACGATATGTTACCTATTCTCTGTATTATCACCTTCTAATCTCCAAAAATTTTCCAATCTATCACCAACTACCTTAGCCGTTTCGGAATCTTGTAAAGTCAAATCGTCCTTTCCCAAATTACGTTTCCGAGATATATTCAAAAGTTGAAATATCCATAAAAAAAACCATGACGAAATAAAGTTGAGTCTGTTACCACCATGTATTATGACATTAGGTCGATTGGAAGACCCTGGACCAGGCATTGGTGACTTCACGGGCTGATTTTTAATTTGGATAGTTATTATCTAAATTTGAAAAAATGAATTTTTTTTTTCTTCAAGCGAACGAAGAATAAAATTATTAGTGAATACAAAGTGTTACCTTTGTTCCCTTGAAAAATAGCTGGCACGGGGTTCATTGTATTACGACATATCTACTAATAAATTTAATAAATTTATATAATTCAATATAAAAAACTTCTACGATCTGATATAGTTAAAATCGCCGATTTTCAGGTTTTTGAATGTATTAATCCGATTAAGTATTTGATTATTTGATTCTAAACAAATAAATACATTATATTTTAGACTCTGTTTCGCATCACGTGACACCAGCAATTTCCAAATTCACAATTTAAACTTCTATACGGGCCTGTTCATTTCCGGACTGTTTCATTTTTCGGTCGTTGTTCTCGTTGAGGTTTAATTTGATTAGCAAGATCTGCCATTTGTTTGCGCGACCGAACCTTTAACCTTTAGACCAATATTAGTCCTGTTCAAATTTTAATTGTTCACACGCGAGGGTCCCTAGATGATTGGTTCCTGAATATTGGATTGACCAAAAACCCTTTGGAACGGATTGACAGGGCTTCTTTTTTTTTAGGACTAACCAGTCTAACCATGCTGTATTTTATGTGCTTGTGGATTTAAAGTGAAATTTAGGGATTTGGGAATATCAATGTGAGTTTTAAACAGATCTAAAAATAATAGATACATGATTAAATGATCTAAAAAACATATTCACAAGAAGAACATAATCAGTACTAGAAAGTAATAATTATATTCAATCCTAATATATAATATGTCAATACCAACAAAAATATGTTGATACTAACCATTATGATTTTTTATTTATTTTATTTATTTTTTTTATGCAAACTTTCACCATCTAATATAAGCCATTAAAATCAGATAATCTATGCCATAACATTCTGTAAATTTCAGAATTCTCTTAAATCAGATTGTATCCATTATAAAATTAAAATTTCTTTTTTAAAAATTATATAGATCTAGTTCTTATCCACCTCTTTCATTTCGCCTTGCTTTGTCTAATTTTTCTTTATATCGTTTCTTTAATTCTTCTTTACTTTTATTAACACTGAAATTTTTTGCATTCGTTGAACCAGGGGTTTTTTTTTCTTGAGTTATTACATGAATTGATTCTTGTTTAAAATTAGAGTGTGCAGCGTTTCTAGCCTTTTCAACGCATTTTGGGGAATGTGCCTCAGGATATCTTTTTTTTTTAAAAAAAAAATCAATAATAAGATAAATGAAATAAATAAATAAAAAGGGATCAATTTTATTATCTTCATATGTAGCTACCTATGTTTCATGCAATATTTCATATTACAATATTGACATGTCAGGTCCATAACAGCACTTGATGTTTGCTTACAATTTGGAACAGAACATGTTTTAGATGTAGATGGGTTTTCACTGTTATATAAGGAAAAACATATTTAAATGGTAACTGATGAAATTCGACTAATAAATGATTAAATTATAGTATCTACCTTAGTATATGTTCTACTATTTCATCTAAATCAACTTTATCATCTGTCGTCGATTCTGTAGTAGACTTTTTTTTATTTTTATTTTTCTTTTTCTTTTTTGATTTGGAACCAATATTATTAACATTACTTAAATCATCATTAATATTTATTTCATCGTTATTTTCGTCAAAAATCTTTTTATCGTCGTCATTCTTATCTTTAGTTATTTGCGTTGAATTGTTTTCCGTAGCCATTATATCTTTTTATAACTTAAAATGATTTTTATATATGGTATCGAACTTCCGTTATTTATGTAAATTCCGTTGTTACACAAAACGGCATGTATGTAAAATAAGTAAAACCGCCGAAGAGGATTATTTCCGTTATTTCTCTCTGCTTTCGCGTTATATTCTCTCAGTTTTTGATTGTAAAAAAAATGGAACAAATTAAAAATTACGAAGCTCAACTTGATAGAGAATTATCTAAATATCCACTAATTGTAAAATTAGAAAAAGAATGTAACGTTCCTAAGACTTATTTGGTTGCAGGAAGTGTGGCGTTACTATCTCTTATGATGCTTTTTAACGTTTGGGGAAAACTTCTCAGTAATTTAGTTGCTTGGGGATATCCTGGTATGTACTAACATGTGTAATACAATAGAATTATTATTCTAAAGTAAGTTTACTAATGAACCACACTTTTTATATAGCTTATGCTTCTTTCAAAGCCATTGAGACCACGAAAACCGATGATGATACTCAGTGGTTAACTTACTGGTAAATTTATCTCAGAAATATGTATATTTATATTTATATATTTGACTTTATATATATTTATTTATTTGATAGGACTGTATTGGGATTTTTTCATATTATTGAATTTTTTTCGGATATTATCTTACATTGGGTTCCATTCTACTTTTTACTTAAAGTGGTATTTTTCCTTTGGTAAGAATAAATGTTTTCGGTACTTTTAAATTATTTTTTATTAAAAGAATTCTCTTTATAGGTTATTTTTACCACAAACTAAAGGAGCACAAAGATTATATATTGGATTCCTAAGACCAACACTTTTGAATTACGAAAAAGATGTTGATTCAGGATTAAATAAACTTAAATCTAAAGTTATTTATTTTTAAGTTATATTTGTACATAATGTATTTATTTGTTCTCAATGATAATTATCTTTTAATTTGGTAATAAAAAACCTTCTTGAAAAGTGTCATCTTTTTCAATTATTAAGGTGGAAACACCTGTATAATATGCTTTTCCTCCTACTTCAACTATAACAGCCTGAATTTCTTCTGAATTATTATTACCATTTCCTTGTAATTTTAAAGATTTAATAACTTTTCCTGAAAACTTATTATCGTTTCCTATTATACTTTGATAGTAACAAGTTTGATTCAATTGTAAAATACCTTTTGCATATTGTAAGGCGACTCTGGCTGATACTCCCGATCCACAAGGTGATCTATCTATTTCTCTATTTGCAAAGATACAAATATTATATATGTCATTAGTTACTATGGTACCGTATAAGAAATTTAAATCTTGTTTCAAATTATCTGGATGTATTATATATTTTTGGATAAATTCTTTTGAGTTCCTGCACTTCTCCGTAAGATCACCTGCCAATTCTGTAATGTACTTAAAATTTTCTAGCATAATTTTATGATAATTTTCTTGCACAATGTCGGGTAGTAATTCTTTAACCGAAATAATAATATAAAATGCTCCTCCAAATGCAATATCAACCCTAATTTTTCTTCCTTTAAATTCAATCGAAACATTTATTGCGACTGCAAATGATGGTACTGAATGAAATTTAACATCTTTGTCGGATCTAGCTTGTAATTTTCCATTTGAGAGTCGAATAGTATCAACAAATGTTGGTACAATTCCACAGGGGCATTCAATGTTAATTCTAACTTGTCCATCATTAGAAAAATTCAATATATTAGAATCGATTAGGAATCTTCCTAATGCTATTGTAGCATGTCCACACATAGTAGAATATCCTTCATTGTGCATAAACAATACTCCGATGTCTACAGTTTCATCGCCATTTTCATTGCTATTTTTAATTAAAATTGCCCCATACTGATCTTTATGGCCTCTTGGTTCAAATATTATCCTTTTACGTAGATAATCTAAATTTTCTTGTACATATCTTCTTTTTTCTAATATTGTTGACCCTTTTATTGGTGGATATCCTTTAACTATTATACGTGTTGGTTCTCCACACGTGTGCATTTCAACTATTTTTATTGTATCATCTTTAATATCATAATTTGTTTGTATTTCTTGAAAGAAATTCATTTTTTCCAACCCATTTTAGATCATCAGAATAACTTTTATTGGTCGATCTTTCATGAAAGAATGACGTATTTTTGGTTGATCTAAAATATCCTTCTTTCTAATAATGGCACGTCGTTTTGCAATTTCACCTCACGAATACATATCGTTTCAAAAGTATGTAAACCATTCAATCAGAAAAAAATTGCCGGGACTAACTTATGTTAATGGATTTCATTCTGAAATGCAAAATTCTCGTAAAGTAACGCATTTAATAAATTTTTGTGTGAATAATAATTTAGATTTTTTAATATTTGATCATTATGCTCATGGATTATCTTCAGGTTCATTCACAGATGTTTTTAATGTTACAATTGGTAGAATGTATAATGATCTTTGTAATATAATGAAACATGAAACTACAAATTCACAAATTTTAGTTGGGTCAAGTATGGGATTTTGGTTATCTTTATTAGTCGCTTTAAAAGGGGAAGAACAGTTAAAGAATAGAATAACTGGAATCATTGGGATTGCTCCTGCTATTAATTTTACTGAAAATATATTAAAAGAAGCTAAAGAAAAAGGATTATTCTTGGATGAATCTAATACATCACCTGATAGTTTTTATCATAGACAATCTAAATATTCACCCACAGGAACTTATCCAATTTCATTTCATTTTCTTCAAGAAGCTCGAAATCATTTATTAGATCTTAAAAATATCAGAAATAAAATAAAGTTCCCAATTGTACTTTTACATGGTAAACTTGATCCAGATATATCTTACGAGGAAACTTTAAAATTAGCTAGCGCATTAAAAAGTGATTTTGTTGATAATGTAAAAACAATATTAATTCACAACGGAGACCATCGCTTATCAAAAGAACAAGATTTAAAGATATTAGATAAAGAAATTATACAAATGATTGGCAGATTTAATAAGTAATTAAATTACTATAATTAATTAAAAATATTTATTACTGATTTTATATGTACCAGTGTACCACCATGTCTTTTTAACTTTCCATATATTTATAATAAATTTTAACATATTATTCCTGCAATAGATCTTTATAAAAATTTCAAAAGTTTAGTATGATATGCTACAGTACTAACAGTAGTACATTTATTTACTGTACTATGATAGAATTTTTATGTATAATATGAAAATTTTTTCTTGCGACGAGAATTTTTCTATCGTATTACCGTGCCTTAAACTAAAAGTGCTATTCCGTTTGTCTGTAAATGATCTGGTTCTCATCTGAAACATTTTGATACCCTCTTAACCAGAATATTGATCATTATCTAAAAAGTCTTTTAGTTCCTCAAACTTTCTGATATCTCTTTGAAGATTGCGATATTGAATAATGCTATTAAGTACCTTCTGATACTGAATAATTACATTAAGCTATTATTACGTTCTCGCAGAGCATTTGTGTATAAACACCAAACAGAAGCCATTTATGTCTGAATTGATCACGTTGATACTCAATCTGTAATAAATTCGAGTCGATTTCGTTTCTTTGATCAACTGCACCATCTATTAATTTTCCATCATGATAAGCGTTATGGACTACTAAACAGGCGCAAATGATCCGATTTATGTTGTCATGTATCAATCTTAACAGTTTATCAAAATAAAATAAAATAAATAAAAAAAAAATATCAAATCTGAAGATGAGGATTAGCTGATTACGTAAGATTTATAAACAAGAAGATATATACAGTAATTACAGGAATAATAAAAGATTGTATTTTTCAAGAATGTTTCCAACCCTTTGCTTTAAAATACTGTAGAGAAATTGATGATCTAAGGGTTAAGTTTTTAAATTTGCTTGTTAGGATTCAAATTATCTGAATCATTTTCTGCAGATTGTGTAAGTTGCCATTCATCCCTATAAAAGATATGGTAAAAGGTCAAAAATTATATGCAAAATTGATTTTTTAAAAAATTACCTTATGGTTTTTCCAAGAAATCTTTCAATATGAGTTCTTATAACATAACTTGAACCGTGAACAATGTAATCATTTATAAATGTAGACTGGCTTATATAGCTCCCATATTTATTAAAGAAACTAATATAATCTGGAAGAAGTGAACGAATCCTATGGCAATGATAGGGAGAGATAATATCTGAAGGACATTCTGAAATTATCAACTCACTGACAACTTTAACGTAAATATATTTGGTATTCATATTTGAGAAATTTTTAATAATATTAGGAAAGTTATATACTTGGAATTAGTCACGTGATTAGCTAATTTTGACGTATAATTAATTAAACAAGTAAATTTGTTATGACTCAACAGGTCGTGGCTGACCTAGTGCACTGGCATGGTGTACCCCTCCTATGATTGTCTAAGACAGGAATGGAGGACGCAGGTTCGATCCGTCCAGCCAACGGATGCTCTATGAATTATACTGCGTGGGCCTATACCATAGGCCTAGAAGGTGTAGATCGTAGCCCTAGTGGTGGGAAAGTGCGTAGATCATGGTATCACACCGACTTCGGTCACAACCGTGGTATCAACCAATGGTAGACTACCTCGGTAGTCGACACCCAGGGGGAGAAATCCTATCCCTGTCTCTTATACACATCTAGATGTGTATAAGAGACAGATTCCACCTCTTACAGTATTAACAGGTGGCGGTCTTTTCGACCGAAAGAAAAATACGGGTCTATGTTTAGATTGCCTTTTCTTTGGTCCATTGGGATGTGATGTCGTGTTAGGGACTCCTCCGGGTTTGTTAAAGGTACCAGAGTGGCGCTGTCCTTGGGCGGTTTGATTATAGCTTAGTATTAGATAGCGTTCGACTTTTGTTTTATCTTTTGTTCTTGTCTATCTTTCTGTAATCTTGTTCACGTGGTTTATAAAAATAAAAAATAAAAAATAATTTGTTATGACTCAACCACATGAATATATTTTTATATTTTCTTTACGAATTAATTTAGCAATTTGTATTTTATATTTATTAAAACGTTTTAAATATAAATTATGAATAATCACAATAATACTTGGTGTCTACTAAAAAAATAAAAAAAAAATAAAACTAACTTTAAGTCAGGTGATATGTAATATACTGAATTCACATTGTTCGGCATATAAAATATTTAAAATATTTACAATTTCTTTACATATGACCACTTCTTGACATCCATTTTCCCATTCTACCTCCTTCATCATTAACAACTTCGGATTCAGCAACTTTCTTCCATTTCTTCAATAATTTATTGCCCTTGTCTCCATCATCTTTTTCATTCAATTTCCTTAATAAAAATTTTGTTACCCCTTTGAATTTTTTATCATATCTATCAGGAAAGTGATGAAATAACCAATTCCTACGTAAACTTATATCTGTAAATAATTCAGGCCTAGATTTTTCACATACAATATCTTTCGTATAGAATGCTATTGAAGATTTAATGTGTGATCTATGAAATCCTTTATACAAATAATATATTGTACCAGGTATATATAGTTTTTGTGCGGATGAATTGGACTTTAATGCTGTTCGATAATCATCAATTGAAGTTAGGATTTTAGCCAATTTGTCTTTTGAACTTAACTATAGATAAACAATATAAATGTTAGTAAAAAGTTGAAATAAAAAATAATAATTTTTTTTTTAATACGAACCTTTTTGTATTTCTCATTTTTCAATTCACTAGCAGCAAATTTAACTAACTCTTTAAAATCCATTAAATTTCCATAACTCAATCGTGGTATAACATCATTCTCATTAACAAAATTATCAATACAACTTTCAGTTTCAGCTCTACAAGCTAATTCTAAAGAACAACAAGGTGCCGTAGCAAAATTCCATGCATGTATATCAATTCCTTGTTCGATTAAATCTTTACATTTGTCTCTTAACAATAATGTAACTACTGCTGAAACTGCGGCTCCCAATGAATGTCCAATAATTTGTATCGCATTTGACTTAAATTTTTTTACGGCTTCTCTAATATCATCCAGTGAATGATTTACTAAGTATTGTGCACTACGCAATACTCCTCTGTGAACAAACCCTCCATTCCAAGGTTCATAATGTGCTAATGCATCCGTAATCACATCTGTAACATTCTAAATGCGAAAAGGAGTATTAAATTTCAGGAGTTAAATTGAGATGGAAATTTTAATTTTCAACTTACCATCGTTCCTCTAATCGATATGATTATTGAGTTAGTCTCTGGATCATGAATTACCATGTAATTAGGAACGGATACGGCTTTTTGACCATATTCCCAGCAAATAATATCATCTTTTTCAAGCGAAAAGAATTCTTGGACAGCTTTACGGTCTGAATTTATTCTGATTGCATCTATAAAAAAAAATTAGAATCAAATTGACATATACAATAGAATTAATAAAAACAGACTTACTTAAGGGAGCCATATTATGACCATATCCAAACCAATGAAATAAAAAAGATCCCTAATATATATACAGAACAATAATTATTTATTATTTTGCAAGTAGATCCTATTGTATAACTTAAATTACCTACATATGAAGCCATAGAATATTTTAAATATTTTTGAGCGGTTTGAATTCTTTCTATATCATGATATAAACATCCTGTCACTTGACTTTTATAAAAGAAAATAATTAATTCGTTAATCTTCATAACAGAAAGTAAAATATTAATTTTTAAACCTACTTTGGCTTTTGAGAATAGTATTTTTCCAACAACATATAAGCTTTCAAGAACTCCAATTTACTCAATCTCCATCCATGATCAAAGAAAGCATGATACAACACAGTGATCTCTTTAATAGCATCCCTTGTCTCTTGATTTAATACCCTATCAAGTATGCCTAAAGGCCTAGTTTCAGGATGCGTTATATTCGCAAATTCTCCTTCATCGGCTTCCTCTATCTCACTTGATACTTCTTGATCTACGATTCCTCTCGTGTTTGCTATTACTGGAGGTAATATTTGTCTATTTTGATCGTTGTTACTGCTTGAAAGCAAAGCTGGTGCTGTTTTTGAACGAGTTACAACAGGTTTTGGTTGGCTTGAAGGTTTTGGAGAAAGAAGCGGTGGATCATTTTGAAAGTGAAATTTTATTGCAATATCTATTGTACCAATTTTCTGAGGATGTGGATCACCACTAAATTCCAATGGAAAATTTCTATAAAACAAAATAGTTTGACATCAATTTTTTATAAGGAATTTTAAACATTTTCAAATGATATTTACCCTTCAAAATCCTTTTGATTCAAAATCGAATCTTTTAAAGCACTTAGTCTGACAATTACTCTTCCTAATTTTTTTTTTGCGTACAAAAAACTAGCATGTTCATAAACATCAATTTTTAAGGCATCAAATACAAAAGAATGATAATCAAAAGGGAATAAAAACATTTTCTTTAATTGTTCTTGATATGATGAACTTGGTTTTGTGTGATGTGTAACTGAATGAATAACTAATCTTATTGATGTTTTTGCTTTGGAATTTGGTGATCGCGGTGGGTTAAAATCTAATTTTGTTATACGAACTAACATGTTATCTAAAGAAGAGAGGAGAAAGATTTGGAAATTTAAGAAACCTTAAATATTTCAATTTTATTAAAGAATACGCAATTAAAAGAAAAAAATTAATAATACCTGGTAATGCATCACCAGACACTAAATACAAAGAAAAAAGTTAATAATTAATATTGGATGCACAATTAATTAATTTTTGAACCTTAACGAAGTAATTAAGAAAAACATACATAACGAATCTTCGCTTGATTTCTGAGATGATGAAGAGGATTCTTGTTCTTGTATAATAATAAATGATATAATTTTTTTGTAAAAAGTGACTTTTAAAGCAAATAGCAGAAAAATAAATTAATTACCTTGATTAAATTGGTTTTTATTAGGAAAAAGAACTTGTGGAGACGTATCGATTTCTTCCGGCACTTTTTTAAGTGAATATGAGAAAAAAATAATGAAAATGAAAAATGAAATCATAATAATGTTTTTAGAATCATTTCAAAAAATTAAAATCTTACATTTCCTCAATCCTTCGTTTTCATTATTATCAAATCCAAAATTATTTGATTTCAAATTATTGTCATTTTTTATCAAAATTCCCCTATTATCATCAACACTAGAATCACTTTTATTCACGCTAGGAAACAAATTATAAAGCCTTCTACTATTATAAGTTCCTGAATCTTTGATTTGATTTTCTTTTTTCCATTGCTGAATATTAATATTATTATTTATTCTAGAATATTGTAAAGAACTATTTCTTGTTGTCTTGAAAGAGTTCCTAATAAAACTACCAGAGTTCCTATAAGAATTTCTTAGGGATTGTGATTTCATTGTAATTAAATTAACATTTGAACTCCAATCAAACTCTTTCCATACTTTTTCTAAATCATTTTCCTTTTGATCATTCTTATCAGATGATATCATAGATTCTGGTTCTTCAGATAAAAATTGCTGCTCTTCTTCTTCATCAGAATCATCGGTAGTAGCATCTGATTCAAATTCTACTTCCTCGGCTACTTTTTGTTTAAATAGAGAATTTTTATCTTTTTTTAATTTATTAGCAATTTCTCTTGGTATATGCAATGTACTGATCTGATCTTGAGATCTTGCTAATTCGTCGACGTGTTTTTCTAATTCATTAATCATTAATTGTGTTTCAGGGTTAAAGTATGTGTCGTAATTTATAGATGAACGTGAACTAGCATTAGATAATCTTTTCTTTCTATTAAAAATATTGTCTACTTGTAAATTATCTTCAAAATAATCCGTAGTATCATTTTTATTATCATTGGATAGACTTCTAACTAAGTTTATTGTTTCTTTCGAAGCAGCCATGAGCATTCCAGGTAGTAAAAATTCTAGGCTTTTTTGTGTTTTTATTTTGTCTAAAATAGAATTTTCTTGATAATAAACCAGTTATAACCAGAAAACTGAATAAATAATATTTCTAAATAATTATACAATAAATTATACTACACAAAATATTCAAAATATTCCTCGAAGCAAAAAAAAAGGAAATAAATATTTTAACGGAATAAATTTTCTTTTAATAAGATTTTATTTTTATTTTTAGTAAATTTTATTATTATATATTTTAGGTAATTGGCTGTAGGAGCACGCTCTTGAAAAAAATAACTGCATTTCTGATTTGTGTAATCGTAACACGATCATCTAATATATATAGTATTGAAGACCGAAAATAACCGAAATTATGTTTAACTTATTTTTTAAATTTGGAAAATAATTAAAATAATTAATTTAATGGTTTTATTATGATGTCTGATTATAATGATTATAATGGTGATGGTAATAGATACGAAGATTGGGGGGCATTAAACGCAAATGATAGAAATGTCCAAAATGATAGTTTCCGAGAGATGGAAAGTAAGCCAAAAGATTCATTTTAATTAAATTATTTTTATTTTTTATTTTATTTTTTTTTGATCATTAATTTTTTTTTTTCAGATGTCATGCGACAGATCAAAGAAAAATGGGATTTCATGATAAATGAAGATGTAAGTAATTAAATGTTTGCTGAATTTGTTTATTTGATTAGTTTTTTAACAAGTGATTAATTTTGATAGTTTAATCCTGTTCCTCTTGCTTTGGAATTACTTGATGGCAGTTCACTTGGCAAGGATTACGGAGTATTTAAACAAATGAACAGCAATTTAGATAAAGCTCTTCAATATATTGTTGATGGTACTGATTAAGATAATTGAACTTTATTGTTTACAATTTTAAAGTATTTTAATAAACCATTTTTATTTTAGATTATTATCAAGGGTTTAACAGTTCAATTGGTACATTTGGAGGAGTTATCCATAATATTGGAGGTAAGTTTATCTTGTGATCATCTGGTTTTATTCATCTTTCTAACTTTATATAAACAATATTAGATTCTCAGGAAAGAGTAAAAGATATGAAGACACAACTTAAAGTATGTAAAGAATCATTGATGTCAAAACGTTCAGATCTTCTTCAATTGTGGTTTCGTAGCCAACAATATAAAGAGATGATTCGTATATTAGATCAAATGTGAGTATGTTTAAATTAATTCTTTAAAAAAAGAAAAATGAAATTTATAAAATATTTTTTTTCTCCCATTATTGTAGAGAAGAGTTTAAGGAAATACCAGAAAAATTGGAGGCTTTATTAAGAGAAAAGCATTTTTTAACAGCTTCTAAAATGTTATTGGATGTAATAAAAACCTTAGGAAAAAAAGAAATGGCTGGAATCGGAGCTTTATCGGATTTAAGAAGATACCTTAAGGCACAACAAAGTGTAATTAATTGTAATATGATGATCTTACGTAATATTTAAATTCGTCAATAATATTATTTTTGTTCATTAGTCACTTCACGAACTTTTGATTGAGGAGTTACACAACCATTTATATCTAAAAAATTCATATTGTGATAGTAAATGGGTAAAGTACATTAAGGATCAGAAATCATGTATGTAATCTTCTCTTACTTATTAATATGTATTTTTGAAATATTAAAGTATATTTATTATTATAGTGCCTTCATCGCTCATGGAATGGAATTCCGGAAAGGAATTCCGCAAGGTAAGTTATATTACATCAAGGAATAAAAAGAATTTACAAGGTAAGCAAATAATTCTAGAATGTTATTTGAATTTATATTACTGGCTAATATTTTAATAAATTATAGTCGATACTGCTATTGTTACAAGCGTACCACTTAGCCCTAGATCGCCTAAACCCTTTAGCACTGTAAATCTTAATGATGAAGATGAAAGAGTAGGTATATTATATTCATGTAAAAAAACTAGCTATTTTTATTAATTTTTATGTCATAATATATACGTATAGATTACAGAAAACACTGATATAAATCCTGAAACCGACTCATTTTATTACATGGAAATTTTAATGGAATCTCTTGCTACTTTAGGAAAATTACCACAAGCGCTTGAAGTATTATTAATTTATTTTATAATTGTGTTCATTATAATTATAAATACATATATTAATTTTTGTTGGTATTTTAGACCATAACACAAAGAATTCCAATAGAATTATATCAATTAGTTGATAAGACAGTTGCTGAAGTGGAAGAAAGGTATTAATTAAATCAGAGATTTCTATATTTATAATATAAAATTTACAATTATATAATTTTCTACTTAGGAATTCAGATATTTATAGCCAAAAATCGAAGAATGATGATATAATAGATATATTTACGTTAGATTCTCCGGAAAATGATTCCCAAATGGAAATATTAAGAGACCTACTTTGGACTACATATTCTAAATTAGATGCGGTACTACAAGGGCATAGGTTTATTCTTGACATTGTAGAAAGGATTAGCAAGGTTAGAAATTGCTATTTGATTTTATTTTTCTTATGATTTTAAATTTTACCGTATAATAATAATTTTCTATTTGTTTATAGAGACCAGAATACGCAAAGGTTACAGATGGTTAATATAAATTTAGATTAATTTATTCATTTATGTAAACTTTTACAGTATTAATGATTTTTTTTTTTCATTTAGAGTCACGAAAGATTAGAGTTTACCCTTTCGTTGAAATTTGGAAACCTGTACAAAGTGAGGTAAATGTTTATTGAATTAATATTCTACAAAATTTTTTTATAAATTATATTTTATTAATTACTTAACGAAAATTACTTTTAATCTTTAAAGGTTCGAACTCTTTTACGTGATTATATTACAGAAGACGAGAGAGAGTCTGTTTCGGAAAATAATCCCGAGGCTTCGTTTCAAGATATGATAAAAGATAAGCGGGCTCGTGACTCTTCTAAAGTTTGTATCATTTATAATTAGAAAATTCCTTTGTAATAAATAAGGTTGCTCATCTATATGTTTTTTGAACAGCAATTGTTTAGATTTGGAGATTCAGTACCAAATAAAGAGTTAGATAAATATTATGAACGGGATGTTTCAACAGTACTTAAAGAATCATTACCAGAAGTGTTTACAAAAGTACCGGATGAAAGACAATTATCAGTATTCGTAGTTGATAGATTTGCAAATACAAATATGACAGCAGGGCATAGACTTGTTGTTAAGCCTGATGCATTTAATGTATCAGTTTTATTTAAACCAACTCTTGCGTTTTTAGATAAAGTTAAAACTATTATACCACCTAGGTAGGTTTTTTTTTCCTAAAAAAAAAAAATTACTTGTTTGTCATAAATCTATTAATGTATGGGAATAATGTATTTAGTGCGCAACATTCTTCTGCGGATTTCACAACTTTCTTGGACGACTTTGTATTTAATGTATTCTTACCACAGATTGGCGATAAAATATTTGAATTATTTCGTCAAGCTACAACTGGTAATTTAATTTTCCTGAATTCCAATTAAAATCTGTTGAAGTGGCTAAATTTTTTGTGCAAAACAGGTTCAGATGCATTCCAAGAAGATCCAAATTACAAAACTTATTCTACATTGCCCGTTGTCAAAGTAAATTTGATATTATTAAATATTCTTTTTTTTTTGAATTTTTATATCTATAATTTTTGGTTAATTTTCTTTTAGAGCGCATCTTCATTAATGATGATTATAGAAAGTCTTTGTGCTATGCTTCATACTATGGCAAGCCACAAAGAAGAATATAATAAAATGATCATTTCTCTACTTACACGATATTATGTAAGGTGTTTTGAGCAATATCAAGGTAAATTACCTAAATATGAAAATAATTTTTTTTTTTTTAAAAAAAAAAAAAAGTCCACTAAAATTATATTTATTTACTTTTGGGTAAAATATAGCAATTGTATCAAAGAATAAAGGTGATGCAAATGTAAAAGATGATGCAAATAATCAGGGAATTAGTGCCATTTGGGTACAACAAGATCAATTATCTGAAGTTCTAGGACAATATCCCTACCTTGCTGAAGATAATGTTAGAAATCGAAGAAAAAGGAAAATGTTTTGTGATAAGGTTTATATTATCAAAATTATTCTTTTTGATTGTATATTAATTTGATTTGTTAAATTTTTTTTTTTATGTTGTTAATTTAGGAAACGAGAATTGAAATGAATTTTAAGAAGAATCGAGAGATTAGCGCAGGACAATTAATCACTGAGAATAAGAGATTAACAGCTTTGTCAAATCTTTACCATAGTTTGGTAAGGAGTGAAATTTCGTGATTTAATATGTGAAACAATTTACTAATATTATTTAATTCAATCAGAAATGGTTTGTCGCCAAAATTTGGGAACTTCGCGGTAGAGATTCTAAACCGAAACCGATAAGCTCAAAAATGGATGATGGAAATTTGGTAAATAAGAATCATTAGAAATACTAATTTTATATAATAAATGATATTGACTTTTCTTGTAATTTAGGCTAAATTAAGTCGTCGTTGGTCATTATATGGTGGTGTTAATGTTAATGCACATGCTATTGCTAAAGAGAATGAGAAGAAAAAAGAAATTGATGAAGAAAAAGAGTGTAGTTTACCGTTAACAGGAGAAATGGCAAAGTATGATTAAATAATTGAAAATTTTAATGTTAAATTGGATAAACTTTTAATTCATGTGAATTTTAGTCGATTTGATGCATTGTTGGCTACTTTTCAACAATTGGCGGAACAATCCTTGTTTACCTTGAGAGTTGAATTGCGATGCCATACATTACATTATGTTGATAAAGCAATGCGGGAGGTGAGTTTCGTTGAGATAATTGATTTTATTTTAATAAGATAATTGTAACGAATTTATTTTTGTTATATGATTGTAGGGTAATTATCAACTTGAATATGAAGCATATGAACCTGATCCATTTGTTTTAACACTTAATACAGATGTGGTAAAATATGATGAGAGTATTGTATCTCATTTACCAGCTAAAGAACACAAGTAAGATTATTAGAACTTATTTTATAAATTTCTTTTTTTTTCAATAAAATTTTGTTATTTTAATTTTTTTTCTCTCTGATAGATTTATATTCGAAGGACTTGATTCATTGATGGAACATGTGTTAGTGAATAATGCAATTTACACTAGAAATTTAAATAAAAATGGTGTCATGAAAATGACACGTAACATACTTGCATTACAACAAAATTTGAAAAATATTGTTGAAACACCGGGAGAAATTTCTTTGGAAAGAGCCAGAAGATATTACGAAATGTTTAACATGGGACCTGTCGTATGTATACTTAATCTTTCACTAAGAATACAATGTTAAGTTTTTATTAATTAAATATTTTGTTTTATTTATTTATTTATTTATTTATTTTAGAATATGTTGAATCAGATTAGAGAACAAGGAGCTATATATTCTTTTGAAGAGTATAAAATCATGTTGGAAATTATGTATAAAATTGACCCAGCAGAAGATCAAACTGTACCTACTCCTCGTGCTGAAAATCCATCTTCCAATAGAAGATTGTATAACGAAAATCTTTTGGAATTAAATGAATTAATGCTTGATTTTCTTTAATTTAATATATTACGTAATTTTATTTGTTAGTTCTTATATTTATTTATTTATATTTTAATAGGATCTATTTTTATTTTATTTTTATTTTTCTTTATTTTTATTTTTTTAATGTTAGAAATAGAAATTACATTAGTATAATAAATGTCTATTTTCAATGAACATCGTTACACGTTTACACGTTACTTTAACGCTACTTTAATCGTGAACTAATGCGTGTTGCCGATCCCTCCATCATGGGAATTTTTCTTATTATTATGAGGCATTTCTTCTCTCTCACGAATGTTGGTAATGTTGGTTAAAAATTAAATCTACAGTTCATTGATATACCAATAAACAAAATATACAACTTAAAATTCATTATTTCACGTTAATTACACATATGATCCATTTCATTTTTCAATTCACAAAAAAAAACATAAGGTAAAATTTAAAATATATGTTTTTTTTTTGTTAGGGAAAAAATGATGACAGTTTTTATTGCCAGTTCAGTGACTGAATTAATGATCAATAAAGTCACCTGCGTCTGAAACAATTTTATTTTTTAATAATAATTATTTTTTCCTTTTTTTATAACTAGTTTTTTTTTAAAAAAAATTTATATGGTGATTTATACAAGGTAAAATTTAAATACTCGGTTTCGAATTTTTTCGAATGATTCTTGTGCAATCATTACGATTAGAGATTTGTAACTTTTACAAATATTACAAATTTCTGATATTAATGAATATAATGACTTTTATTTATTGTATGTATGATGAAATAAGTATGAAACATTGTAAGTACTTTTTTTTTTGCTGTATCTTCTAATAAAGCTGTACTATTATTATAATAACACAGCACATTAAAAATTCTTTTTTAACCAATTACAATATTAAAAAAGTTTCAATAACCAAATCCCGCGTTTATATTAAGATTATCAGAAAATTTTTACCTAATCAGATCTTTTTCTAATTTTAAAAATTATCTGGTGAAATGGCGCAGTAAGTAATATAAGGATATATTTTAACATTTTAAATAATTACTTAAAATAGTCTTATTTAAGACGCTAAAAAAAAGTAATCCTTATTTTTTCTGCATATTCATGCGAAAAAATATGATTATGTTCAAATAAGAAAATTGAAAGAACCAATAGAATCTAGATTATAACGAAGTAATGAATTGAATTTTTTTTTTTTTTCCAGATATAGACTGATTTTGTGTGCAACATTGTATTAAATTAGCTAAATTGGCTGATCAATCGCTAAATCAGGATTTATTTCTTCAATTTTCCAGTGTTGTCCTAACACGTTCCCAATAAAATTTCTAAATGTTCTTAACTACATCTTTTTAGTGTTATCCATAGTGCCGGGCAACATTAAGATGAGAGAGATAGTACGATACTACGATAATGAATAATAAATATTATTTTTGACGCACGAATTTTTATGAAACCAATAAAATCTATCAGCTAATATGTACATTCCTTTTTCAATTCGCGACCTTCCTTACTCGTTGAAAAAAATAAGTTCTTGGTACTTCAAATATAAAATTTGTGTCACAATTTATAGTAAATGAATTGCTTTAAAAAGAAGAACAAAAGCTATTCTTTTTTGGTTTAGTCTATTATCGAGCTAAACTTTTTTAAATATATAATACTGTATATCAAAAAACAAAAAAAAAAGATGCACTGCGAACTTCTTCCTGATTGCCTTAATAATATCTTTGAATTTTTAGAGGATGATAAAGGAACTTTATATTCATGCTTATTAGTTAATCGACTATGGTGTAAACTTTCTGTTAGAATTTTATGGAGAAAGAATATTTGGGATTTACGATATAATTTCAAAAGTTCTTGGTACTTTAATCTCTTGTCTTCCTAACGAATCAAGAGATCTTTTATACAAGAATAAAATTTTTATTCCAACCCCAACCACAAAAACTCCGTTATTTGATTACGTATCATTTTGTAAATTTATTTCAATTGATGAAATTAATATAATGATCGAAAATTATCAAGAAATATCTGACGACGGCGACGACGACGACGACGACAACGATTATGACAACGATGATGATAGTGACAGCGATAACGATTGCAACGACAGAAACGACAGCAGCAATAGCAGCAACAATAACAACAACAACAATAATAACAATAATGACAACATTAACAATGACGATAAGAAAGATTTAATTTTAATAGCACAGGAAATAATTAAAATGTTTATGAAAAAAATTCCTTCATTAAAAAAATTAAATTATTATTTAAATCCTAATGAGATAAATTATGAAATACTTTTTATTGAATTTCCCGGAGCGAAAAATTGTTTGATGAATCTTTCAGAATTAAATTGTAATTCAGATATTCAATCAGAATTTTTTTATCAAATGTCAAAATTTTGTCATAATATTCAATCATTAACTATAAAATTTGGAGAAAAGGTTTCGAACGGATTAAATGATTTAATTATATCACAAAAGAATTTAAAAAATGTATCATTGAAACAATCTCATCATGATTGGACAGATATTATACCTTCATTAATAAAACATTCAAATACTATAACTAAATTACTTTTAAAAGGGAAAAATGATCATAAACCATTAACATTTATTACAAATTTCATCAATTTAAAAGAACTTATCATAACATTTGATTATTTAAATGCCACATTAAAAGATTTTAAGGATGAATTAAGATATTTTCATTTTCAAAAATTACAAAATTTAAAATTTAGTTTCGGATGTCCAAGATCTGATATATTAATTGATTTTATAAAAATTAATGGAAAAAATTTAAATTATCTTTATATAAATAGAGATGATAATTTATTAAATATATCTATACCAAAATTATGTCCAAATCTCAAATTTTTATATACTATTTTTATTGATAAAAAATCTTTAATAGATATTTTAAATGGTTGTCAACTTTTGGAGTGTATACAAGTGATGTGCGGTCGTTTACATATAAAAGAAAAAGATATGTTGGAAGCTATTGTTAAATATTCACCAAAATGTTTTCATGAATTAAGATTATATAATTATGCAAAATCTAATATATTATCTAAAGATTTAGATTCTTTCTTTATTAATTGGAGTAATCGTATTCCACAAAAATCTATTACTTTTATATGTTTAAATGTTTTTGATGATTTAGAGAAAAGAAATATGAAAATAATTGAAAAATATAGAAAATTAGGTGTTATTAAAAATGCTAAAACATATTTATAATGTTTATTACATAGAGATTACTACTATTCTTTTTACAAATTATTATTATTATCCCATTTTATAAGTATTATTATTAGCAAATCTCTTATAGAAGAATAAAATATATATCATTGTAAAAGAGAGTCGTTGTGCTTTAGAAAAGTAATAAAATTTCTGTTATTTTATGGAAGAACGTTTAGTAATTTTTAAAAATTTACTATAAGTCTTTTGAATTCTCCATTTTACAAAACTTTTTCTTCGATAACGCGAGAGATGTTATCTTTCCAAATAATACACATACTGTATAACTTTAACAGGTAAGAATTCATCAACCATCTAAAATATGTTAAAATATTATTCGAAAGGGCGACTTTTTCAACTTATTGATGAGGTTAAAATATTGACCAAATTTCGGAAAATAATGGAAAGGGTAAAATGTTTGATAATTCATTAAATTTAGAAATGAACTTGCAAACTTTAATGTTGCTATTAATGATTAATAAATAAGATGGTACATCTTAAAGAGTCAGTACAAAGTGTATTATAAAAGATGCTATGCGGTTATAGCGGTTATAAGAAGCAGGGATATGGATATATATATATATATATAAGGATTAGATAGAATGTACTATACATCAGCTTGCATGCATCCTTTATTAATCAAAATGTTTTTATATAAAAATTTTATTAATTAGCCTTTAATTTATCCGATCACAAACGAAATCATGTCCAAATACTCAAGTAAAACAAGTTCAGAGTGAACTTAACCTGATAAGCGTATCTGATCACAAACGAGATCATGTCCAAATACTCAAGTAAAATAATATTAGACATTGTCCCATTCTTCATCAGGGCATCAAAATCTAACTTCAAATAATAAGAGTAATATAACAATTAGAGGCTGTGCAATGAGTAGTGATATCTAAGTCGCTACTTGTTTGGATTGGCCTTTTGACTATCTGATTTATTAGCTTAATACCAAGTTGGTGTGTAATCAGTTTGGCGTTTCTATTATTTATTTATTCGTCTTAGTATTTCCTTGTGCACTTTGGCATACGTGACGCTTGGATAATAACATAAGGCTCAAGCGATATACAAATAAATTGTACTGTACCTAGATACATGGGATATTTTACTCGTCAGTTACATAAAAATCTGTAAAAAAAAAGTAAACCATTCTGAAAATTTTTATTGCTCAAATAGTAGGAGTACTTATCTTGCTTGGTATTGTAACTGGAATATATATTTGTTGTTTTAATAAACACATAAAGGTAGTAGCGGTACCATTATTAGTGGTTGCCATGTCAGTAATTTTGATAACACACGCGTCATCTCAGAATACCGAATCATTATAATTTAATGGTTAAATTATAATGAGGGTGCCGCAAAATCTTCTCTTACATGGCAGGACCATGATAAAGATCCTCATACGTATACTTTATTGGAGGTTGGAGGAAAGTATGTTAAGTGGGGTGGTTAGTATCTGATTGGCGGTCCCTAATAAGGGTGACGTTAAATTCCTTAATTCCTATTCGTTTTCTTGATAAGTGACTATTTATGAATTTCCTTTTGCTAATTAATCGTACAGTGACCCGTGTTACTCATACATTGGTACTCTTTGATTTTGTAGGTATTTATTTTCTTAGATTATGGTCAATTTGCGATAGTTGATCTGATCGGTTTACGATTAATCTTAGTTTGGATTTCTCATTCGGTTAACCATTATTCGCCAAATACTTTTTTTTCTCCTATATCTTATACGTTTATGTAAGGTGATATTATGGCCCAATAAAGTTTTATGCAACAGATATTAACAAATAGATAAATAACAAATACTTAATGATAAATGAAAATAAAATTTAGTAAATCTTATTTATAAGCTAATAATAGCAGTCGGAATAAACTAATTAAATCATTATATTTAATATTATGTCAGATGAAACAAAAACGAGTGAATTTTAGTGAATTCCAAATCTATCATTATAAATATAATAAAAATTAAAAATTCTCAGTGCCATAAATTTAAGACTATTAAGTAACTTATTTAAGACATTAAATAAATTGTGGTATAATTGGAGGGTAAACCGATTAAATGGTAACATTATATTTGACAACTATCATTTAAATAAAAAATTGCTTTCTTAGAACCTTTTTCCCAAAAAATAAATCTTTTTTAACCAAGTCCAATTATTGCTATTATCGCCACATTATGTCCGCTCTTGTTACATTTCTTTCCGCTCAGGTCCCTATAAATTAACATTAAAAGCTTATGTTAGTTCTAGCTCATTCACTTCAGGCCATAATAGTGAATACCAAAATGGTATTGTAAACAGTAACCATTTTGACAAGTTGTTGTACACCATGACCGGATAAGCATACATTTCAGGAGTGACTATATATATCATGGTATCCTTCACCACCATCTATATTCTCTATTATAACCATCAGATCCTTTACAAGCAGCAGTTTGATGGCAAATAGCGGGATCATGATAAAGCTGTAGACGAAGAGTCCAGCTTATGCTAAGCTGTAGACGAAGAGTCCAGCTTGCGCTAACGTCACACTGCTATAAAAGCATCCTTGTTAGACGAAGAGTCCCAGCAGTTTGCGAGCATCACTGTAGACTAAGAGTCCAGTTTGCGCTGCTGTTCAGACATGACGTTAGATAAGTTGTGATATGTCGGAGCACTCTTTTAAAAAAGAAAAAAAAATCCTTTTTTAAAGATTGATTGCATTGCGATATATCTTGTAGTGTCCCAGTCATCTATTTGCAACCCTTTAAAGCCGGCAGCCCTTATAAACCTTCGCACGTTGCTTTCGCGGTGTGCAGTCAAGGATTATGGGCCAGTGAGTGATAGAATACTATTTACCCACCTCTTTAAAATTCCAGTAAATATATTCTGATTATCTTTTGACTTCTAAGATTCGTTTTCCACTCAAAAAGATTCTTGTATGGAAACATTTTCTCCCAGTTAGGTCAGAGACAACGAAGAATGTGAAGAATGCCCTAACAGTGGAACAATTGAATAAATACAAACATCCTTTGGGAAATTGCGGAGAATTGGTTCCTTGGGAGGCGATGCTTGGAAAACGATTGTCCCTCAGAAAACGTGTCGCTATACTGAAGGAGAGTCATCAAGTATTGGAAGTCAAGCCTCCAGTAGCCACTGAGTACGATGGAGGCGGTCTCCTAAAAATATTATCTAAAGTATGGTCAGTAAAACTGAGTAGTACATCATCAATATCATGAGTGTTTTGACGACTGCAATGCCTACAAGGTCAAGACCTACATGGTACCATGATAACACGTAAAGATACCAATGATAAGGCTACGCTGGTTGCCGCTAAATAAATACGCCAAAGATGTGCCATACGTACCTTGAATTTGACGATGGTCCCTAAAAAGGTTAAAATATAATATATATTTTTAGAAAGAAAAGGTGTTAAAGAGAAAGATAAGTTTATTTGGTTACTTTGCTGGGAATGATAAAAGGAAAGAGTAAAAGGGAAAAGAAAAAGTGAATAAATGAAAATTTTTTTGGATGGAGAGGCCTTTTTATATGAGTTTATCAGTTACAGTCTGAGTATAAAAAATTATAGTCAAAAAATTTCATAACCCGCAAAAGAGATGACGTTATATTGATCATGAGATCGTGTGTACGCGAGTATAAAAAATTATATCGTAGTCAAAAAAATTTCATGCATGATCATAACCATCATATCCGCGAATATCGTGTGTACGCGAAGTAATCGAAACTGAAAAATACTGTTAAAAGTATCACGTGATTAAGTGTAGCAATGATACTTGCGTCGCGTCAGTAATATTTTATTTATTGATTTATTGAATCTTCTGTTATTTCTTTCAAGAACATTTTTTTTTATACTCACGTTATTGAAGTAATTGACTTATGCATAAAAATTGTTTATTGTATACTTATTCCATTACTTTTATATACAATCTTGCAAGAGTCAATTGAGTCATCACAAACTTTTGCAACACATGATTCATTGATGATATTTGATAATAAGATAAGATAGTGGCAAGATAAAACTATATGAATTGGCTTTAAAAAACTCTAAATTAATTCTAGAAAATAAATTCATAATTTATATTTATTTTACTTATAGGCATCGAAAAATTCTGCTGATATCGGAGATACAGTAGCTATAAGTGTTATCAGGACATTACGCCGAAGCCATTTCGCCAAAGGGCCGAAGGGACGTTTCATCTTTTACCGAAAGTACGTTTCGTCGAAACCCATTTCATCGAATTCTATTTCGCCGAAGCCAGTTTTACCAAATGGACATTTCGCCGAATGGATATTTTGCCTAATGAATATTTCGCCGGAAAATTATTTATTCCTTATCGTTTTTATACTAAATAGTACATAAAGGAATCTTTTCTAGAATTTTTGGATTAGTTAGATGATTTTTATTAAATTTATCTCGTTGTTTATAGTACATTAATCTTTTTTTACTTACATTTTCGTGAATAAGTGTTTTCAGGAAAATAAAGTTATTTATTTAACAATTAATATCATTTACTTGAATGTTAAAGTGATAATATCCTAATATCTTGAAAAAAAAAAGATCTCTAAAAATAATTTTCATTGCGCGATGAATATTTTTTATAAAAATGTTAATCGCTACCATTTTTGGTGAAATGGGATGGAATTCGGCGAATGGAAATATCTCTTCGGCGAAATTGGCTTTCGGCGTAATGTACCGTAACCGCTATAAGTTGGTTAATCAAGGAAATTTTTGGAAAGTTAACTTTGATGGAAAAGGTTCAAAAGTAAAATATAAAGGATAGTCAAAATAAGGCGTATATAAGTATCAATTACAAAATACAATTAATATGAAAGTTGACAAAGTTTTTAAAGTTTTCCATTGTAATCATATTAAGTTGATTTTTATAAATGGAATAAATATATAAATATCAATTTATAATTTATAGGGATTTTAAAAGAAAAAGTTTTCGTAAAAAAAAAAAATAATACAGATTTTCGTCCTTTCATTATCAATCACCATTATAAACAGCCACGTGTGTAAATATTTAAATAAAATTCACCATTCTCAAGGAATTGATTGAAGCAATCAACGTTCTTGAAATGATTTTTTATTTGAATTGTTTGAATTGCTTTTTATTGACGGTCAATAGCTCCTCCAAACCAGTTTAATTTATCATAATGCGTGTTTGTAGGGAGTAGGGACAAATATCGAATATTTAGGCCTAAATTTTAATTTCGTTCGTAAGACACAAGCTGTCCTGTCTTCGATAAACTTACGAACCTTCACATCTACACTGATCCTTCCACTTTTTATACAATCCATTATGTCTACAATTGAAAAATTTTCAATTTATTCGTAATTCTTCCGTAAATGTGTTCCGCTCTTTAGCTAATACGCAACTATGGAAGATTAATGTGCGTTATGAAAGTAAGGAAATAATCATTTTGGAGTCACGTCGACCTGTATATAAAAAAATTGTTGAGAATTGAATCTCAAGAATCAAATCCTTAGTCTAAAGTAGATAAGGATTAGATTTTCTTAACGGCTTTTCTTTTAAACTTCTTTCATGGCCGTTGTAAACATTAACTTTTCAAAGTATATTGGCAAGTTTTCTCCTAATAATATAATGAGCTTACATTCTGATTATAATGATGAAATAGACATATCGCAGAAAATTAATACTTCTTTAAGAATCGTAAGAATCGTGGATTTATCTAGAGGAAAAAAAATTTCCAATTACACAGAATTATTGACATAATGACGTTAGTAAAAGTAAAAAGTCAGACTGAACTTGATATACAAATACTTGGGATTATTTTAGTAAAACATACTTCAATTTGAAAAAATTGTTGCAAAAAAAAAAAATACCGTATTGGTTGGTTGTTCTCCATGGATTTTGTCAAATGATGTTCGTTTACGTGAAGAATCTACATTTGATAACTCAGGTTCTCTCGATCAGTCTAGCAGTATCTATATGATCTCCTACCTATAGAGTGATACATTATAATTATTATAACAGAAAAGTTAATTTATGAATAAAAGAAATCAAAGAAGCTATAAATCTTTTTATAATATCGTTATTTACCATAAAAATATATTCTTGTAACATATAGATCTTACATGGAGTATTTCTTAAGAAGCAAATTCTTATTAGTATAGCAGCAATTATTTGTTATCCAGATTCTTTTTTTTTTATATTAGAAAAGTATGAACTGTATTTTACGGAGTTTTATTATATGAAATTGTACTATACAGGAATTTGAAGGAGTCTGGGAGTGTTTAACACGAAAATTTTGATGTGAAAATCCCGGGTTTGATATAATTTTCAGTATCTACTCGTAGAAAGCCTTTATTTGAAAAATGAATTGTCTTGCAACAACTCTTTTATTATATTATAGAAGTATTGCCGCATATTTTTCAAACGAAGGAGAATTTAAAAATCAGTCATGTTACATTACTTTAGATAATTGGGGTATTGGAAATGCCAAAAGGGTTGAAAAAATAACGTGACATTGCGAAGCAATATAGCAATCAACAAACCACAACTCTTCGATCATGAACAAAATATAAAGAAGTAATAAAATAAATATCTCCTTAATTGAACTTTTTTTTATAAAGGTTTTGAAAGGATAAAAAAGAAATAACAAATTGGTAAAAAATAACAATAATAGATCTAACTATACTAGACAATAATAGGTCCTACATCAGTAAAAGGATGTATCAATGTATCATGTATTGTATGGTATAATAGCGAGTAGCGACGTCTCAGATCTGACGAGTATTTAACGATCAATGTTTGCTCAGAGTAGCATAAAAATAAAAATTCGATAAAGATTGTTTCGTAATATCATGATCGATGATACAGTATGGTTTGGTATATATATAATGAGATTTGTCTACTATTATTAGCTACGTTGATTCAAAATCATATAGCAAATTTGTTATAAGGATGTTTGAAGAGCATTAATTTTTTATTTTCCAAAGCACATGCGCATTCTCATACATTTATTATAAAAAAAATATATGAAAATTCAGCAAATTTTTTGTGTGCACCACGCTATGAAACTTATCCATAACTATCCTAATGTATAAAAAACAATTATCATTTATCATTTATATTTTGACGTTTTGAGGGTTCATTACTTTTGGCTTGGAATTGTAACATCCGAGCAATATACTCTAATAATTCTTTTTCATATTTCATATTACCCTCAAAATTACAAATATATTCCTCAGAAACATGAACTTTTGATAATCCAGACCAACGGAAAAATCGCCATCTCATTCCGGTTGTAACTATTCCAAACATTATTTGTTCCTCTTGCCCATGCTTGCGTTTGTTTGATCGTTGTTCTACTGCATTATGCAATTGCACAATAATCTGAGCTGCTCCTTGATCCATATTGTCCGCTTTTGCTTCACATAACATAAGTTTCATCGCATATTCTACTAATCCATTACTATTTTGTTCTTTTTCCGGGTTTAATTGTAATCGATTTCCCATATATGATCTCACATGACGAACTGCAGTTATCATGAAGAAATTAATGTACGCATGACTCATTGACTCATTTGTAACGATTACTTTAGTGAATACATCAAGATGTTCATTAAGATCTTTGAGAAAATTTTCTAAAACTTCTTCAGGAAATGGTTGATCTAATTCGGGAAGTTCTTTCAAGTTAAGAATTGGTAAATCTTCAAGAGTTTGACAATTCTTACTTAATAATACCTCTTCAAATACACTCTTGAGATCCAAAGTATTAGGAGATTTTTTATTTTTTTCTATAATTTTTAGATTAAGTACACATTCTTTATTATTATTCTTAGTTTTAGATACTAAGACATTTAAACCATAAGCGTCCTTGATCTCCATTTTATCATGTATAAAATAGATTTCTGTTTCCTCTTTTAAAAATTCATTGAATATTTTTTTAGCGGCTTTTATCAACAAATAAAAAGAACCAGTAGTGTGTGGTATTCCATAACTTTCATTATTATTATGTGAATCGTACGTGAAAGTAACCATAACTGTATTTGATGGTACATAATTAAATAAGTACTTTTACAGAAAAAAATAAATAAATAAATAAAATGAAATCCTTTACTTACTATATGTATCTGAGAGTGGATACCTAATAATCATTAATGTTTCTGAATAATTTATAATATTAAGAGTACTAAGGTCAGTTTCCGGATCAATATCTTCATAATCTTTATCAAAAATTTCAATATGACGATTTCCAATATTTTTGAGAATTTCAGGATAATGTTTACGAAGAATATGTTTAAGATCATCTAAGTCCGAATAACTTCCATCATTATAATCCAAAAAACCAATATATTCAAGATCATCTTTTCCAAGTATTAACTTCTCACGTTTTGGTGTACCTTCAAAATGGATCCACATCTTTATAAGTTAGATAGACGTAGACTAGTTAGAACGTTAATTAGGCGAGAATTTGGATGAGAGCGTTAGTTAGGCGAGAATTTGGATGAGAACGTTAGTTTGTTTATACGTAGACAAGTTAGACGAGAATTTGGGATGAGATGAGTGGAAATCTGAACGTATAAAAATCATAAACTCGGTTGTACAGATACCAATTTAGGTTAATCGAATCAGAATAACATATTTACTACGCCATATAACGAGTATATAACGTAATTGTATATTAGTAATATGAAATAAATTATAAGGAAATTTATCATCATATAATTTATATATGTCTGGAACATATAAAATATCGTTATTACTGTATGAGATTAACTATGAAAATAATGAGGAAGTTACTGGAGAAATATAAAAACAAGACGAAAAAAATAATGAACAAAAGTTGACAAATGTATAATGTATATTAAGAAAAATAATAGTACATTGCTTTATTTTTTTTATAACTGGGATGTAGTAACATTTGCTTTACATATTAACTACTAAAACTTAATACCTAAAGAAACGATGTTTCACATGATCACATCACATGATCTAGGACCTGACTCAAAAACGACGATTGGCTATTATACCATTTTGCAATGTTACATACAAGTACTTTATATTACTAAATTACTAATAATTATACGGTGGTTAATAATTATATGGTGGTTGGTCAACGTATTTTACAATCGAAAAAAAAAAAATTTTTTTGTTCATAAATATGCATATTATAAATTTTATAATAAAAATAAAGTTTTTTTTAAAATCTTATAATTTTATTTGTCAAATAATAATTTGCTCATTCATACAATAATGACTAAATTGATTATATTCATTATAATTTCTATAAAAACTATTTCGGTTTAGATATTATTAGATATATATTGGATATACTATAATAATTTTGATGATATTTGTGTAGTTGGTAAAAGTGAAACGGTGGGGAATTGGGAATGATACTTTACATTACCTACCTACATTACCTACAATACCTACAATACCTACAATACCTACAATTATGGGAACTGGGAACTTTTTACGCCTCTTCAGAAATCTGAAAACTCCGAAAACTCTGAAAACGGAAAAATAGAAGTTGAATGAACAAATGTGATATGACGACAGCACTATCCCAGAGGTGGTCATTACAAATTTGTGTTGTAATCATCAAATAATCATCACGAAATTAGAATGAAACAATCTAATCCTAAAAAGTATATATTAATTCTAATCAAAGCTAAGATACTAGCCAAAATCATCAAAATTCGAAAATTTGGGTAATAATAAAGAAAGTCTCAAAAAGGTATAAACATGGTGTCATGTTGTCATGGTTTGCATGGCTTGCATGATTGTCAATCATGCAAAAAAAAAAAAATAATTTGTTGATAAACTTTACGGTACGATTAAGCGAATTGTACTTTACTGTTTTTTTTAAAAAAAAAAAACTAACAAGCTAATTTGTCAAATATTAATTTTGACAATAACAATACTGTTGTCTCTTGTACGAAATTATTATTATTTTGCCACAATTTTTTTAACCTTACAGTACATCACCTGACCTTGCAGCTCACTTTTAAAACATGGAAATTTCAGGCAGAGAATTAAAAATTCGAATGTCGATTATAAACATTTTTGAGCGCAATCATGCAGTACAACCTCTTTATTTCTTGCGCCAACTTATCAGGATTATAAATATAGATGAGATTTACAGTAATACGGATAGTATTTGGTAATATATATTCTGGGTTAAACGAGTTTTAAACATAATTAATTAATTTTATAAAGTACTGTATTTTAAAAATAGTCTTACAAAATAATAATCACATAAACATACTATCATCAAATTTAAGATTAAGATTGTTTATTAATTTTTATTAATTTCACAAAAAAAAAAAATTATCGAAAAAAAAATAACAAAAACAAAAAAAAATATTAAACAATTAGCGAAAAAAAAAAATAATAAAGAAAAAGTCCACAAAAATATGAAAAAAATTAATTTATTCTTCTTTGGCACTAGTGGTAGTAGCACTACTTTTGATTATAGGAACTCCTTTTTGACGTTTTTCTTCTGTTTCTTGCATCTTAAAGAAGAGACTTCCCTATAATATTAATAAAAATTTGTTATACAGGAGTACACATATACTGTAATGTTGAATAAAAATAAAAAAATTGCTTACGTCATAACAACTTCTTACATCTTCTTTATAAACTATTCCGTCTTTCTCACACAACAAATACAAAGTTCCCCATTCAAATACGGCAGAAGTCCAACCGAAAGGATCGAATACATTAGCATTACCTCGAATAACTTGCTTAATGTCTTTTAAACTTAGTCCACCTTTATTATCCCGATCATATTTCGAAAAGACTTCTTCAAATTTTTCGGGAACGAATCGACCCTATTTAGTAAAAAAATGTGATTATCAATTAATTATCCTCCCCGTTGCACTGGTTGATAGTTTTGAATAAGTTGACTAATTACCTCGGTATCAAAAGTTTCGGAATCGGAACCATGTTTAGCTTTACTGAGTGTATCAACATATACATTAAAAAGTGGATTACCAAGAATTGGAATCCAACTTTTTTGGGTAGGATAAGAAAATCCACCATGGATTATGCCAACAGCGACAGCGGAAAATGCAAGACTGAATCCCAATTTACGGAAACCTAAATTCATAGCGAAAAATTAATTGTAAAAAAAAAAAGTGAATAATTATACAATATATGTACTGTACCTTTCCAGGTGTCTAATGGGGTAATAACACCATCATGATCAGTATCCCAAAATTCGACATGTTGTTGGAGTACCTTTAAAATAATAATATTCGATCGTTAAAAAAAAATCTAATTTCAGGATAATTTTAAAAATAAACTTACAGATTTTCTTGTTGGACGGCCCGGGGTTCCCTCAGGCATTTCTTTTGATGCGGCAATAGTAGCACGTGGTAGCCCTAAAAAGGAGGAATTTCATAAGTATTACGAGAACCTTTTTTAAGAAATTAACGAGAATATAAAATTTACAAACCAGCATTTCCGAGTTTATCGGATAAATCTTTCGGAACTTTACGTTCCTTTGTCTCCGGAGCTTCATCAACTTCTGTAATGATATCTTTTTCTTGATTTAATTTTGGGTTTTGTTCGTTCTTTTTGTTATCATGATCATGACCAGAAAAAATTGATCGATCGGTTTGTTCGTTTTTGTTATGGACTTGATTTCGTTCATGTTTCTTGTTATCTTGATTTCGTTCATTTTTTTTGTTATCATGATGTCGTTCGTTCTTCTTGTTATCTTGATGTCGTTCGTTCTTCTTGTTATCTTGACCCTGAACAATAATTCGTTCATTCTTATTGCTAAGGTCTGGATTTTGAATAATGATTTTGTCGGTCTTTTTCTTATCTTGACCTTTATTCATATGTTGTTCAATATTACTCATGATTAATTAATTAATTCTTTAAAAAAATTTTTTTTCCATCAGTTCCTCCACCATATTAGTACCCCCAAAAAATAAATGAATCTAAAGTAGCAATAAAAGTAAAAAAAAAAATAAAATTTTTCGAATAAAAAAAATAAAAAAAGAAATAGCTACCAGGTTAACTTTTATATACGATAAAAATTTTTTTTGAACTTGATCGAAAAGAAAAAATATTTTTGATAAATATGACATCACGTTTATCATATTACGAATTTTATATGAATTTATGACGTAAAACATTTAATAAAAATTAAAATAATTAAAATAATTAATCACTTGATATTAAAACCTTTCATATGAAAATTATGCAAAGTTTAATATCTTTTTAGTAAAATGTAATTTAAATTAATCCAAGATATTGTTTTTTCGGTTTTTTTTTTTTTTTTT